GTTGGGATGCCGCCCCACACACCACAACTTCTTTTGTCGGCCCCAGGTTTTGGAGATAGGCGTCTCTCCCCAACGAGTTCATCGGGCCCGGGCCTTTTAAGCATGGCTCAGGGATGCAGTGGTTACCCGATTGTCCCTGTCCCAGAAAATTAACTCATGAATTGGCCGACATTTTGCGCAGTCTTGACGGTCAAAACCTATTTAGAGTTACGAGTCAACAATACTCCATATGTCTTCGTTTTTACTCACCTGATTTTTATCCGTCAACTTGTTACCATCCCATGCGGTTTCTCCTCCCTTCGGCTTCTTCTCAATATTGATCGCGTCATCCATTGTATGTATGTACATACATACATTATGCCATTTCAGCGGTAAGGCGTTTTTACTCGTTATATCAACCGAAGAAAGGTTACCTATTGATTCTTTTTCGACAAACTCGGCAAAAACAACCAGACACCCATGCATGCAACTAAAATCGCGAGAATAAATGGCTGCAATATCTGCACGCCCCTCTCCTGAGCGATTGCACCAACTGCAAAGGGAAATGCGGTAGACCCTGATGCCCCGATTGCTGCCGCAAATCCAATCGCGGATACGTGGATGTGCTTCGGTAGTAGTTTCGTTGCAGCGACAATGGCAATTGGGAACAAAGGCCCGAGGAAAAAGCCAAGCAGAGAGACCATTACCGCTGAGATATAAAATTGCGGGACAAGCCAAAAGAGTAACTCCAACGCAATGGTAAACAGCAGATAGACGATGACGGCATGTTTCTCAGACCTAAAGAGCCGCGGGGTTACGAACCCAAGAATGACACGACCTACCGTGAGGCCAAGCCAGAATCCAGTGGCACTCATGCCGGATGCGAAAGCACTTCCATGTCGGATATTGATCATGAAAGTTACGATCCAGCCACCAAGACCGACTTCTGCGCCTGCGTAAATAGAAATGAAGATGCTGCATATCCAGGTAACTTTGTTCTTCAGCGCTTCTGCAGTTCGACCATTGCCGATAACCCTACTTAGCACTCGATCCAGCTTCTTTGGTGCATGGGCCGCGATATCAAATTCAGTGGTTGCTGCAGGCGGATGCTCAGCACGATACCTGGCCGCTGTTGCAGTCCAGAACGCTGCTGACAGGAAAATCATCTCCAGAAACGCAGCACCCACGACCAAATAGTAGAATTCAAACCATTTCCAGTTCGCCTTTGCGATAAGGCTGGTTGCAACAGTTGGCGCGAGTGTAGCTCCCAGTCCATAAAACGCGTGCAGAATGCCCAATAGTTCATTTGCATTTCCCATCCCGCCAACCCAGGCATTCCAAGCAGCGTCCGCAAGACCGTTTCCAAAACCGGCCAGTATAAAAGCAATGACGAGAACTGGAAATGGAGGGTGCAAGCAAATAATGATATATGCAGTCAGATGTGCTCCAGGACTGAGGATGGCAACCCCTCGCTGGCCAAAATGCATGTGAATCCTATTATTTATCAAAGCGGAGGTCACATAACCAACGAGGGGCGACAGAAAAATAAGGGAAATGACAGTGTAGGAGACATTGTAATAAGTCTCAAGCTTTAATCCCAATTAGACGGGGCTCTTGCGCTTATACTGCGGAATTGACATACATAAGGGATCAAAGCCTATGGAATACTGTCAGCTTGAACCTCCCCCTCATGCAAATGGTATTTTGGGAACTCACACCATAGGCAGCGTCATTGAGGCCAAGGATAATAAAACTGAAATTCGCTGCGAAGAGCCGCCATATATTGATTCTGGGAAAGTTCCACGAGTGAGGGATACTGGTCGCTGTCAAGGGAGGAGGAAGTTCTTCTGCTGGTAGAGCAGAGTCGTTTAATGAGCTTTGATGTGCTGATTCGATCGACCTGGCGCTCTGTGCAGCTCTTGAAGTGGACTGGAGCTCTAGCATCGTCGTCATCGAGGAGCAACCGATGTCTGCATTTTCGGCAGCGCGGGGTTGGAACATCTTTTCAGCGGCTGCAAGTTACACTTATTGATGCACAATATGGAGTATCAGCTGAAGATGCAGATATTTGTGAAGAAAAAAGAAATCGGATTGTGAAGAAATGATTCCATCTTTTCTTGGTTATTAATTCGTTCATTCGATGTGAGGACTGGCATTTTAGCTCCGTTGATCAGCCCCAGCTTCCAGAGGAAAGTGACTCGAAAACCACGCCCTTTGAGGCTCTAGGCTCGAAAACGAACAGATTCACGAAGGCAAGCTTGTCTCAATATTCCATTTATTACGGACATATTGATGTTACGGAGTCTATGAACCGATTTCTTGCTGGGCTCTTGTCTGCTTGGGGAGTATTCTTAATCATGAAATGAAGAGTGCTAGTCGATCTCTCTATAAGGGGCGTATCTTCATAAAGTGCGGAAGAATTTTGCCAATGTGACTGGATAAACTGCGATGGCTCGGATGATATTGGTCGTATCTTAACTTCCTGACGGAGTTCATCAACAGATGTCAAGTGGACCGGTGGAAGGGTGAGATGAGAAATAGTCAATTAATCTCTCTCCGAAATCGATATTGGGAATAGATCGCTACCAATGCACCGCAGAAACGCCGGATCACTCCTTGATTATCAAGAACCAAAACAAGAAAAAAAAATGAGATGCCAAAGGTATAAACCTGACTGGATATCATGAAAGCAAATATTTCAATAATCCAACCCCATTCAACTTAACCGATCATTCGAATCCAGTACTCTAGAGGGCATGTTAGCTGAGGCCAAATCTCAACAGATATAACGACTTACGAATAATGCTTCACCAGAGTGCCCTCACCTCCTTTAGAGAGATCAATGTTAAACACATAGAAGCTGCCCTCAGCCGTCACTACCATCACCTGGGGTGTATTGCTACTCATTGCAACGACAGTCCGGACACTTCCTGAACCACCGTTGCCGCCAATTGACTTGGGTAACTTTATCCAGGCGAAATCCCGCTCCGGCTCCCACATTTCGGTCACACCTTTTGGCAAATATCCACCTACAGTAGCCGCAAAAGTGTTGCCCACGTTTTGTGACGTGCGACGAAGCATTCCCATCAGCGTGCCGTTGTGCTTCCTAGAAGAGATTTCTGAGCCCAATGAGTCGGAATCATCCCCAGACCCACGGTTAGATTCGCGATTGCGGTTTGGGCTATTACCCTTGGAGGAGCCTTGTTGCTGGCCTAGCCTGAAGATATGGATGGTTTCTGTGGCCGACGACACGCACAGTAGCGTCGATGTGATATTAAAAGACATGCTAAATATCCTCGATGGCATCGACCCCCTCCTGAACTGATACAGTTTGTGGGCAGCAGGGACGGAGAAAACGCGGATGATTGTTCCTTTGTCGGAAGCAGTCGCTAGAAGGTTGCCTTCTGTATTGATTGCAAGGAACGATAATGGCGACTTGTGTGCTTCCACCACGTTGACAGCCTCGAGTTTATATGCATCAAATATAAGGACTTCACCGCTCGTCGGGGGAATATGAGTATTGGTCGGAGGGGTGTGCGGGAGCGGAGAGAAGCTGGGGGGCGGAGCCTTTTGCGGAAGTGGGTAGGCGAGGTAGCAATTATCAGACGAAGGTGACAGGGCGCAGATAGCTGTAATAGGGAATCAAAGTTAGCTGGGTGTTCACCAGCATTGGGCGGTCAAATTACCATTTGGGTTTGGTGATGTATCTATGGTATAGAAGAGTTTCATGGTCTGGATATCGTAGATATATATCTGGTCTTCCAGTACAATTGCTAAGCGTTTCCGATTTAAGCGAATGGCCAAAACGGTGGTCGGAAATGTGAGCTCGCAAATGACGCGCTGTTTCTACAAGAAGCAAGTTAGGATTTATAAGATAGTACGTTACGAGAAAGTGGAAGCAATCCAAATGTACGAGATGGATGTACCTTTGTATTCATGATCTGCAACCGTCGTGGGGAGAGAATCACAGCGACAAGAGAAGTTGAGAATAGCATTTCCAACAGGGCTATGTTCCCTTCCTTATGTTCGTAGCTTTTCCCAAAGGGATCCGTAGTATATATGCGGAATCCTTGTGTAGTACCTACAGCGAAAAGCGTTAGCGGTGAAAGGGCATCCATCGCCAGAATGTACGTACCAACAGCCAGATGGCTGTAGTCCTGGTTAAATGTGACAAAATTCATCGTAACGGTGAACAGACCCAGCGCAACGACTAGCTATACACGGGAATAATGGCTGGCGCAGCCCGGGTTTTGCAGGCAGAATCGGCAGACCTTCCGATATTGAATCCTCCTTCACACTATGAGGCACTCTCAAAGTGGCTATAAATCGTTCATCACGGATGTGGCCTTGCCGAGGTTTGGATGGGGAGCGGAAAAAATTTGGTAAAGAAGTATTGGCGGGAATGGAAATGTGGAATATTATACGTTGAAGAATCTGAGCCTAGAGATCCGTTGCCTGCAGGTTGTGAATCTCGCATTGTGCTGCCTGTCTGGTAGGTCATCGCGAATCGGCGGGAAGTCAAATGACGCCAACGTCGACGCTCGGACCATGCATACCTTGAAGGCCCCACGTGATAATTAGCTAACTATGTTTATGTAATCAACAGTAACTAACCAACGGCTTCAATGTCTTGGCAGATCTGATAAGGTCTGATAACGCTTCTTTTCATCACAAGCCTGCACGACCAGCAGAAGTTGGGGGAGAGAGCCGCGATATCTCTCGAGGAAACGATGGGGAAAGCGAAATCCGCCAGGGTGCGGCGGGCAGGTGCCAAAACCGAATTGGAGAAGGGCTTGGTGATGGGGGCAAGTTGTTCCCTCACTCCCGCATTGGTCCTAGACTTGGTCTTAAATTTTGCTAAGATTCTACCATTAGACGAACGGGAGCAGTATTGTTTCTAAACGGAGTGTTGAACAATTATACTACACTGAACCACACTTCATTCGCTATTTTGTAAAGAAGCGACAGAGACGATCACCGCTGATCAATCGAGGGTACTGGCTGCGGATGTATGCGATTGAGCATTCAGTGCGAACATTTTTAAATCAGCATTCTAAACGCCCAAAGTTGGTTATAAATTTTGGCTGCGGATTGTTAGTAACCTAAGATACTTTTGATTGGTGCCTTGTAGCTGACAGATTCAATTCTTCCCATAGCGATCCGTTGCCATTTCAGTTTCTGACCCGCGAGAGTGCAATATGCGAAAATGTCCGATTTGTGGATGTCGATTACCACAAGCTTATGGTGGAGAAACGGACGACGATACGTCAAACCAATGCGCTTGGTGGCATCATACCAGACGCGGAATACCCACCAGAAGATGATGCCCTGCTTGTCAGAAGTAAAAAGTACATTGGGATCGGGTGTGATTTGGGTGAACTTGCAACATTGGAAAAGGTGTTGAGGTCGGAATTTGGATCTACTTCTGAATTTTCTATACTTTGCACAGCCGAGGTGTCCCTGACCTATATGGACGTTGACTCTGCAGATGCCTTGCTTCAGTGGGCCTCGAAGTTGAGTGACGGTAAGGACATCTACAAACTCTCATCTCAAGGCTTCTACGTTTACTAACGAACAAAAGATACCAATTTCTGCCTCCTCGAACAATACTTTCCAGATGGACCCGATCATCCGTTCGCACAGACGATGATGGGCCACTTTCACAAGTTGCGGACTCCGCTTTATTCCATCCACAATTATCCTTCACTACGGCAACAAGAAGAGCGGTTTATCAATGCCGGCTGGAAGGATGTGGACGTGAAAAGTTTATGGGCTTTATGGGGCGACTCTCAATTCCTAAACGATGCGCAGAGAATGGCTCTCGATGAATTCGAAGCATTTGATGAATGGGAAGAATTTGCACTTTTCGCCTCCCATTACTTTCTACTTCTCGCATCGACTAAAGCCTCGATGACGAACCATAAGATATATCACGTTCCGGAAAATATGGTGACTCCTTCCCAGGATCTCAAGTTAACTGCTCAGTGTCCTCTTAAGTTTAATGGCCAGAGGCGCTTTGGATCTATGGTCCCAGTTAACGGAAATATGGTTGGTTTACACGGTGGCTTGGGACTTCAAACACGTCTTTCATCGACACAGGTATATAGCGCCTCAGAGGTGGAGCACTCAATTCATGACATTCCCCCAACAAGCGTTGGGGCGCGCATGTGCCATTCCACGACCACCTTTGGCAAACGTTGTTTACTTGCAGGTGGCAGGTCTTCGCCAACAATGCCATTGGGTGACTGCTGGTTAAAATCGGACGGAATATGGAATCAGGTCGATAGTCTTCCGATTCCAAGTTTCCGGCATTCTACAGCAACTGTTGACGTCGGACCGGGGGACGAACGCGTGTTATTGTATGGAGGCAAATCAGAGAGTGGTCGTGTTTTGGGAGACTTCTTTTTATGGTCTGAACAGAAAGGCTGGAATCAGATATCCTCCGCAGGAGAGATTCCGCAGCCACGATTTGGGGCTGCGATGATTAATATCGACAGCCAGTCGGGAATAATGTGCGGTGGGATGTCCCAAGATGGTGTGGTGCTGAATGACATCTGGGCTTGGAGGATATCCTCATCGAAAGAATGTGATATGGTCCTGACATTAGACGACTTAACAGAAATATTTGCGGCCTCGACTCCGTTGTTCAAGTGGTTGGGCAGACTCGGCTCAACCATCAATAATATGGGAAACAAAATCGTTATCACCGGTGGAATCACCAGTGCCGGGTGCATTCCTCAAGCATATGAGATCATGCTTTTAGATTTGGCGGCTCTGCATTGTTTAATGCAAGGGCAACCTCTACAAGACAACCTTCTAACACCACTGGGGCTAGGGGTCGACTTCAACGGCCCGCGACCACTGCTTGTAGGTCATTCCTCATCTCCAGTCGAAGGCGGCAAAATTCTGATAGCCGGCGGCGGGGCGGTGTGTTTCTCTTTTGGAACGTTTTGGAACGGAGGAACATGGCTCTTGCAGGATGCAGCGCCAGATGCTACTAACAGCTGGTTGGTAGTCGAAGTAGCCAGCAATTCGGAACAAGGGCCAGCAAGAACAATAGCCGGGACGCCCCAGCCGATTATAAACAATCAGGACTCACTGGTTACGATTCCCCGGATCAAGATTACAAGTTCTCAAGAGTTTCGGACCATTGTTGACAAGTCAAAGCCGGTGATTCTAGAAGGTCTCGATATCGGGCCATGTGTGAGGCTGTGGACAAAGGAGTATCTTCAGAAATCAGTTGGGAGTGACAGGAAGGTATGTTCGACTATTCGAGCCCGGCCTAAGCACATATAGCTGATTCGAGATAACACATCTAGGTCGTTGTTCATGATTCGCGATCGGACCATATGGATTTCCAGACCAAGAACTTTGACTATGTGACGAAATCGTTTGGAGCCTTCATTGACGAAGTACACAGTGGCTCTCGACAATATCTTCGAGCGATATCTGCCGACAAACCCTCTGAAGAACCTGCCAGCCTTTCAACAGATTTCCCTGGTCTCAAAGACGATTTCCAGTTGCCGCCTGAATTATCCCTAGTGTCAGAGAATGCCCACAGCTCCCCGCTCAGGATATCGGGGCCGGTTATCCTGTGGTTGCACTATGATGTGAGGACTTTCACCTGTGTTTCCCCAAGCCTTTACTCACCTTGGTTTCACTTGGTCTAACGAAATATCCAGGTTCTCGCCAATGTCCTCTGCCAGGTTCAAGGCGAGAAGAAATTAATCCTCTATCCCCCAAGCGACGTTTCAAAACTGGGCTTCGCTCCAGGTGCCTCAAGCTCCTCGATCAACATCTTCCGCAAGACCACGGAGCACCATCAGCCCACTTCGCCACCGGGCACCACTCCGCACGAAGCGGCCATGAAACCAGGAGACATTCTTTTCCTCCCACCACTCTGGCTCCACACAGCGTGTCCTACCGACGGCGTCAGCGTCGCTGTCAACGTGTTTTTCCGCAATCTCACACCCGGCTCCTACGCACCCGGACGGGACGTGTATGGCAATCGCGATCTACACGGGTATGAGAAAGGGCGGCGAGATGTGGAGAAGATTGCTCGATCATTTGATCGGTTACCCCGCGACATTGCCCGGTTTTATCTTGATCGCCTGGCCGATGAGCTCAAGGAGAAGGCGGCCACGTGACCATGTCGTGATGCGGGAGAGGAAACAAACAGAAGCGAAAAAGAAAAAGAAACCGATGGACTTGTTCTTGCTGTTGCGTGAAATAAAAAAGGCAAGTTCCGACTCCGACAAGGATGCTAGCCTGGCTCTCGGATGCCAAGCGAGGTTGATACATCTCTGCTACATGCCTATCTTGTGTTATCATTGTCGTAGGGGGTTGACCTCAATGTTGCTCGACGAATTGGCAAGCCACCTACCTTTGCATGCGCTCACGATAGGTAGACGGGTTACGTGGACAATTTGGATTATTCTCGCATTTGCAGAAAAAGCAGCAGGGAAGTGAGCAAAGGAAAACTTGAAATTTCTCGAACAAATCCCCAGGTCTCCCCCCAATGATTCGAGAAAGGTGAGCCGTGCCATTCGACAATCCATGCCCTTTTGTCTGAAGCCATGAGGTCTGGACCCCAGTCCCCACAATGCCTAAATTCAACAGCAGTCCAAAGAGCCCATGGATTCCATGTTAGTTGCTGAATGTATGGACATACATCCTGTACTCTCCTCCCAAGATGAGTTACCCAGCAAGCAAGCAAGCAAGCACCTGAAGCACGTCCATCACTCCAAGCCGCCTTCCAGAAGCAGCTGGGAAGAATTGTCGCTTCCCAGATCAAGCAACCCCGCTGTTTCCATTTCCAGACACAAAACGCGTTTGTCTCGATTGACCGTTTGACCCCACTTTGAACCCAAATCAGACCCGCCCACCCCTAATCCTCGGGCTCCCATTGGCCAACCTCCCTGTTGCCGGTGGGGCGAGCATCTCCACAAAAGTGTGTTTTGCTGTGCTGGGCAAGTGCGATCCTCTGCCTCAGCCAGTCAGTGCGGATAGGGAGCAAGCACGAGTCACCTTTTCCCGGGATGAACGGGGTACTTGACTGTCGTAGGGCAATGCCGCCTGGGAAGAGGTACCGCTGCGATACTTGACGGGGACTGCGGGTGTGCGTTGGCTTGTCACCTTTTGCTGCAGCACACGAACCCGTTGATTGCTGCCGGTTCGTCTTGTCCTCGTACTCACTCGGCAACCCTCCCAATGTCTGCACAAGCTGGCCTCAAGTCGCAGCAAGTTTCAATGGCCAACCATCCTTGAAACAGCTCCTGCTTTGATTCCTGGCACCCTTGAAGCCCTGGAATCACATCCCCATGGCCCTGTCCGAGGGACCGCAAGTACCAGATGTAGCGACTCTGTAGTCCTCATGTCACTCCCCGCCCCCAGCCCGTGATGAGACGCGTGTGAGAAAGGAAAAAGACAGCCTTTTTGTTTCGTCTGTGTAGTCATGACTTCACTGGTGACTTTGGTCCCGCCAGCAAATCAACTGCCTCAATTCTGTTTGGCCCGTTCCCCCTCCATTCAACCCATGGATATCAACCATATTATTCTCCATGCGTCCGTCCTTCCGCCACACTATTCCTCTCGCATCCTTCGTCCCCCAGTTTCTTCTCGGTGCTCCTGCCTAGTATATACTCGATTCTCGATGTGTCGCCGTCTCCTACGTAATTGAATCTCATCTTCCGGCTTGGTGTTGCCGTATCAACTGAATGCAGTGAGAAGTGACAATTTGCCGTGTTCCCATCTGGTGTTGTGTCAGTTTGGCCCTTCATCGACCAACTTCCGCGATCGAACGTCTTAAGCTAACCAGTGTTATGCACTCAAGAGGCGCAAAGTGTCGACGATGGCCGAGTGTTGAGTCCGATCTCACCAGGTGGGCTGATTTTCCTGTTTGGGAACGCTTCCAGTCCTGACTATCAAACGTCGTGTCACCAGTTCTCCCACTTGTTCAACCTGTCGCTCGTTCGTCTTCCCATCCTCGACTGCTTCGGAGGGAGGCCACATCACTTGCGCAATCGGCCAAATCCGCGATTTCTCTGCATGCAAGCAATGTAATCGTGCACCGTCCAGCCCGATCCTCGTGAGATAAACACCAAAAGAAAACCGCCTTTGTCTACCACGCTTTACATACCAGAGCCCTCAAGAGACCGTATCATGGCAACAATCGTGGTTCAGCAGCCTCCGGTGCAACACTCTTCGACTCCTCCTCCTCTCTCCTCCGCTCTCAGTCTCAGTGGCTCCGCATCGCGGGCCCAACCCCCCATACCAAACAAACACCTCCCCGTTTGCCCCACGGGCCCACCTCCTGCAAGCTCAAAGATACCCGCTCCAACGGTATCAACGACAAAACCCGTCAAAACATTTCTTTACCCCCCGAGCAAATTTCCAAAGCTTTATGATAGCCCTCCCGTCTATACCCTCGATGCAAATCAGCTGGCGGCGGCTCTCGATGAAGCATCCACCCGAGCCTTACCAGAGCCAAACAAGGTCTTCCCGTGGCTGCATGGTTTACACCCAGACAACCAGATCCAGCTAGCATTTTTCGTTCCGAGACGGAGAACCTTGCGACGCGTTCCGAAATGTTTGAGGAATGTAATCATAGTCAAGGTTGGTGGGGAACTGAGTAGCTCAAGGATCAAAGGAGCAGTAGCGCCCAGTGAGATCCTTAACGGCTCTACATTTCTCGACGCAGACCCGCCTATGGGATTCTCCGTGCGAAATTTCCATATACAGGCCGCGAAACTTGCCCCCGTTTGCGATATCGTCGTTTACGGAGAAGATGGCGTGAAGCCGTCCCAGTTGTTATCATTGGCTAAACAGGTGTCATCGGCACAGGAAACATGGAGGCTGAAGTTTGATCCTGGAGAAGAACACCGCCTGGTTAACACTTTTATTCTATCGAGTAAGTGTCCTCCATCCACCACGAAGGTATCCTAAACCTAGACTTACAGACTTTAGCCTCCTTTCGTGACCTTGAAAACCAGCACCCTGAACTGGTAGCTGTTCGCTCCGATGGACAGATCACCGATCGAGTAATGGATTTCTGTAAGTGTTAGCCCGCTTCGCGATTTATCATCTAAATGGAATGTTAACCGAGCAAACGTAGTCCGCTGGGAGCGAATTGAGATGTGTAACATGTCTCACCCGTCCGAAATATCCAAAAATGTTTTCCTGGGCTACACCCCGGAGCCATCCTCTTCTAATTCTAACGGCGATCAAAAGCCGCCGTTTGATCTCATGATTGAAACACACGATGTTGCCAATATACCTGACCCACGATACCTCACCAAAGTCACAACTCTTCTCGAAAGCGGCCCTCAGTCCATAGAATTTCCCTCATCTGGCAGTATCATAGCCTCTGAGCTGAGCCAAGTCGAAGTATTCGACATCATCGACACATGCAGATGGATTTACCATTTGGCGCATCCTCCCGAACCAGAGCAGGAAATGGTTGAAGCTGATGGAGATATTCAGATGGTCTCGCTGAATTCTCGCCCTCGAAAGATCTTGATCCATTGTGCTGACGGTTATACCGAGAGCTCCCTTCTAGCTATTGCATACTTCATGTTCGCCGAAGGTGTGCCAGTTCACGAAGCATGGCTGAGGCTGCACTGCGAGAAGAAAAGAAACTTTTTTGCGTATCCTTCAGATGTCACGTTTTTAACAACAATACAACACAAATTATTGCGTGAAAGCCCTGCAGCAAAAGCTAGCCGGCTTGTGAGCCAACCCGATCCGGACTGGATGACGAGGCTCGATGGCTCCCTCCCGAGTCGCATTTTGCCATACATGTACCTAGGCAATCTGACACATGCTAATAATCCAGAGTTGCTGCGGGCTTTGGGGATTAAACGGATTTTGAGCATCGGGGAGCCGGTATCCTGGCAGGACGCAGACCTTCAGAACTGGGGCTCCGATAATCTAATGATGATAGACGACGTTCAAGACAATGGTATAGATCCTTTGACAAAGGAATTTGATCGGTGTTTGGGGTTTATCGGTATGTTGGGTCATAGCGCCGCTCTACACGACTACCCAGTGGCATTAAAAAGCTAACGTTGCCTCTAGAAAAAGGGAAGTTGGACGGCACTGCTACCTTGGTACATTGTCGTGTTGGCGTCTCAAGGTCTGCGACCATCTGCATTGCAGAGGTCATGGCTTCTCTGGGGTTGTCCTTCCCCAGAGCATAGTAAGTCGCCTGCTGCTTATCATGTCTATTCGTGGCAATCGCTGATGGTAATCTAGCTGTTACGTCCGGGCAAGAAGATTAAACGTCATCATTCAACCGCACCTTCGATTTGTGTAAGCTTAACCTGCACCCGCTTATTCCATTCTTGATATCATGCTTTGCGCTGACTCCAAGGGGACTGCCTAGTTACGAGCTAATGAAATGGGACGAACTTCTCCGGCAGAAGCGCAACCAGCCCATTCGACGAGACCTGGAATGGATAACGATCACCCGCGAGATTGCTCTCATGAATAAGCCATACTCTCGACAGTAGCAACCGGTGCTTCTCCTCTTTTTCCTGTCACAATTTCAAGTTTTCTTTTTTATATATGAATGGCTTGGCCATTTTGCGAGACACGTGAAACGAGTACTTTACTGTATGGAAAGAGCATGTACTGCAACCAGAGCTGTGCATTTACGAATTTTCTTTTTTTTTTTCTTGCTATGATGACTTCGGTATTCTCCTTTCCTCCTCTGTTATCAGCCTAGCCACTTACCCTTGGCTTTCGATTCTTTCTAACTTTTCTTTTTTTTTTCCCGCGTTTCTTTTTCTCATTCGATTGTTATTTACTTCACTTTTTTTTTCTTCTCTTTTCTTACCTCTTCATTTTTCTGCTTTTTTCTTTGCAAGATACTAAGGATCTACGAACTGGGCTGGAATGGTACCTGGAGTCGGGATGATACGAATAGGAAAAAAGATTGAACGGACCATATAGTTACTCTGTATGGCTGGTAGCGACGGATGCTGGGCACAATTTGTTTTTGTTTCTCCCTTCCTACTCTTGTCCGCTGGGGCTGGGAAAGGAGTATGCGTCACGTTTCATTTACTTTCCTTTTTTTTTTTTTCGTCTTTCCCCTTCAAAGTACGGAGTAAGCTAAAGAAATTCACTTTAATTCTCGTTTTTATATTCCATGACGCCAGCGGAAAAAACATTCTTGTGGCTCATTGTAGAAAGTAACTCCTTCTAAGATCGATTGAGGAACGATATGCAAGCCGGAAGAGATTTTTCGGAAACGAATTGGTAAAACGGCAATGTGGGACATAGCCTTTAGGAGAAGGAACCGAGAGCTTCACATGAGAATGGGTATTCGGCAAAGAAGTATGATTATGGCGGGCACAAAAGAAAAAAACATATCCACAGCAACCGTTTCGACCGAAGAAGTCTTAAATTCCCGTCAACACCTCTCGAAAACTCTGTACAAGCCTTTTAAATCAGCCACTTCAATCGCACCTCGCACCAAATCTTCCGTCGCCACCAGTCGAGACCGAATTGCTGGAAAAAGGACATGTTCCAGCATCCAGGCCAGCTGCGTTCGCCGACGGGTTATCGACGGGTCTTCGTTGGTATTGGGGTTCTGTTGGCTGTCAGGCTGGTGCTGCGAACTCGAGGTCTCCGGTGCTGTTTTGCCATCGTGCTGGGTGCTGGAATCGTCGGGGGTAATAGGTGCTGTGGTGGCTGTTGGGGGAGTGGGTAATTGTTCCGGGGTATAAAATGCAGCCAGCTCCCTCAGAAAAGTTCGAAAGCAGGCTTCTTCGTTGGACCAGTCGATGTAGGGCCCAAGTCGTAGTAGAAATCGTGGTAGTTTTGCCAAGGACGGCATATAATTCTTCAGTAACAAGGGGATGGATAGGAGGTTGCCATCTTCTGAGATAGAAATAGAGAAATACTCGTTCAACATCTCCCTTCTTTCGATAAGATGTGCTGCTATGGTTTCCGGCACTCGGCTGAAGTCAATATCTTTAGGCTCTTCCGTATCCGTAGCGTTATTTGTGCCGGAGCCTTCTCCTCCGCCTGCTTTGATACGGCGGTGATGCTCCTCTCGTTCAACGGCTGTAGCAAGAGAGAGTAGGTCCACCAATCGTGGCGAAGATTCCAGGTTAATTGTTCCAAAATTGCCGAAATCAGTTAGCCCAATCTGGTAGAATAATTCATCGCAGATCATCCCGTAGTCCAAAAGGTACAGGTTAACGGCGGAGTGGATCGCTGCTATCCTGCGCCGTTCATCCACCAGGCCAACATACGTCAGCGATGCGGAGATCTCTGTTAAGGTGTTGTGCATTGTTGAGCGAACCTCAGCACGCAGATTCTTGACAGACGTGAGACGAATATTAACCGCCTCGCGCCCGCTGGGTTCGGAATGGTGAGCGGCCGGTGATTGGGCGTCCGCCTTCTTGGTTCGTACTTTGGTCTGGGGGTATTGACCGGAAACATGGACGTAATCTTTCTCATTTTGCATCTGTCCGCACGAGATTATTCTCGTAAGGCCTCTTGGATCCTGCTAGAGTCCGGAGGGCTACTTTTCCCTCTATAGTAGAGCCAGGGGAAAGCGGCACCTGTGCGTTGGGTGCCTGACGGGTGTATTACTGGGAGCAATGTTTGGGTCATGAAAGTTCGACTGGAATCAACGTTGGCCAGCTTTGTTCTGATCGCATTACAGACCAATTCAATGATCTCATCTTCGTTCAGGAAGTTGACTTCTCGCTTGGTGGGGTGGATATTTACGTCCACCCTCTGAGGCTCGATTTCGAGGTCTAGATACGCGAATGGATGCCCGCCTTTGGGTAGGAAAGCAGAGTATGTTTGCTCCACAGCTTTGCGTACAGCGGATGATTCCACAGATCGATGGTTGATAAATAGCAAAACGGTTGTCCGTTTAGCATGATGATTCGCGTTGCTGGCCAAACCCGTCGCGCGAAATCCTAGCGTTGAGTCTTCCACGTCGAAAGAAATAAGTTCGTTGGCCACAGCGCTTCCATAAATTTGCCGTACACGATCATTCGCGCTTGAGGTTGCTAAAGTCGATACACTAACCCCCGAATCACCATGTTTCTTGCAGGAGAATGAAACTCCATCACAGTGTACGGCATAACGACCAACGATATCTAAAATTTTGGCATACTCTTCACTAGCGGACCTAAATGCGCGACGTCGAGTTGGAACATTGTAAAATAGATCCTCAACCTAAAGTTATCGTTAAAATCAGACACCTCTTGGTGTAAACATGTTTCTTCGTACCGTTATCTGAGTACCGCCGCGACCCGCAGTTGGCTTAGGGCCAGGAGTCTGCCCAGGTTTCGCAGGAACAAGTTTCCCGTCTCGATAATGGGCTCTCCATGCACAGCTGGAGCCAGATGTTTTAGTAGTCACGGTAAGGTGGGCGATATGGCTTATGCTTGCCAAGGCCTCGCCACGGAAACCGTACGTAGCTATGCTAGACAAATCCTCAAAGGCTTTGAGCTTGGAGGTAGTGAATCTCTCGCAAAGTATAGGAAGATCCTCATGCTACAGCCGTGTCAGTCTTTCATAATATCATCCAGTAACAAACGTATACTGACGTCGATTCCATGTCCATTATCGGTGATTTGAAGGAGCTTCAAACCTCCATCTTTGACTAGGATTTCCACAGACGTAGCGCCGGCATCAACAGAATTCTCGATCAACTCCTTTAGTGCATGCATAGGAGCAACAATAATTTCCCCGGCTGCTATTTTATTCACAACATCCGGATCTAAAGCCTACTATCTAGTCAATCGATTGAGGCGCCATAGCTCGAAGTTGCACCATACCTGGATTTTTCTTGGGCCATGAGTTGGGAATCCGGCGTCGGCGGCGGTACGTTTTACCCCTCGAGGGTCTTCAGTGCTGTCTATCTCCATCTTGTCACAGTCCATTTGATGGGGAATGAGTTGCACCAAATGGGTGACAGACACGAGCTACAGCAAGTTCATCAGCGGCGTTGGTACTCGACGACAAGGGTGGTGTTATCGCATGAGCCCGAGAATGGATAAATGGGCCGCCAGCTGCGGCAAAAACGATTAACGACTCCTTGCAGCATTCAGAAGCAGACCCAAAGGAGTCAACCTTTCTTATCAAACTTGACGGAGAGACGATGGCGGTGCTGGATGCTTGTTGTTTGCAACACAAAAGCGCCAAGACGGTGGAACCCAGCCCTCCACTTCTAGACCACCGGCCCAAAGCATCGCCTTCTCGCAGCTCCAGCAGCTCTCAGCCAGGAATTCCCGCCAATATCGTTACTGCAGATCTTCGCTTGCATGTACGCAATGGCTTGATGGACGTGCTACGGATCAGCAGGTATGTAACTAACCGACACTTTCCCCGACAGTCCCCTTTACATGCCACAACGTCTTCCTCCCCGGAGTAGAGGCGCGTGGACGAGCCGCGGAAGCATAGAGCGGCAACGACAGAGATTATGTCTCTATCAAGGAGGATTTTCCTTGCAGATGAAGAGCTCGGGAAAAAAGATGACGACCATCATCGCAAAACGGCACACTTCCGGCGGCCGTCCTCGACATTTTGGCGACTCCCGCGTCGGCGACGTGCTTTCGTCTTGATCATTGGCATCGTCCTCTGCTATCTCCTTTTCACCGCTATATCATCCCTGAATCCTTCCTACGACGAACCACTTGAAAGTACGAGAACTGTTCGGCCGTCATACCCCGTACACAATGCGATTCTACGCCCAAAAGGCCCTCCCCCGCTCCCGGATAAAAGGCAGGAACGCCGCGATCATTATTTTAATGGCCCAATAAAGTTCTATTCTTTGGCAAAGTCGCTATATTCCATCCGGGGGTTTGTGGGTTATAACCGTGAGAATAAAATAGTGCTGTTTGCAGTTGCGAACTTGAAGTGTCTCTCGAATCTACTTCCACTCGCCTGTGAAATGTCCCGGCAAAAGTTAAACCGAGTACATATCGCGCTGTTGGGGCGGGACGGTATATCAATTGAAAGAATTCAGGAAGTTAACGGTTACAATGAGTCAGATTGTTCGTTGGTTTGGCATGGTATGTGGCGGCCTGCACTACCTTGTCATATTTACATGCTAACATTTTCAAGATGCCCGCCCCGATTATGGTCATTGGTCCACAGACGCGAGAATGGAGGCAAGCGTCAAGTCCGCAATCGGACATGTCAATGCAATTCTCCATCCCCAGGTCATTATCACCCATGAAAGTCGGGACGAGCCGTTCCTCGTCAAGGGCGTCAAAGCACGGGCGTCTCTAGCAGGCATAACGAATATCGGCCTCAAAGGCAGGGCGTCTAACTTCAATTGGGTTACAAAACTTGATGCTAGGGCTTTGGCAGGTAAGACCCATGAGAGCCGCATCCTTAACTTCTTTCTTCGATTTGAGCTCATCCACCCGCAGTCTGGAACAGGATCCAAATAGAGATACTCGTCCATGCACCTCCCGCATCGTCTGGATCGCTCTTACGGCTCCTCAAAGGCCTCCATAAGGCTGATTATTTTGGGTCCGTTCCCGGATTGACCATTGAACTACCCTCAGAAGTCGATAATCCATTACTCGAATTTCTTTCGGGTTTTACATGGCCGCCCCTGACAGAGAATCGTCAATTTACGTTGCGCCGTCGTATATCCCACAACGTAAGCCCTGAGGAGGCAGCTATGAGAAGTATCGATGCGTTCTATCCGCGCGATCCGTGGTTTTCTCATGTTTTGGTACTTTCTCCACAGACCGAACTAGCACCATCATTTTACCACTTTCTCAAATACTCTCTTCTAAAATATAGATATTCAACGGTAAATACCCCGACAACATATCACTTTTTGGGAATATCATTAGAGCTTCCCTCCTTTAAACCGACCGACGGATCTAAATTCTCCTTTCCAAACGCAAAGACTGTCTCCGCACCAGGTAGTAAAAGTACACTGCCTGTTTTCCTTTGGCAAGCTCCCAATAGCAATGCTGCGCTCTACTTTGGAGACAAATGGATTGAATTCCACTCGTTTCTTTCTAACCGATTTGCTCCACCGCTGAAAATGAAACAAACGACACGACTGAAGTCTGTTTTGAAGAAATACGCTTCCTGGATGGAATACATGCTCGAATTCATTCAGGCTCGTGGCTATTATATTTTATACCCAGCATTTGCTACCGAAGATGATTATTCCCTTGCCACAGTGCATAACGAATTGTTTCGCCTTCCGGAAGAACATGAATCAACAACAACCAAAAAGCAGCGTGCTGAACCTAGCTTGGAGAAAATCCACGATCCGCAACAAACGCTGCTTGATGAAACGTTTCAAGATTCCGAACCTGATTCTGTTGAAAGGATAGTTTCGGTGTCTTCGTCTATATCGGATCTACTTGATGCATTCCCAGCTCAGCTCCCACAGCTTGAATCATTAAACATCCTCTCACCCTCCGGTATCGAGGGTGGGCTTCCCAGTCTTCTTAGTTCAACTGAGAAGTATGTTCGAAGCTTTAAAGCAGAGATAGGGGGCTGTAACTCTGAAGATGAGCCCCCGGATTTCGTCCCGATGAGCGCCAATGACCTTTTTTGTCTGGATAGGAATGACAGCTAACCCTCTTACTATGTACCAAAAGACGGCACTGGCATAACCTTGAGCATTTTATTTTTCTGGATTATATCGCTTCTTTTTGCATTATTCACGGAGCACCTTCCCATTGGCATATATTTTGGGAGGTTTTTGGTGGGGATGAAAAGGAGTCTCAATATTGTCGAGTCAGTGCCTTTCTATTTCGCCCATTGTGCAGCTTTTGTCTGCCTCGCCCTTCAGAGCTCTTGTAAAGTATATAGTTGTACATTATCGCTATCAACCCCATCAACTAAAGGCCTCTTGGATAGTGGGCTATCGCTTCATCTTTCACTTATGATACCAATTTGATGGTGACTGTTGGGATGGGGGATTCTAGATGGAAAAGAGTGGTGTGCATCCCTCCGTCGTCATTCTAATACATCTCCATCAAACAAATTTCAAATTGGCTATACCGATATTATAGCACGGATATCCTCGTTAGCATGAACAACCGATGCCGCCCATAGAACCTGAAAACCCTCCTTCAGCCACGGGTCCCAGGCATCATCGAGGAATCTAAGTAGTGCGAGGTTTATGGATCACAGGAGAATAATTGGAACGGTGTTATTTTCTCATGATCTAGCAGAGTATTCTGACTGAATTGCAAGACTTGATGGCTCCCAAGCGTAACTCGTTTCCGGCTCAAATGCCATGTCGGGTAGAACCATTGGAAGTCAGACGTGAAAAGAGCAACGACACAGGGCTCCGTAGAATAGGCCCACCGTTGGGTGCGATGGGCGAGGAGCTTGGGGTTCCTTTGATGTTAAAAGGATATACAGCACACTCAACGTAATCCACCTCCAGAGTAGAAGGGTAAATCAGAGCCATCATGATTCACGAATGAATTGTGGAAGTTGAACTTGGGCAAAGAGGAACTTCAGCTTTCTGAGGCATTCGATCTGACTAAGCAGGCACCAGGTGAGCTGCATCACCAGCCGCAACTCAAAGCTCCAACTTCAAGCACCCCCAAAGATCAATCTAGTCCTACCTTTTTACCGTTTCATACTCTGTCGCCTACTTTCAAGCCAAATATTTTTGGAGGAAGATTGAATAGCACCGCACATACGAGTTTCGCAGTCTCAATCTACATCTCCAAGGATGGCGAAAGAGGACCAAGCTGGCGCCTCGGACAAAGGCAAAGGAAAGGTTGATGATGTCCGAGACTTACAGGAGGATAAAAAGGAAAGCAAAGATGGAAAACTTACGATAAACGGGAAGAAGGATGAGAAGCCCAAGGAAGGTATGGACGCATTATTTCAGAATTGTGGTTTTTGAAGCCTTGCTTGTGGAGTGCTAACAGTGCTTTTGCAGAAGAGCTTAGCGAAGAGGACCAACAGCTAAAGGAAAAGCTTGAAATGCTGGTGGAAAGATTGCAGGTAATGCGGAAATCCCAGGCAACGTGGACATGAGCTCATTCATCTCGCCTAGGAACCTAATACTTCATTATACAAACAAGCTTTAGAAACGATCAAAGAGTTGATCAAAACCTCCACATCTTCCATGACCGCCGTTCCGAAGCCGCTCAAATTTCTAAGACCGCACTATGACGAGCTTACGACCCTCTACGAGCAGTGGCCGGCTGGTGACGATAAGGTGAGTGGTGAACAAATGCTTTAAATGAAAGCGAAATGTTAACTGGGTAAAGGATTCTCTTGCAGACATGCTTTCCGTTCTGGGTATGACCTACGGTGACGAAGAAAAATTCGAGACCCTGAAATACCGGCTTCTCTCCAGATCGAATGACCTTGGTGCATGGGGCCATGAATATATTAGGCACCTTGCCCTGGAAATCGGCCAGGAATACCAGAACAGAATAACGGATGAAAAGGACGTTCAAGACTTGGTCGATCTCGCCTTATCGCTCGTTCCATACTTCCTTAGACACAATGCCGAAGCCGACGCTGTCGATCTTCTGAGCGAACTCGAAATGATCGAGGAGGTTACCAAGTTTGTCGACGAAAATACATATCCCCGGGTATGTCTTTATATGGTCAGCATGGTAAATCTTCTCACATACCCAGAAGATCACCAGTTTTTACGGACGGCGCACAATATTTATATGCGATATAACAAATTCACACAAGCAATAGTCATTGCCATCCGCTTGAATGATATTGACCTCATAATGAGTGACTTCAATGCGACGTCGGATAAGTCAATCAGGAGACAAATGGCTTTCCTAGTGGCTCGCCAGCAGATCTGGCTCGATCTTGAAGATGAGGATGATTCGGAATTGGCGGATTGCCTCAACAATACACAACTTTCGACCCATTTCCGAACTCTTGCTAAGGAACTCAATATTCTGGACCCAAAAATGCCTGAGGATATCTACAAGACCCATCTCGAAAGCAATCGCGGTGCGGGGCTCACCAATGTGGATTCGGCAAGGCATAATCTTGCCAGCGCTTTCGTTAATGCATTTACGAACGCAGGATTTTGCAATGATAAGATGATGCTGGTTGACGATGACAAAGGGCCATGGGTTTGGAAGACGAAAGATGACGGTATGATGTCGACAGCTGCGTCAATGGGCATGCTTCTTCAATGGAATGTTGAAGAAGGGTTGGATAAGATTGACAAGTTCACGTATGCGGAAGAGTATCAAATCAAGGCGGGAGCGTTACTCGCAATTGGTATTCTTAATTCTGGAGTGCGACTTGATTCCGACCCTGCTTTGGCTTTGTTGAGCGATCCAGATAACCTGGCTAGCAAGAACACCATGATGAGGGTGGCATCCATTATGGGTCTCGGACTTTCATATGCTGGATCGTGCCGAGAGGACGTTTTGGACGTTCTATTACCCATTGTTGAAGATTCTTCTTTACCCATGCAGATCTCGGCTATGGCAGCAGTGTCTTTGGGCCTAGTATTTGTTGGTTCATCGAATCACCGGGTCAGCGAGGCTATAGCCACCACATTGATGGACGAAGAGAGACAACCTCAGCTAAAAGACAAGTGGACAAGGTTCATGGCGCTGGGCCTTGCTCTCTTGTATTTCGGAAGGCAGGAGGAAGTCGAAGTCATCCTTGATATTCTAAAGGCTATCGATCATCCGATGGCCAAGCCAACTTCGGTACTAGCTTCTGTCTGCGCCTGGGCGGGCACGGGAACTGTATTGAAACTTCAAGAGCTCCTGCATATCTGCAACGATCAAATTGAAGACAAGGAAGAGAAGAAAGGAGAGGAACTTGTTCAATCGTATGCTGTCCTGGGCTTGTCTCTTATCGCCATGGGAGAGGACATTGGCCAAGAAATGGTCCTCCGACAATTCGGCCACTTGATGCACTACGGCGCTGCAAATATTAGAAAAGCTGTTCCCCTTGCCATGGGTCTTATTAGCGCGAGCAATCCTCAAATGGGTGTTTACGATACTTTATCGCGATACAGCCATGACAACGACAATGACGTCGCCATCAATGCAATTTTTGCTATGGGTCTTCTTGGAGCGGGAACCAACAACGCTAGGCTTGCACAACTCCTCCGTCAACTCGCTAGCTACTATCACCGCGATCAGAACTCCTTGTTCATGGTTAGAATCGCCCAAGGACTTTTACATATGGGCAAAGGCAGCCTTACATTCAACCCGTTCCATACTGACCGCCAGGTTCTATCGAGAGTGGCAGCCGCTGGTCTTCTCACGGTTTTAGTTGCGATGATAGACGCTAAAGAATTCGTCCTAGCTGACTCACACTACCTCCTCTATTACCTTGTCACTGCCCTTTACCCTCGATTCCTAATTACGCTTGATGAAGATTTGCAGCCACTCAAGGTGAACGTGCGTGTCGGTCAGGCCGTGGATGTTGTTGGCCAGGCCGGTAGACCAAAAACCATCACCGGTTGGCAAACACAAAGCACACCGGTCTTACTGTCATACGGGGACAGGGCAGAGCTGGAAGACGAGCAGTACATCAGTCTCAGCAATAGCCTTGAAGGGCTCGTGATTTTGCGAAAGGTACACAACTTCCTTCCATTCGTCTCTGAGTTCCAAACTAACGACCCTTTTTTAGAACCCTGAATGGGAGAGCTCGTCATGATTTTTGGCATGTGATGTCCGGATCGTTCCGTGAAATGTATTTTCTTTTGCATTACTGTCAAATAAACCGGGGTCTCTTTGCGATGGAAAGGCAATATGTTTTGCTAAATACCATTAATTTTAAATGGCCAACGAACCAACCTTTCTGTTGCTCATAATGTCCTTGAGCTCCCTAAAGCCGGATTCTCGGAATCCCGACCTTGTACTGGCAATGTAAATTTCTGTGACTATAATGAAATTGTCCCGTGCATCAGCAAAATACCCCTTTCCGACTTGTTCATGCATTCCACCAGCTGGAACCGGTTGGGTCACGTGACCGATAAGGTTTCCTTATCTGATAACAAAAAAGTGCATCAACTTGCCCACGATCCAATAACTACAACATCGATTAGCCGTCGTGGTATCAAGAATATCAAAATCTCCCTGTTTAAATTGACAAAGACACAAAATGAGACTCGATGCGAAGGCTTTGAGATACCTTACAAACGAGGATTTTCGGGTCCTTTCAGGCGTAAGGAGATGCGAGCTGTGCGATGCTATCTTAAACTGCAGCTGACGAGACAATAACGGCTATAGATCGAAGTCGGAAGTAGGAATCATGAAGTAGTGCCGACCCCACTGATTATCCAGCTTTCCGGCCTCCGTGGCGGCAGCGGCGTTCACAAATGCATATCGAATCTTGCGAAGCTGAACTTGATAGCAAAAGTAAAGAATGCGAAATGTACGTTCAAACCTTCAAAGGTTGAAACGAAGCTTTGGAGCTGTTGAAGGCTAATGTTTGGTGCCGATTTCTGGTAGATGACGGCTATAGACTTGCTTACGGCGGTCTCGATTACCTTGCCCTCCATACCCACCAAAAACAAAAGGTCATATACTCAGTCGGCAATCAAATTGGTGTCGGAAAGGAATCGGATATTATCGTAGTGGCAGACAACTCAAAAACGCAGAGAATATTGAAGATACATCGCCTGGGTCGGATATCCTTTCGATCGATTAAGAATAACCGAGATTATCTTCGGCACCGCACCTCGGCCTCTTGGATGTATATGTCTAGGTTGGCTGCGGTCAAGGAATTTGCATTCATGAAAGCGCTCAGGGAGCATGGATTCCCTGTGCCCGAGCCAATCGCGCAAAATCGCCATACAATTGTCATGAGTTTGATAGACGCTTTTCCGTTACGCCAGATTGCATCTGTACCGAATCCTGCATCGTTATACGCTGAGCTGATTGATCTGATTCTACGCCTTGCAAGCTTTGGATTAATACATGGCGACTTTAACGAGTTTAATATCTTGATTAAAGAAGAGTCGAAGAAAGCAGCAAAGGGGAAACAACCAGAAGGTTCAGAGATTGAGCCTGATGATCTCAAGCTTGTCCCTGTTGTTATTGATTTTCCACAGATGGTCTCAACGGACCACACGAATGCCGAGATGTATTTCGACAGAGATGTTAATTGCATCAAGAGATATTTCCAGAGGAGGTTCGGCTTTGTGAGCGATGAGCCGGGCCCATTCTTCCGTGACGCTAAAAAGTTGGTTGGGAGAGATGGTGCCGTGAGATTGGATGTTGAAGTTGAAGCCTCTGGGTTTTCTAGGAAGATGGCTCGAGAACTTGAAGCTTATATGAAGGAAGTGGGTGTTGATGGGGATAATGCACAGGAAAAAGACGATGAGGAAAGTGAATCAGGGTCAGATATTGGTGAAGAGGAAGATATTGGGGATGAACAGGATGGTCAATCAATTGGGTAAACCTCAAGTCCTACAGCAAGCAAAATAGGGTTACTAGTATACTGGCCCACGACCATAATCAACAATCTCCGTCCTCTTTCTTCACTCAGATCGGGCATCGCGCCGTCTGGAATGCGGCAATCTTGAACGCTGGGGTTTACTCGAAGCCTGTAGACCTTTTCATCGGCTACTGATGTAGTATTCGGCGCGGGCATTACCACCCAAGCAGGCTTGAAACCTCTTGGAGGAGTATCATCCGCTTCGCTTAGAGTAACCCGCCATTCCGACGATATTACCACAGAGATATTGAAGCACGCCTTTTCCTCGCTCGCATTTCTTGCATCAAGACCAATCCTTTGCTAGTCTCCTGTAAGGTGCAGTTTTGTTCTCAATTAATATTTCTCATTTTATTGTATAAACCGATTCTCGGTGGTTGACATTTGAAGCTGTCTGCTCCGTATATCCCAAGATAATGTACATAGGCTTGGCTGGTTTGCCATGTTTGCCCATAAAACTCTAAAACACGAGTTCAGTTAACCTACGGAGCGCTGCACTGTCCCAGGATGCATTATCTGATCGCAAAAAAAGGACCTTCAACCGCGCCGTTTCTATCGCAAAGTGTCGCCGTTGAACCTCCCAGTTGGAAACTTGCCTGCCTTGACTTGACCTACCCTCCATAGCAGTATCTCAACACAATGCCGAAACCAGCAAATTTTGCGAGGCTCCCCTTCAATTGGTACAAGCCTCCACTCCCAGTCGAGCAACGGAAACAGGTCTACCTGTAAGCTTACTCCCCTTCATGTCTTTCCTGAGATCTTAATGTTATTCTTACTGACCACCCTTTAGGCCAGAATTTACAATCACCCTAATCCGCACTCCCTTCCTCCCCCCGCGATATGCCTCCTTCTGGGTTCCCCTCTCCTTCAATAAGCTAGACTTGAAAGATTACTTGAAAAGGGTATACAACGTCGATGTGATCAAAGTGCGAAGCTATGTCGAGCAGCAAAAGGTCACGCGAGAAAGGCCAATGGGAAAAGAAGGCTATGGCCCGCTAAGAAGACCAATGTCAAAGAAGAAGATGACCGTGGAACTCACGGAGCCATTTGTGTGGCCGGAGGAACCAACGGATTATTCGCCGTATGTTCTTATTGTTCCGTTTTAGATTTGTGGAAAATATACAATCCCCCCATCCGCAACCCGGGGGGAAAAGAAGGACATGGCTGATGAATAATACTGATTCTTTCCGTGCTTTACAGGTGGGAGCGAGATACCTACTTCGATGCCAAAAAGTCGCAGGACGATTTCCAAGAAGCCCACGGCCATGATGCCGCCATGAAAGCTCCAGAGCGCGAGAGAGAATTGCTGGCTGAGCAGGCAACACGCCTAAAAGCGGGAAAAGAGGCATGGCAGCCAACGTGGCAGACTTTGGGATTGAATTTCGAGAGACCGTTGCTGAAACCGCATTCAACGAAATCCTCCCAATCATCGTCTCCACCGCAGAAATGATAAAATGGCCGTTAACGATGGGCCAAATTAAATATAAGGTGATCTAGAACAGTGTTGGGTAAGAAGTTTGGGGATACGATTGAAGTGACCCATGGTCGGCAGTATTCACAACAGTGTATTATCTATTAGCGTCTAAGTGGTAGACTTGTATCAATAACTCATATGAATCGAAATTTAGTTGTTTCAAAATAGGCTATCCAACCAGTAGTAATTGGAAGCGGTTCCAAAAGTTGAGAGCTTGCGATATCAGTAGGAATGCTTAGTGGTTATAATATGTATACAAATGGTATGGCTTCAAAAGACCGACGCTTTAAGGCAAAAAAATCAAGTGGGCCACTACTTCTCTCTTAACACCGTCGCTATTGCCTGTGAACTCGGGTCACGAAATCCACCAGAGCCCTATTGCGGTTAAAAGCCGCAAGGATGTCGGACCATCCAAAATTACAATCTGCTTTCAAATAGCGGATGGCGATGCTCCCCAGGCCAGTGGCCATGGGGCCAGATGTGCCGAATAGCTTCCCAAATATGCCTTTTCAACAGAGTATTAGCATACGCCAAAAACCAACGTGGCTGAGCAAGGATAATTAGCGGCAAGAATGCTCAACTTACTTGACATAAACGATTTCTAGCTCGCTCTGCACCTCCACAGGAACATCTCGAACATCTTTCCGGTTATGATCTGGCAAAAGGACAGTCTTCACCCCAGCCCTATGGGCGCCAATGAGTTTCTCTTTGATGCCACCAACAGGCATCACACGTCCACGAAGGGAGATTTCACCGGTCATGGCGATCTCCGGTGGCACTGTTTTACCTGAAAAGAGCGAAACCAAAGCAATAGTATGTGCCAGGCCTGCAGAGGGCCCGTCCTTTGGAATGGCCCCGGATGGGCAATGGACGTGCAGACTGCGGTGTTTCATGATGTCTTCATTGGGATCTTGGGTGAGGGCCAATTCGTATGAATGTGCTTTAACCCAAGTCAAAGCAACTTCAACTGATTCTTTCAATACATCTCCAAGCTTTCCGGTCAGTTGAACACTTCCATTCCCCGGCATATCGGCGACCTCGATGAAAAGAATACTTCCCTGGCCGCCACTAGAGTAAGCTACGAGGCCAGTAACAATCCCAGGTCGTGCATGTTTTTCCGCAATTTCTTCATCGAACTTTTCAATACCAAGGATTTCGTCAAGGTCTTCAATTGTGACCTTTGGGTTATATGTGCCAGCCTTTTCATCGTCTTTGGCATCTGCGTACTGAACCGCTTTGAAGCGACAGACGGAACCAATCTCCCGTTCCAGATTGCGGACTCCAGCCTCGCGGGTGTAAGATGTGATTATTTTGTCAAGAACTTCATCGCTCAATTCAACTTGTCCATCGGAAAGCCCGTTAGTTCTGACTTGTTTCGGGACGAGATGTCTCCTCGCGATATGCCGTTTCTCGATGGTCGTATAACCCGACAGTTGTATCGTTTCCATACGGTCGAGGAGTGGTGCAGGGATCGTATCCAAAGAATTAGCTGTCGCAATAAACAAAACCTTGCTCAAATCAATAGGAATGTTGATATAATGATCAGAAAAGCTGTGGTTCTGTTCAGGGTCCAATACTTCAAGCATCGCAGCTGAAGGATCACCATGGAAGTTCGCACCGCCCACTTTGTCGATTTCGTCGAGCAGGAATACCGGGTTAGCAACGCCAACCTTTTTAAGGCCATTCACGATGAGACCCGGCATGGCGGCAACATATGTCCTGCGGTGGCCGCGGATTTCAGCCTCATCCCTCACACCTCCCAAGTGAGATACGGTGAAATCTCCGTCCTAACGAAGTCGCAACGGACTTTGCAAGACTAGTTTTTCCGGTACCAGGGGGTCCAACCAAGAGAAGGATTGGGGATTTGTCGGTCTTTCGCTTGGATTTAAGTACTTGTAACTTCGTTTCGATGTTGTCTCGCTCGGCATCAGGTGCGGTTTCCACATCATCCAATCTGCTTTCCGTAGCAGTAAGATCGCTAGATAGCTTAGATATCTCACTATGAACCTCGCTGTTCAATGATTGTTTAAGCTTGAGAACCGCAAGGGACTCTAGCAGTCGCTTTTTTATTTTCTCAAGCCCATAGTGATCGTCATCTAGTTGCTTCCGTGCTCGTTTCAACGTTTCAACTCCTAGTTGATCTTCTGTTACTTTTGTCCACGGGATTTCAGCCAGATTCTCCAAGTAAGTACGGCAGACGCCGTACTCTGCATTTATCGGGTTCATTTGCCGTAACCGTTTGAGTTCTCGGTCGGCGACCTTTTGAGCTTCAGGGCTTAATTGCGCCTCTTGGAGCCGCTGTTGAAGCTCGTCAATTTCGTTATTCTCCTTCTCTCCTTCACCTTCCCCTTTTCCGAATGGAGGGTACGGGAGAGCCGCACCGGCAGGTCGTCTCGCAAACATTTCTCTTTGCCGAGGATCCAACGTGTTTATATCAATCCCGAAATTCGATGGAAGACTTGTAGAGATTGTAGTCACTTTTATGACGTTTTTAATGGATTGAACTTGTTTGACCAACAAGTCAATTACCCGTTCCAGTCGAACTTTCAGGTCCAAAGATGCCAAGATACGCAGTTTCTCCTCAAAGCTACCATCTGCTATTTCTGCCATGAAGTCGGCAAGGCTACCAGCCTGGGAGAGATCTTTTTTCGAGATAAGGAGCTCGAACCTCCTCGCAACGAGCGGTGACATGCCCCGATTTCGAGGAGAACATAGATGCCAATCGTAACAGTGCGAGAAATTCACGCGATAACTGCTTAAGCTGGTCGAATAGTTCAGGAATCTCATCGTCGATAGAATGGGGCACTAGGATACAACAACATCTGTTAGCATCGCATACGGATTCTTTTCTGGGAGGAAGTGGCTATACCTGGCTCATCGTAAACGGTGATTTCCGCCTCGAAATGTGGTTTTTCCTTGGTAATTTTCCGAATAGTGAATCTCTTTGCTCCTTCTACAAGCATGTATGGCTCTGAATTCGGTCGACCTTGGACGCCGATCACTTTGGCAACCGTTCCATGTGCAAATAAATCCGCTTTGGAGGCGCGTGCTGGGTCGATTTTGACATTAGCTTGACCATTTTTGCTCTCCTCGTCTCCATTGTTGAGCAAGCGTTGACCGTCCTTTGAGAGCAGCGGTGAGCCGAGAGGTACGCAGCCGATAACAACAGGGGCGTTGCCGTATCTCTGGGAGGACCGGCTGAATATGGATGTTAAGAGGATAGGGATATCAGGACGGTCCGCGAGAGGGATTCTCAGACTCGTTCCGGGTAAGAGGAGAGTCCCTTTCGCCAGGGGAACGAGAGGGAGTTTCATCGTTCGGCTGTTGGTGGTACTCATGCTGGCTGATGGGCGGAACAAAAGTGCAGATGACAATGTATCGTGACTAGTGGGCCATAACACAACAGTATAAAGCAAAGGGACAACGGGGCAGTTATAAAAAGAAGCAGAAAGTGAAGGACGAAGCCAGAATGCCAGAGAACCTCCCCTCAGACGAAAGCGAGATGACGATGGCAACAAGATACCGAGGTTACTGTAATACGGTATTTCGTTGTCCGTGACACCTGTTCACCCTCCCGGTGGCGTAATTTCCATAACACGCGTTGTGTCAAGAGGGCTTCTGCCGCCGACAGTTCGCAAAATGTTCAAATCAACTTGCTTTTCCATATTCTGGCAATGTATAGCTGCCTTAGGATAGCCTGGTAGCTTTCAATGGCGCTGGGCTGGAGAAAAAATGGGGGATTGAGATGGTAATTCCCCGAGGCTGGTCCTGGTTGTGGCCTTCAAGTGGATTTATTGCTCTGAACTCCGAACTTTCATCACGAGTGAAAAGAGTCAACCGTTGTCGAGCTGTGAAAGCAAAGTCCACGAAATAAACTGTGTCTCTGTGGTTTGCGATATTCTGTTTTATCTCTCTGTACAACAGCATTAGCCTGTCAAACTGCACTGATTTACAGCATTTCACTGCTTCCAAGGTATACCCCTCTCGTCGGCGCCATCTCACCATCGCCATGGCTTCTACCGAAAGAAAAACATACACTATTGGGACGCGAAAGTCGCCGCTTGCTCTTGTCCAAACCGACCTCGTCCGTCGCGCCCTCCAAACCGCCTACCCAAATTGCGACTTAAAAGTGCACGGTCGTGACTCTGCCGGGGATTTGAACAAAATCACCCCACTCCGAGAATTTTCAACAAAGAACCTTTGGACTGAAGAGCTCGAGGAACTGTTGATAGCAAAAGAGGTCGATCTTGTTGTGAACTCTTTAAAAGGCAAGTAGAATAACCATAGAATTTTCAAAGTAGGATCTAACGTTTTCTATTTCCTAGATGTCCCGACTCAGATTCCAGACGCTTGCGTACTCGGTGCGATGATGCCACGCGAGAATCCAAGAGATGTGCTAGTTATCAAGAAAGGCTTACCGTGGATGACTCTGGCGGAACTCCCAGCTGGCTCAGTAGTTGGAACGTCCTCAGTACGCCGCACAGCTCAGCTTGCACGACATTACCCCCATCTAGTAGTCCAAGATATCAGAGGCAACATCGACACCCGATTAGCAAAACTGGATGCAGAAGATGGCCCGTTTACCTGTCTGATAATGGCTGCTGCAGGTTTGCTGAGAACCGGCCATGAAAATCGCGTCACGCAATATTTAGACTCTAAAAATGGAAAGATGCTGCATGCCGTTGGGCAAGGTGCGTTGGGGATTGAAGTTCGCACTGACGACGAAGTGATGAAAGATATGGTAAATAAAATCGGGGACATGCCGACGACCTATGCATGCATGGCCGAAAGGAATTTACTACGGACCGTTGAAGGTGGTTGCAGCGCTCCGCTTGGCGTTGAAACGGAGTGGATTCAAGACGATAATGGAAAGAGTTTATTGAGGCTGAGGGCGATTGTGGTGAGCGTTGATGGGAAGGAAGCTGTGGAGCTGGAAAAGGATGGCGATGTTGAATCTATTGAGGAAGCGGAAGCCTTTGGCAAACAAGTTGCGCTCGAGCTTATTGACAAAGGGGCCGGAAAGATATTGGAAGAAATTCAGCGCCAAAAGAGACAGTAAGAAGGGATGCCGTACGGCTTTTATTTATAGTAAAAGATCTGAAAGATAGAAATAACCAGGTCCTCTACTGCAAAATGCTCGTTGAAAGTTGACGGCTAGTGACAATACTAAAGCGATACCACTTGAATCCCATATTTTTATCCGAATCCGGGGATCAAATGCTCAACCGCTTGCAATGTGCAGTTTAACAAACCAAACATTTTAACAGCCTTATCAATCTAGACAAAAATTGTCCCATCGCTGCCAGGTCTGCTTGTAGAACCGTTACGAGTCACGGGTTAGGCAACCTAGTTTAGTTATCTATGCTGTTCCTGTCTCACCCAAATCGAACGTGCAGTTGATGAAAACCACAGGGCCATTTTAAACATTGGAACTTAATCGTTCAATATCTTACACTAGGCCAAAATGCCACTATTCGGTCGAAGCTTTGAAGATCCAGAAAAACGGACTCCAGATGACTATCCTCGTATCTACCTCTTCGGTGATTCTCTGACGGAGCGGGGCTTTAACGAACAAGACTCGGGATTCGGGTGGAAGTTGACACAGTATTATGAGGATCGGGTTGAGGTTGTCAACGAAGGTATTTTCAGATTGGGAACGTTTCATGAGGTGTTACTTTTACTGATATGATGAGCCATAGGATACTCTGGGTATGTTTTGACGAGAGTTGTTTGTCATTTTTACGAAGTTTAGAAGCAAAGTAGTGCTATGGTAATGAACATCGCTGATTCCCAACCGGGTAGACAAACAACAAGGTCTCTTCGTCAAGTTTTTGAAAGGGACATCATTGGGGTAGCCGAAAAGCGCGGCTCTCCCGCGCCATTGTTGATAACGATATTTCTGGGTGCCAACGATGCGTGCTTAGTTGGTGACAGCACATATGTCCCCATAGCACAGTATGAAGAGTGTATCCGACACTATGTGAATACCATCCTTGATCATCATGCTACCAATGGAACCAAAATCGTCTTGATATCGCCGCCTCCCATCGATGTGCCTCCGCCAAAAGATCTATCAGCTGATGCAACAAAAATTCCCTCCGTTGCAGACTATCTGCGGAGTGTGGCCGCAAGAGGCCTAGGTCACAGAACTTGGGAGTCCAAACGCCAGTTTGCAAAGAAGATCGTAGAGATTGGACGTGAGTTTGAGGCAAAGACGGATCGAGTGGCTCTTTTGGATTTTTGGACTGCTGTCACCAAGTTCGCGTGTCAAGAGCAAAATGAAGGTGAATCAGGGGACGTATTTCACAATCTTGATCTCGAAGAGAGACTTCCGGGAAGCGGCATGCCAGGGTCGAATAGATTTGGGCGCAGTTACTTCACTGACGGGCTTCACTTTGGCAAAAAGGTAGGCCTTGCAAATGTCGCTCTGTCATGAATTCTGTTTGCTGACGTTTGTTGCTAGGGGTACGAGATTCTCAGTCGAGAAGTCATGGATCTCATTTTAACGCGATGGCCTGAGCTCAAAAAAGAGAATTTTCCGCTTCGAGTAAGACGCGCCCGTTCCGGATGCTTCGGTTGTTTAGGCTAAATATCAGATATCAGGATTGATATCAACAAATGTTGGTTAGACGCTGTACCCGAATTGTAAACAATCTCTTGCGAGTTAGCCTCTATTCAAGGTGTTACCGGAACCTTTTGGGTTTTCCTCCTTGAATTCGTCCCATGCTCGTGCTTTCATAGTCTCTTCGTCCGCTTTCTCAAGATCATCCTCATCGATTTCTTTCGGGACCCCAGATTGTTCACCTCCGCCTTCGATGATTCCGCCTCTTCTCCGTTCTTCCTCTAGATAATCCTCAATAGTCATCGTTGGTAAATTATGTCCAGGCCGGAAAACCCCTTTTTGAAACTCTGCTCTTCGGCTTGTGAGCACAAAAGGTTGGAGCGGCACACCGTTTTTTCTCAAAAGAGGCCCCTGTCCACGGCCCCTTGAAGAAAGCCCTAGGTCAAGCCGATCGGAATACCCTGACGTGTCGTGTGCGTCGCGCCTTCTGGCATCCGGAGGAGGCTGAGGTGACTGGTCCAAAGCGTTCTTGAGTGCAAGCTTCAGCATGGATACTTCTTGCGATAACATGTCCAAAGATTGAAAAGTCTGATGTGTATAGAGGTTGACTTCTGCCAAGTATAATTGCCGCGCAATCTCATCATCATTTTCTATTGACTGCTGGCTTCTGGAAAGATGCTATTGGGCATGCAAGAACCACTGTGAGCATGCAGATCATAAAATTGAGTAGATTCCCAAGTCCCTACCTCAAGTTTTTGTTTTAACTCCTTCTCATCCCGGAAACGGTTGATTTTGACTTGCCTCCGAGCAGCGGCATCATTTGGAGGAGCAAGACTAAATGAGTCTGGTGACTCAAGGTATCGCTCGTAGAGCTCCTTATCCGTTGTAGACAGGATTCCATATTGATCTAACAATCTTAGAAACTGTTCGTATTCCTCACGAAGGCGCTGTATGTTCTTCAAACGGTCTGGACCCTGCGATCGTTGCAGCAATTCCGCAAATAGGTAATCAACAGTCGCGTATCTAGAGATCGGCAGGTGGTTAGCAAGAGGAGGTAGTTTTGAGGGCAAGTAACCATACTGTAAGTCAGCGGTAGCAATATCCTCCAAGGACTCGTTTGAACTAAATATCGAAAACTTAGAGATCTGTTTCTGACAAGCTTCGAACGCGTGGACCGCCGAATTGAACCGATCAGTGAGAGTAGGATCGTTGATGGGAACAGTTTCCACGGCCTTTTTTTGAGCCTTGGCAGAAGCGAAGAGAGCCTGCAGACTCTGCGGTTCTTCCTCCATTGTAGCCTGAGGGCGTTGTATCAGACTCGGAAACGATCTCAGGAGCTGGGTGGACAACAACAGGCAATGAACATGGGTTTTCTGGAGCATTGTCTCAACATCACAAGAAAGCCTAAACACCAGCAGCTATTAATAACTAACTTACTAAACTCTCCTGTCAACAAAGATTCAACCCTCTTTCCATCCCATCTGAACCAATTCTCCTACTTGTTGCATGCGCGTCCGCCGTTCAGGAGTGTTGGACACAGAGGCTCTACTGTCCGATTTAACGTGCCTTTCAGAAATGCCCGTGCTAACTCTTCTGCAACCGTCCCGTGCAATGGCGGCGGTGTGTGTAGGCCCAGCATGGGGCTGCATCTTTACATCCCTTTCAAACCTGGCCACTCTCTTTGACTTGCACTTTCAGACTATGAATGGCTCGAAACGAGCATCAAGGCTGGGTTTATGCTTTCTGCCCTTTGTATGTACATACTTTCTCAGTTTTGGAAAATATTGATATCTGTTTGACTGGGGTTACCTCTACCTAAGATCGTTCTCCCTGCCTACATACTGGCCTGAAGTAGCGGGGTAGCGATTCTCCAACTGCTTCTGCGTCTCTGTCCAAAGGAAATTCCCTTCTTTTTAGTATCACCCTGAACTCCTCCTGCGAGTACCGTTTTCTCTGCTGCTGGATGGACCAAGGCTTATCCTCTCTTAGCCAGTACCGCGCTGATAGCTTTGCAAATTCATCCTTGGACCCATGCTGAGAAAACCAGCTACTCCCGTTACACATTTTGATCTCACGTACTTTTCTTACTTTTCTAACACTTGCCGGCAGTGAATCGGCAGAGCTCTATCACTCGCAGTTCAGTTCAGAGGATGGGTTCGCCGAGCGTTGTTGACGAGCCTAATGACCGACTTGAACCTGAGCCAGCAGGATTCAGTGAGCTTGCAGAGTCTGACAGCGAAGATGACTCCAGCACAAACAAGGAGAACGTGTCGGATGTACGGCGACAACAGAATTTGAGGTTCAAAAACCTGTTCGTTGGACTCCCAAGCCCCTCCTCTTTTCTTTATTTCTAACAATGTTGATATCGTAGGCTGCTGGCGCGGGCAGAGAAAGTCACTGCAGAGGATATCCAGAAAGCAATTAAAGTGACCAAAGACAGCGAACTGTCTATGTCAAATATCCTTGCGAAGCAGGATTTTGCATCTGTTGTGCACGATCCACGAGAATATCAGTTGGAGCTATTCGAAAAGGCGAAAACTAACAATATCATCGCCGTGCTCGATACTGGTATTACCATTGCTTTCTTTAGCCCTTGTTTCTTGTCCGTTGAATACCTAATCGCAGAGCTCTAATGATATTTAGGATCCGGGAAGACCCTGATTGCCGTACTGCTTCTCAAACACATAGTGGAACAAGAGTTGGTGGATCGAAGCGCAGGGAAGCCCCCTCGCGTTGCATTTTTCTTGGTAATGCATCCTTCTTTTATTTTCCAACTCCTTTAGCTAATCCTCCATAGGTTGACAGTGTTACCCTGGTGTTCCAGCAAGCTGCTGTTCTCCAAAACCAGATTGATCAGAAGATCGACAAGTTCTGTGGTGCAATGGAGACACATCTCTGGGATGGGGAAACCTGGGCTAAACATCTTGCTAACAATATGGTTATTGTTTGCACTGCTGAAGTGCTGCACCAATGCCTTCTTCACTCTTTTGTCAAAATGGAAAATATTAACCTACTAATTTTCGATGAAGCTCATCATGCAAAGAAGGATCACCCATACGCAAGGTAATGGAAAGTTCGCTATATTCTCATCACAACGTTAACGGCCTGTAGGATCGTTAAAGATTTTTACTTGAAGGAGACGGCCACTAAAAAACCGAAGATCTTTGGCATGACCGCATCACCTGTTGATGCCAAAGTGGACGTAGTAAAGGCCGCAAGGTAAGCCTGCCTTTACCGTGCATGCGATCCAAAATTATTCACGCAGTGAAGGAACCTTGAGACGATATTGAATAGCCAAATTGCGACTGCTTCCAATCTTTCCCTCCTCCGGCAGACTGTTGCACGGCCGATTGAGGAGTCTTGGGTCTATGACGGACTCGATCGACCGTTCGAAACGAAATTGTACACAACACTGCATTCCCGGTTTGGGGACGTAAGTGCACTTGGTAAAATTTTCAAATTTTCACTTCATGCCTCCTCAACTCTAGGTGCTTGGTGCGCTGATTGGGTTTGGTCATATATATTGACCGAAGAGGCACTACCTAAGCTAGAAGGCCGTGCAACCCGAACCGCAATGGGCAATCTTCCTCTGGCGAAGATCTCTAAACCGGAGGCAGAAATCCAGCGGCTTCGAGCAGCAGGTGAAGTTCTACGTTCGCATAGGTTCGAGAACCCGAATGGTCGGCCTGAACTGCTTAGCCCAAAGGTTCGACGATTGCACCAGGAGCTTTCGAAGTACTTTGAGAGGCATACTGACACCAAATGCATCGTTTTTACGGAAAAACGACATACCGCCAGGATTCTGAGTGATCTTTTCGCTAAGATTGGAACCGAATATCTTCGACCTGGGCTCCTAATAGGAGTGCGATCGGATCCTTCTGGTGCTACGAATGTGTCGTTTCGCCAGCAGATCTTGGAGGTTGTGAAATTTAGAAACGGAGAAGTGAATTGTCTGGTAATTTATCTTGATATGCTCCCTGTTGGACTGCTGATGAGCACTCGACTAATAGTAGTAAAGTTTGCAACTTCTGTTGCAGAAGAAGGCCTTGATATCCCAGACTGCAATCTCGTTGTCAGGTACGCCAACCATCTCCGGATGAAAATGCTTTATACTGAAGTTGATAGGTTCGACCTGGCATGCACTCTTACCCAATATATCCAAAGTCGCGGACGGGCAAGGCACGTGAATTCGACGGTGAGAGGCCGCATACTTCTGATATTAAGCAACGCTAATCTTATAGTTTGCCCATATGGTGGAGCAAGATAATGTTGTTCACAAAGAGAGCGTGAAATACCTTCAAAGCTCAGAGGTAAGCGAGCGCTCCAGGGTTAATATCTACACACATGTCAATCTTGTTTTAGGATATTATGAACCGATTCTGCACCTCTTTACCAAAGGATCGCATCCTGAATTCCTCCAACGATATAGACGCCCTGTATGAGGGTGACCGGGACAAGCGAACCTATACCGTGCAAACCACAGGAGCAAAATTGACCTATAGCTCTGCGTTAGTTGTGCTTTCCCATTACGCTAGCTCCCTGGTAAGCCTCATATCCCTGATCTGCTTCGCGCCTAACGTGGTTATCTCAGCAATACGAAAAGGAGACTTCGGCCAATGTAAATTACTATCATAGCTTTTCACAGAATGCATTTCACTGTGAAGTTGTCCTCCCGGAGAAGTCACCAGTCCGCGGATTAACGGGGAAGCCGGCGTCAAAGAAACTAGTCGCCAAACAATCCGCCGCCTTTGAGACATGTCTGTTGCTTAGGAAGCATGGACTCCTGGATGATCACTTTGTGTCAACATACCATAAGCGGTTACCTGCCATGAGAAATGCCCGCCTAGCGATATCCTCCAAAAAAAGTAATCAATATGATATGATAGTGAAACCGAATTTATGGCAGTCATCTCGTGGAGCAATCCCGACAACGCTCCATGCTGTGGCCTTCAATCTTCGGCCGAATAAAGCTCTACGCCGGGAGTATCATTCGCTGGTTATCCTAACTCGAGAGAAACTTCCAGAGTTCCCAAAGTTTCCGCTCTATTTGGAGGATGACATTCAGTGTGATGTTATTTGCACTCCAATAGAATGCAGCATACAAGTATCCGACGAGGACTTGGAAGTACTAACCACCTTTACGCTCCGAATATTTCAGGACGTATTTCATAAGATTTATGAGCGGAATATCCCGATGATGACCTACTGGCTCGCTCCTTTAAACCTGCTGAGCGATCTCGCCTCTGCCAACGTATCGCCCCGGAGTATTCTGGACTGGGGGATTTTGAAGGCTGTTTTTGATGAACCAGACATCTCCTGGTCCATAGGTAATTCAAAGAAGTTTGCCAAGAATCATTTTGTTTATGACAGATGGGATGGCAGATACCGATATTTCACGCTTGGTGTTGACCCGAATCTTAAGCCTTCAGACCCTCCGCCTGCAACTGTGGCTCGTCGTCGACATATGGGTAATATAATGGACTATTGTCTCAGTTTATTCAAAAACTCCCGGAAGAAGTTTCTTGAAACGTGCGACTGGAATCAGCCTGTCATCAGGGCAGAACTCATTCAACTTCGCCGGAATCTACTGGATAAACGGACCGAAAAGGAAAAGCAGAATGAAGGGGAGTGTTTTATTTGTCTTGAAGCTCTAACGGTGTCGGCAGTAAGTCAAATCGCCTCCATTCACCGAATATTAAAACTAATGTACCTGATAGATACCCGCCTCAGTTGCTGCATTGGCTTTTGCATTTCCGGCTATAATCAGCCGCCTTGAATCGTATCTCATTGCGTTGGAAGCTTGTCAGAAATTGGATCTATCTATTCCCGCGGAGCTTGCGCTAGAGGCCTTGACCAAGGACTCTGACAATACAGAAGAACATCGAGCAATGCAGGTTCATTTTCAGAGAGGTATGGGAAAGAATTATGAACGTCTAGAATTCCTTGGTGACTGCTTTTTGAAAATGGCGACCTCTATATCGCTCTTTACCATGAATCCGGATAACGACGAGTATGATTTCCATGTTAAGCGGATGTGTTTGGTCTGCAACCAGAATCTTTTCAAGGCGGCATTGAATCTTAAACTTTACGAATTTATCCGAAGTCAAAGCTTTTCAAGGTATTTAAACTCATTCGCTAGATTGCGTTGCTGCTTACTGACAAGAAGATAGGAGAGGTTGGTATCCGGAGGGCTTAACCCTGTTACAAGGCAAAGGCCAGAGCAAAACAGCCCCCGAAAATAAGCATGCGCTTGCCGATAAAACCATTGCAGACGTTTGCGAGGCTCTCATTGGGGCATCTTACTTGTCTGGAGGCAAATCTCACAGGTTCGATATGGCAGTCAGGGCGGTAACTGTGTTTGTAAACAGCAGCGACCATAACGTCTCGGATTGGCAAGATTATTCCAAGCTCTACGCGCTACCCAGATACCAAACAGCAGTCTCAGATCCGGCAGAGATCGACTTAGTGGCTCAGATTAAAGAGAAATTAGGCTATCAATTCAAGTACCCCAAGCTCCTACGGTCCGCGTTTACACATTCTTCGTACCCCAGCGCCTGGGCGGCAGTGCCTTGTTATCAAAGACTTGAATTTCTTGGCGATTCCTTGCTTGACATGGCTTGTGTCGAGCATCTGTACCATCGATATCCGGATAAAGACCCTCAATGGCTCACGGAGCATAAAGTAAGTTTCTACTCTAGTTCGCGCAAAGCCCTTATTGACTTCTTCAGATGGCGATGGTGTCGAATAAATTTCTAGGATGTGTTGCGGTTAAGCTTGGGCTACATCCTCACCTCCGTCATTTTAGTGCTCCGATTCAGTCCCAAATAGCGACGTATGTCGAGGAAATTGAAGCAGCAGAGCTAGAAAGTGGCGACTCACCTGATGCATGGACGTCAACGAGCGATCCCCCGAAGGTAAGGGAGTTGTTGGAGGTTAGGCTGACGGGTTTTTAAAGAGAGACTGATAATCTGCTCTAGTGCCTTCCGGATATGGTAGAAGCATATATTGGTGCCATATTCATTGACTCAGACTTTCGTTATGAGGTGGTTGAAGACTTTTTCGAAAGGTTCCTCAAAAGGTATTTTGAGGATATGACCATTTATGACACTTATGCAAACAAACACCCAACGGTTGGGACCCTCGGTTCGTAGCGAAATACAAATCATGCTAACTGTCTATAGACATATTTACATAATAGACTGACGGTCGATTTTGGATGCACTAATTACTTTTTGAAGGCAGGAGAGTTGGCGCATGTTGATGGAGCCGAGACTCGGGTTTGGGCGGCGGTCGTGGTGCATGATGTACAGGAACCCGTGGGGGAAGCCGTGGCTACTTCGGCTCGTTACGCTAAAGTTAAAGCAAGTGAAAATGCGCTGCGTAAACTAGAGGGTCTTCCGCCTTTCAAATTCCGAGAGTTATACGGATGCGATTGCCAGGCCAATCAAAACGGGGAACATGATAGTAGCGACATCAGTCGCGGATAAAATGCCATTCAAATCTATACATTGTATTGGGTTACATTCAGAATTTCCGTTTTGCATATCGCATTGTCACTTGGGTGAGTATGGAACAATTCAATAATACTACTGGGTGAAGCATTAGAAATTTGGCTAAAGAGTTGGGAGTCTGTATGGCACAAGAGGGCGTTTTCTGTAGGCTCTTCGAAGGATAAAGCCGTAACGACACTATTGCAAACACCCACTATTAATCCTCGTCTTCCTCTACACTGCTGCGGTTGTTCTATCAAGCCGCTGCTTGTGACAAGCCAGGAGACAGTTGTAAGAGTCCCTGTTGTTACACGTTGGGTCACTATAAAAGGTTCCATTGGTTCTTCCTCCCTGGCATCGCCCGGAATCGATGGTGTGGCCAGTGTGAGATATTGTCTCTTCGATCCGCGCAAAGCAATTTGTTCAAGTGCTTCACCAATGTCCTTGCGACACTTAGGCAGGAAATATTTGCTCTTTGTCTTAGTATCTTATAACTTGCAAGTGCCTGAAGCTGGCGGAAGGATGGCGCAGCGGGGTGGGAGAAGTGGTTTGTTTGCTGGCATAGTTGATAGCCAACCAATCAACGAGAGATAAAAAGAAGTCGAGAGCGACTTGATAAGCAGGTAGAAATTGATGGCTGGGCTCGATTCGACACAAATAGGCCACGTTCTGGTACACGCAGCACCTGTAGATGCACTTAAAGAGGGTCAGCGGTGACCAGCTCTCCACTTGCGAGCTAGGGATAAACTCGTTGGCTTTCATTCCAAAGTTCATTACTTGAGCACAATTGGTAAACCTATGAAAGTTTCGGTCATCAGCGCAGAGCCGACCGTTGTCTGATTGCTTTTGATATCTAGTGGTTTTGATGTAACTATGTACGAGGAGCTCAAGTAGAAATTATATGCAATTGCGTTCACTGAGCATCAGCTGCCCCTTTCTCATTGCATTGCAAGCCAATTATAGTACTTCCTGGCCCCATGTATGAGGGTTAAGCATTCGGCTTTGATTCTGAACTTCCATGAAAAGCTGGATGTCGAAGTTGCTTGCTGCTGAGCGCCAAGCCGGGGTTTCAAGCAATCCTGGACAACTAACCGTATTCGGTCTAGTGCACCCGTTGCAGATGACTAATGCAGCCCCTGACCTGCGACGTCCCGTGATCTGCACAGTAAACACGCCGCGTCCACCAAAAAGTTGAAGCAAAGGGAGATTAAACACTGCGACGGAGATTCAGCAATCAAAAGAACGCCCTTTATTCTCCTCCCTTTACTTGCATTTACGGCCACCACACAACCGGTCGATGTACATATGATTCTAGGCCTTTTCCATTGCCTTTACATTTTCGATGAGCCCGTGGGACTAGGTTCATAGCTACCAGAGAATGGAGGTCGCCTCGCCAGGGGTGTCAAATGGCCTCCCTCCGCCCGATACCTTCCCGACTACAGATCCAACTATCGTCGTCCAGCATCTGGCGGAGGTCCTCCAGGGCACTCTCGGCGCGTTAAGAAAAGATTTAGAGAGCTCCGGAAACTTGCTATCAACAGAGAATTATCCGGAAACCTTGCAGAAATGCTCTCGGTTTGCTGCTGAGTCGCAGACTGCGGTCTACGCCCATAAGGAGCTTGTTGAGGTGGAGGAAAGGAATGGGATAGAAGAAGAGCTTTGTACGTGTTCTTGCGACAACTATTGCTGGCATTATTGATGGAAGAGCTGACGAACCGGGTGTTTTGAAGCTTCCGCTACCCGACACAGATATACCCTTCGCTCAGAAATATCGATATCGCCAACCACTGTCGCTACGGTCGCGTTTCTCAAGTCCCCATCACCTTTTGATCCCGCGATTCCTGTATCATCCCAGGTCCAAGTCCTCACATTACCCGGATTCACCGCCCTTAACAATGCGACGGCATCTCAAGGCCCCTTGATTTCACCATATGAAGTCCTTCATTCCCTCGTCCACCTTGGTTTAGCACCCTATTTTGAGGCATACACAAGAGGGCAAGATGGCGCCAAGACGAGGGGAGACTCGGACGCCAAAACCGGTGTACCTGGTGCAAAGAAGAAAATTGCTGAGCTCGAACTTAGCTTATTGCATCTCCAGCAAAATATCGAAATCCCCGTCTTGAACCTTCCTATGCACGAAATCGTTCAAACTGCATTGGATGAAGCGCAATCTCGAGGCGTCAAACCATCGGTGGATCTCGTCCCAAGCGCTGTACTTGACAACCACCTTGTTATCAATAGTATTCAAAGTACCGTTAACGGGTGGATCAAATCAATTCAAAGTATCACCAAAATGTCTCGCGACCCTGAAAGCGGCTCTGCAGCCCAAGAGATCAATTTCTGGCTTGATATGGAAACTGCACTGGAGGGAATTGAAGCACAGCTTCAGGCAGATGGGGTTCAGCTGACGATGGATATCCTCCGGCATGCTAAACGGTATCAAGCCACGCTTCAGATTCGTCACATATACTGGCTTGTAAGTATGCTGCTTATAACAATGCAAAATATACAACCCAGCTTCCTACGTGACTTTCCCCTCCGTGAACTTCAATCGGCAACATCTCTACAGAAGGCCCAAGAGGCATTGAACTTAATCTTCGCACATTTAAATAAGAAACTCCGCCTTTGCCCGTACCCTATCAAGCGTGCCTTGTCGCTCGTAGAGGCCATTTCCGGGGATCTTGATTCACGGATACACACGTTAATCAATGGAAAAGCGATTATGAATTTGGATTTCAAGGAATTCCGTGGTCTGATGCGTGCTGCTCAGATAGTGTGGCGCGCTTGGGATGAAAACATCAAGGAATTCACCAACGTTGCTCGTGACGCTATGAGACGTCGCAATGAAAAGTTCATTCCGATCAAGGTCAGATCGAAGCACGCAGAAACTCAGGATCGACTAAAATACATTAATACCTTCCGGACGAACCATGAGCAACTTCAACGTACGATCATCAATGTTTTGGGCCCAAAATCCTCCCAACCAGGCGCTCCACTGGCTTCCGAATCCGATACGATTACGCTCGATGATATCGGTGACGTTGATGCTGTGGAAGAGGTACGGCAAGCCTACGCTCCCTTGAAGGACGTGGATGTTCTAGACGTTTCGCCCAAAGGCACTGAGGAGTGGATTCGGGAAGAAACAGCGTACAATGAGAGAACATCACGGGTTGAGAATTTGATCATTGCTCGTCTTCGGGATCGACTTGCCACTGCGCAGAATGCGAACGAGAAATTTCGGGTGTTTTCAAAATTCAACGCCTTGCTAGTTCGGCCTAAGATCAGAAGTGCCATTGGGAAATACCAGACTGAATTGATTGATGATGTCAAACAGGATATTGCTGCTTTGCATGAGCGATTTAAACAACAGTATGGGCATTCAGAAGCGCACGCTATGGCACAACTGCGAGATCTCCCACCCGTTTCAGGTGCCATCATTTGGGCGCGCCAGATTGAGCGTCAGCTAGATGGATATATGCGAAAAGTAGAAGATGTTCTCGGAGAAGATTGGGATCTCCATTCTGAAGGACAAAAGCTACAAGCTGAAAGCAACATGTTTCGTAAGAAGCTCGACACTCGACCTGTATACATGGCTTGGCTACAAGACGTTCAAAGACGGAATATCACAATATCTGGGCGCCTATTCAACATTACTCGCAATCGAGCTGCCGGGAACGCCTTAGAACTTGCCGTTAATTTCGACTCGCAAATAATCGCCCTCTTCAAAGAAGTCAGAAATCTCGTATGGCTTAATTTCCAAATACCCCATGCAACCAACAGCATATCCAAGGAGGCCAAACGTGTTTATCCGTTTGCCATCAGTTTGATGGAAAGCGTTCGAACACTCCATCAAACCGTCCGCTCCATTGCATCCATGGCACAGGCTGCTATACTGCTGAGTGGGTATCAGAATGATGTTCAGGCGTTGATTATGAAGGGTTTACCGTTACGATGGGAGTCGTTTATCCATTCATACGAGCTTCATGTGAAGCAAGGTATCGCCAACGGCTCTGTTGACCCCTCAGTTGCGCCATCCCGTGGTGAAAGCAAGCATGTTCAATTTGTTCGAGAGTTTGCCGTTTCTGCATCGGTGCTACAGACAAAAACTGCCACGTTGAGTACCATCGATGAATCCGTACAGAAAACTATTCTTGAGCTCAAAACTTGTCCCTACGACGCTGATGCCTTCCGTCAACGCCTTGATCAGATTCAAATCGCGGTTGACAAGTTGAACTTGGAAAACTACGCCAATCTTGGCTATTGGGTCACCAAGTTGAATATTAAGATTGAGTCCATACTCCAGGATCGACTGCGTCGCGCAATCAGGCACTGGATTCGATCATTCCAGGATGCGAAGCATGAGCAATCTCATAAAGTTGGCTACGGGGAACCTTCCGATGCAACGGGTGAAGAACTGGAAATTCAGAGCATTCAATTCCCTAAACTTCTGCACGAAATCTCAATGCGGAATCAAGTTATGCACCTTGACCCACCTTTAGAATTCGCAAGAGCAAATTGGTTTTCTCATTTTGACAAATGGGTCGGTATCTTGTGTAATTTGGAAAGGATTAAATCATCACGATACAAGATGTCTATTCATGCAGACAAAGCGCTTCTTTCTGAGACACACTTCTCCGCTCTCCCCCAATATTGTGCCAGTGAGTTGACCGAGGTATATTCCGTGGTTGAAGCCAGATTACAAGAAATTTCCGAATACATAGAAAAGTGGCTTCAATTTCAATCTCTTTGGGACCTACAGTCGTCTCATGTCTATGACGTTCTTGGGGATGACTTATCTCAATGGCTACAATTACTTCAAGAAATCCGAAAGAGCCGTGCAACCTTTGATACCTCTGAGGTTCGCAGATCATTTGGTACTATCAGGATCGATTATGAACAAGTACAAACCAAAGTCAATGCGAAATATGACCAATGGCAGCGAGAGATATTATTGAAGTTCGGCGGAAAACTAGGGACCCGTATGCGAGAAGTATATGCAGAACTGCAGGCTGCCAGGAGAGATCTCGAAGGACAGTCACTGGAAGCCTCATCGACTGCACATGCAGTCTCCTTCATCACGATTGTCCAACAGTGCAAACGAAAGGCGCGTGTATGGGAACCTGAGGTGGACCTCTTTCGTCAAGGTCAAGCAACCCTGGCGCGTCAGCGCTATCAATTTCCCAACGATTGGCTGCATATTGAGCAAATCGATGGTGAATGGTTGGCCCTAAACGATATTTTGGAGCGTAGGAGTAAGACTGTCCAAGACCAGACGGATGCCCTGAGAGCCAAAATCACCGCCGAAGACAAAGTCATCCACGACAAGATCGCTGAGATTATCACCCAGTGGAATGAAGAGAAACCCGTTTCCGGTTCTACCCCACCCGAGGAGGCCTCTAGAACTCTTAGCTATTTTCAGTCTCGATTGGAAGGCTTGCAGTCTGAATTTGAAATGGTTTCCAAAGCGAAAGAAGCGCTTGACCTACCCAGCAGCCCTGAAACAGCACTCGCCGCTATACTCGAAGAGGTTCAGGACTTTATGGCTGTTTGGGCTGCTCTGTCGACGATATGGAAGAGCTTGAATGATTTAAGAGATATTCTGTGGAACAGTGTCCAACCCCGAAAACTTCGACAGTCCCTTGATGGCCTCATCAAGATGACGAAAGAGATGCCTAGCCGGATGAGGCAGTATGCTGCGTTTGAGCATATTCAAAATATTCTCCGTCAGCTCCTCAAAGTTAATCCGTTGCTCTCCGACATGAAGTCCGAAGCAGTGCGTGAACGGCACTGGCACAAAATCTTTAAGGCTCTTAAGCCAGGTACAAGGTTCTCCCAGATCTCGTTGACTCTTGGTGATGTCTGGGATTTGAACCTTGCTGCGAGCGAGACTGTGATTCGGGACATCATTACACAAGCGCAGGGAGAAATGGCTTTGGAGGAATTCGTGAAGATGGTTCGGGAAACCTGGCAAGGCTATGCTTTAGACCTTGTGAATTACCAGAACAAATGTCGTTTGATCAAAGGGTTTGATGACTTATTTGCGAAGTGCAGCGAAAATTTGAACTCACTTCAAGCGATGAGACATTCGCCCTACTACAAAGAATTTGAGGAGGAGGCCACGGCCTGGGAAGATAAACTTAACCGCGTACACGTTCTCTTCGATGTCTGGATTGATGTCCAACGGCAATGGGTGTACCTTGAGGGTGTTTTTACAGGAAATGCGGATATCAAACACCTCCTACCTCTTGAGTCTGGCCGTTTTCAAAACATAAATTCCGAGTTCTTCGCTGTCATGAAGAAGGTTTATAAATCGCCATTCGTACTTGACGTTCTAGCAATCAACGGGGTGCAGAAGTCATTAGAGAGGTTGGCAGAGCTCCTTAACAAGATTCAAAAAGCCCTTGGTGAATATCTCGAGCGTGAACGTGTATCCTTCCCCCGTTTCTACTTCGTCGGTGATGAAGACCTTTTGGAGATAATTGGTAACAGTAACGACACTCTTCGCGTCGCGAAACACTTTAAGAAAATGTTTGCTGGGTTGTCTGGACTACTAATGGACGATGATGGGAACATCGTCGGATTTACCTCGAAGGAGGGTGAAGAAGTCAGGTTGAAGAAAGAAGTATCACTTCTCAAAACACCTAGGATCAATGACTGGCTCACAGCCCTGGAATTAAGCATGAAGTCAACACTAGCTGAGCTTCTCGCTGAAGCCATAGAACTCTTCGATCCTATTTATTCCGCTCCCGAAATCGATCAGACTGCCTTCAGTGACTACGTTGCGAATTATCCTGCGCAAATTGTCGTCCTTGGGAGTCAGGTTGTCTGGACAAACGCCGTCCAGAAAGCCCTCGAAGACGGTGGCTCCCGGTTGCAAGCCCTATACGAAGCTGAAGTTAGGGTTCTGGATCTTCTAGCCATGACAGTTCTCGGTGAACTTGATCCGATAACAAGAAAGAAGTGCGAACATATGATCACCGAATTTGTACACCAGCGCGATGCAATTGGGAAGCTGATGGAGAACAATGCATCATCTCCAACCCATTATCTATGGCTCCTTCAAATGCGTTATGTGTATCAGCCTGAAGGAGACTTCTTGCAGCGCCTTCATGTCCATATGGCAAATGCCAAAATAGATTATGGCTTTGAATATCTTGGGGTCCCGGAACGACTTGTTCGCACTCCACTTACTGATCGATGCTTCCTCACTCTTACCCAGGCCCTTTGCCAGAGGCTTGGTGGCTCCCCGTACGGTCCTGCCGGTACCGGTAAAACTGAATCTGTCAAAGCACTTGGCTTGCAGCTTGGTCGGTTCACTCTCGTTTTCTGCTGCGATGATACCTTTGACTTCCAGGCTATGGGCAGGATCTTCCTGGGTATATGCCAGGTTGGTGCATGGGGATGTTTTGACGAATTCAATCGTCTTGAGGAGCGAATTCTTTCAGCAGTATCTCAGCAGATCCAGAATATTCAGATTGGATTGAAGAACACCTCTGACGAAGCGAAGGCACAAATCGACTTGGTCGGACGCCGTCTTCGTGTCAATCCTAACACTGGAATTTTTATCACGATGAATCCTGGCTATGCTGGTCGTTCAAATCTCCCTGACAATTTGAAGAAACTTTTCCGAAGCGTTGCTATGTCTAAGCCAGACAAAGAACTCATCGCTGAAGTCATGCTATTTTCCCAAGGTTTTAAGCAGGCTAAACCACTATCCCGTCAAACTGTCCCGTTTTTCGATCATTGCGCAACTCGCTTAACGAAACAGGCTCATTATGATTTTGGTCTTCGTGCGTTGAAAAGCGTACTTGTGAGCTCCGGCGGTTTGAAGCGTCTCCGTCTTGCTAATTCCGACGACGACCTTGGACCCGATGAAGTAATCGAGCCTCAGATTATCGTCCAGAGTGTTCGAGAGACGATTGCACCTAAGCTTATCCGTCAAGATGTCGAAACCATGCTGCAAATTCAAACCGAAGATTTCCCGGGTGTTGAATATGTGCCCGCCAACTTTGAGAAGCTGACACAGGCTATTCGTGAAATTGCCGTTGAAAAGCACTTGGTCGCTACTGACACTTGGATTTCAAAAACGCTGCAATTATATCAAATCCAGGGTATACATCACGGTGTCATGATGGTAGGCAGATCAGGATCTGGTAAAAGCTCGGCTTGGAAGGTTCTGTTACAGGCCTTGCAAAAGGTTGAAGGTGTTGAAGGTGTCTGTCATGTTATTGACTCGAAGGTCATGTCAAAGGAAGCTCTTTACGGAAACCTTGACAGCACAACTCGTGAATGGACGGATGGTCTCTTCACTGGAATTTTGAGGAAGATTGTCGACAATTTACGCGGTGAAGATTCCAAACGACATTGGATTGTCTTCGATGGCGACGTCGACCCTGAATGGGTTGAAAATTTGAATAGCGTTCTGGACGATAATAAACTACTAACGTTGCCCAACGGTGAACGCTTGAATTTACCTCCTAATGTCAGAATTATGTTTGAAGTCGAAAATCTCAAGTATGCTACGCTGGCCACGGTCAGTCGATGTGGCATGGTGTGGTTTAGCGATGATACGGTAACCCCGAGTATGATGGTCACAAATTATATCGAATCCCTTAAGACGAGGACCTTTGAAGATCTCGACGATGATAGCGTTCCTGCTGGTCAGGCTTCCGCGAAGACTCTTGACACTCAAAAGACCCTTGCATTGTTCCTAGATCAGCTCTTGCAAAGAGACGATCTTATCCTCAAAGCCCTCCAAGAGGCTAAAAGACATACCCACATCATGGAATATAGTGACGCTCGAGCTCTTAATACGCTTTTCAGCTTGCTCAACAAGGCGTGTCGGAACATTCTCGAGTATAATATCCAACATATAGACTTTCCTCTGGAACCGGAACAAATGGACTCCTACTTATCTAAAAAATTACTGCTCGCTCTCGTTTGGTCGTTGACCGGTGACTGTCCGTTAGGGGAGCGGAAAGTCTTTGGCGAATTCCTCACGGCCCTCTCAACTATTGATACTCCTTTGCTTGGCGATTCAGCATCTCTTATCGATTATGATGCCACTTTACCAAAGGCCGAATGGACAACTTGGCAATCTCAAGTCCCATCTGTAGAAATCAATACCCACTCAGTCACGGAGACGGATATCATCATTCCCACTCTGGATACTGTTCGCCATGAAGACGTGTTATATTCCTGGCTCGCTGAGCACAAACCGCTGCTTCTCTGCGGTCCGCCTGGATCCGGCAAAACTATGACCTTGTTCTCTGCTCTTCGCAAGTTGCCCAATATGGAGGTTGTAGGGCTCAACTTTTCTAGCGCGACCACACCAGACCTGTTGATTAAAACCTTCGAGCAATACTGCGAATATAAGAAGACTCTCAATGGTGTGATCATGTCACCAAGCCAAATTGGCCGCTGGCTGGTCATTTTCTGCGACGAGATTAACCTTCCGGCCCCAGATCATTATGGAACCCAGCGCGCAATTTCCTTCTTGCGGCAGCTTGTGGAGCAAAACGGCTTCTGGCGGACTTCGGACAAGACTTGGATTACTCTGGATCGCATTCAATTTGTCGGAGCTTGCAATCCACCAACTGATGCGGGTAGAACACCTCTCGGTGAGAGATTCTTGCGCCACGCCCCCCTAATCATGGTCGATTATCCAGGCGAAGTTTCTCTACTACAAATCTACGGCACATTCAATTCTGCTGTTCTCAAAATTATTCCTCTACTCCGTGGCTACTCTGAAGCACTTACCAAGGCAATGGTTCAATTTTATTTGGAATCTCAAGCTAGGTTTACGCCAGAGATTCAGCCTCATTACGTTTATTCCCCCCGAGAACTTACGAGATGGGTCCGTGGTGTATATGAAGCCATCAAGCCACTTGAGAATTTGTCGGTTGAAGGTCTGGTTAGAATCTGGGCTCATGAAGCTCTGCGGCTTTTCCAAGACCGTCTTGTTGGCGAAGAAGAGAGACAATGGACAGCCGATACTGCTCAGCGCATTGCATTAGAGCATTTCCCAACCATCGATGAACAGCAGGCGCTGAAGGCACCAATCCTTTTTTCAAACTGGCTTTCGAAACATTATGTGCCAGTGGAGCAAGAGCAGTTACGAGAATTCGTCAAAGCAAGGCTGAAGACTTTCTGCGAGGAAGAGGTAGATGTACCCCTCGTACTATTCAATGATGTGTTGGAGCATGCCCTACGAATAGATCGTGTATTCAGACAACCTCAAGGCCATCTAATCCTTATCGGAGTCAGCGGTAGTGGCAAGACAACCTTGTCACGGTTTGTTGCTTGGATGAACGGCTTAAAGGTTTTCCAAATCAAAGTTCACGGCAAATACTCCGCCGAAGATTTTGATGAGGATCTCAGGAGCGTCCTTCGCAGAGCAGGCTGTAAGGGAGAAAAGATTTGCTTTATTATGGACGAGGCAAACGTCCTGGATTCAGGTTTCTTGGAACGTATGAATACCCTCCTCGCCAACGCTGAGGTTCCTGGCCTTTTTGAGGGAGATGAATTTGCGTCCTTGATGACTGCCTGTAAAGAGGGCGCTCAACGGCAAGGCCTCCTTCTCGATTCGCAAGAAGAGCTTTATAAATGGTTCACTCAACAAATTGTTAAGAATCTTCATGTTGTGTTCACTATGAACCCTCCAGAGGACGGCTTATCATCGAAAGCTGCCACTAGTCCAGCCCTTTTCAACCGCTGCGTACTCAATTGGCTTGGAGATTGGTCGGATCAGGCTCTCTTCCAAGTTGGCTATGAGCTTACACAGTCTGTGGACCTTGATAAACCCAACTTTGTTGCTCCTGATAGTATCCCAGTGGCATACCGAGCTCTTCCTCTCCCTGCTTCTCATCGCGACACTGTGGTTAACTCCATGGTCTACATTCACTATTCCTTGCAGAGATTTAACCAGCGACTGCACAAACAGCAAGGCAAAGTTACATATCTTACCCCTCGCCATTATCTTGATTTCGTTGCACAATATGTTAGATTGTTTAATGAGAAACGTGAAGATTTGGAAGAACAACAACGCCACCTTAACGTCGGTTTGGAAAAGCTCAGGGAGACCGTTGACAAAGTCAGAGACCTGAGAGCGAGTTTAGCACAAAAGAAGAGCCAACTCGAGAAAAAGGACGCCGAGGCCAATGAAAAACTTCAACGAATGGTGGCTGACCAGCGTGAGGCGGAACAGCGCAAAGCAGCCTCTCTTGAAATCCAGACGGCTCTTGAGAAGCAAGAGCAAGAGGTTGCTGAACGAAAAGAAATTGTCCTTTCCGATCTTGCAAAAGCTGAGCCAGCCGTTCTTGAAGCTCAAAAGAGCGTTAGCAACATTAGGAAACAGCATCTTACTGAAGTCCGTTCTATGGGTAACCCACCAGCGGGAGTTCGTCTAGCATTGGAGTCCGTGTGCACGCTTCTTGGCCACAGAGTCGACAGCTGGAAGACCATTCAGGGTATCATTCGCAGAGATGACTTCATCGCCAGCATCGTTACTTATGACAACGAAAAGCAGATGACTCCCTCGCTTAGAAATAGGATGCAAAACGACTATCTATCCAAAGAAGAATTCACGTTCGAGAGAGCCAACCGTGCCAGTAGGGCATGCGGTCCCTTGGTCCAATGGGTGGAAGCCCAGGTCAATTACTCGGAAATCCTCGACAGAGTAGGCCCACTTCGCGAAGAGGTTATCCAGTTGGAAGACCAGGCCCTTCAGACGAAGGCGGAAGCACAGGCTATTGAAAACATGATCAACAACCTTGAAAACAGCATCGCGACCTATAAAACTGAATATGCAGCCCTTATCAGTGAAACTCAAGCAATCAAGACGGAAATGGCTAGGGTGGAATTCAAGGTCGATAGAAGCGTGCGCTTGCTCGATAGTTTATCTTCGGAACGCTCACGTTGGGAAGAAGGAAGCAAGTCCTTTGAAACTCAAATTTCTACTTTGGTGGGAGATGTCTTGATCGCTGCGGCTTTCCTTGCGTACGGTGGTCTTTACGATCAACAATTCCGCAAAGCCATGATTGACGACTGGGTGAACCAACTCGCGCAGTCCGGTGTCAACTTTAAGCCACATAACCCTATGACAGAGTATCTCTCCAACGCGGATGAAAGGCTATCATGGCAGGAGAACTCACTCCCGGTCGATGATTTATGTACGGAAAATGCAATAATTCTCAAGCGTTTCAACAGATACCCTCTCATCATTGATCCATCCGGCCGTGTTACAGAGTTCTTGCAAAAGGAAAGCAAAGAACGAAAACTCACTGTTACGAGCTTCTTGGACGACTCGTTCATAAGCAGCTTGAGAGCGCCTTACGGTTTGGCAACCCTATTCTCATTCAGGACGCGGAGCATTTGGATCCAATTCTCAACCATGTTCTTAATAAGGAATACCAGAAGACTGGTGGTCGTGTCCTTATACAACTTGGCAAGCAGGAAATTGACTTCTCGCCTGCATTCAAACTCTTCCTATCCACACGAGATCCGTCGGCGTGTTTCGCTCCTGATGTGTGCAGTAGAACGACATTTGTCAATTTTACGGTCACGCAAAGCAGTTTACAGACTCAATCTCTTAATGAGGTACTCAAGGTGGAACGCCCCGATGTTGATGAACGGAGAACAAACCTCATCAAACTGCAAGGTGAATTTAAGATACATCTTCGCCAGTTGGAGAAACGCCTTCTTCAAGCCCTTAACGAATCTCGCGGAAACATTTTGGATGACGACAACGTCATTGAAACTCTTGAGACATTGAAGAAGGAGGCGGCAGAGATATCGAACAAGATGGTGGAGACCGAGGGTGTGATGACTGAAGTTGAAAATATCACCCAGCAATACAATATCATCGCCCGTTCCTGCAGTGCTGTCTTCGCCATTCTTGAGCAGCTTCATCACCTGAACCATTTCTACCAGTTCTCTCTTCAGTACTTTGTGGACATATTCAACAACGTTTTGCATAACAACCAACAACTGGCTCAAGAGAAAGACTTCACGGCGAGAGTGAACATCATTTTACGGGATCTCTTCATCACGACGTACCAGCGTACGTCTCTTGGTCTACTTCAAAAAGATCGAATAACTCTTGCTATGCTTCTCGCGCAGGCGTCTCCGTATCCGATGGATAGGAGCATCATCGACGACATCCTTGACCAGAGCGTGGAAGGATGCGATGTTTCTACGACTCCGGAACTCAAAGATACTGTGATGGCCAAGGTGTCTCAGATGGCCGTTTTCAAAAGCGTCATCCCGACTATTGAAGAGGAAAGTTGGGAGGCTTTCTTCTCTGAGGAGCTTGCGGAGAACTTCGTTCCTGTAGCTTGGGAAGATGGAATCGAGCCTTTTAATAAACACCTCCGCTCACTTTTGCTGGTGAAACTCTTCCGAATGGACAGATTTGTACCTGCAGCAGAACGTTTTGTGGGAACTGTCTTTGGTCGGTCGTTGTTCGAAGGCGGCGGAGACCTCAAGGAAGTCGTTGAACAAGTCACGGCCACCACGCCAATCGCTCTCAGCTCCAGCCCCGGATTTGACGCTAGTTACAAAGTTGATGGGCTTGTTGAACGAATGCATGCAACTTGTGCCAACATAGCCATGGGATCAAACGAAGGTCTCGAGAGCGCAGATAAAGCTATCAGCAACGCGGCGGCAACTGGAACTTGGGTCTTGGTGAAGAACGTTCATCTGGCACCATCATGGTTACAAAGCTTGGAGAAGCGACTTGACTCGCTCAAGCCTCAGGCGGATTTCAGATTATTCCTTTCTATGGAATCGAGCCCCAAGATTCCCGTGAACTTGGTCAGAGCCTCGAGAGTCTTGATGTACGAACAACCGGCTGGAATCCGTGCAAATATGAAGGATTCTCTCTCTTCGCTGAGCTTGAGGGCTGGCAAGCCTCCTATTGAAAAAGCTCGTGTCTATCTTTTGCTCTCATTCCTACACGCTGTTGTCCAAGAGAGGTTACGATACGCGCCAAGCTTGGGCTGGAAGGGCTTCTGGGAATTCAACGACAGCGACGTAAGTGTTTCTAAGCCCCGTCACGTAAAAATATACACTAACAGACCCGGGTTTTGCATAGTATGAATGTTGTGCTTTTATTATAGATACCTGGGTGGCTTCTGTGGCCCAAGGCCGATCCAATGTTGCACCTCAAAAGTTCCCTTGGGACCTCCTTCGTACGTTGATCACCGAAACATACGGTGGTAAGATCGACGACGGTGGGGATTTCAAGTTGCTCAACGATCTCGTACGGACGTTTATGACACCGGCAGCATTTGAAGACGATCATAAGCTGATCCCCGGGATCGAAGATGAAGTGCTCATGCTACCTGCGGGCACTGGTCTCCGCGATTTTACCGAGTGGGTGAATCGACTGCCAGAACGAGAGCCGCCCACGTATCTAGGGCTCCCTGGCAATGCGGAGAAATTGCTTCTGGTTGGCCACGGCAAGCGCATGATCACGAACCTGGCCAAGATCACTACTTTGCTAGATGAGGGAGAGCAATTGATGGTGGAGGCGGCTGCCATCTAGCAGGGTGAAGATGACGGTTGAAACAAGCGAAACCTGCTACCCCTACTTGTTGCTTTGTTGTTTATTCTAGGATTATGGGTGATCAAACGGGAGGCAAATCTGGAGGTTTACATCTGGGCTTTTTTCCTTTACAGCTGACATTGTCGAGGCGTTCTGGTCCTGGAACGCTGGCTTGGTGCCATTTTCCTCAATCTAGTGCGTTCCCTTGCCACACAGTTGACGGTGTATCAACTTAGTCCATTTTCGTTGCAAGTGTGTTTCTCCCGACTGGTCGACTATTTTTCTTTTGGTCTCTTGTTTACTTCGCATTTGTTGTTATATCCTAAACGCTTTTTCTTTCGTCAACTGTGTTTTTAGCTTTTCAAATGGTTAGAGTCGGCCGTCCCAATTGCGCCGTAGAGTTTTTAATAAAGATAATTCAACAATCAAACATTCGCAAGAGAATCAAGCAGCTGGTTCAACAGCCGTGGGACCGTAGGCCTGTTGATTCGAGCTTCCTGCTCCACGCCAGGGAGTCCCCTGCTTTCCACGTCACGGGTAGAACTAGGTCCAAGGCTCAAACATCCAGTTCCCAGGCCAAAACAGCGATGCCAAACAGGCGATGTGCACTGTCTCGTCACAGGACGCGGAAGATCCGACCCACGATTTGTCCAAGTTCGCAGGGCATCAATTCTGAACGGCGGCTCGACGACAGGATGCACGTTCCAATCTCAAGGACGGCGATGGCGAGCAAAAAGGCTGCTGATCCCTTGGCGACGGTGACGCAAGCTGGGCTTCGCTTCGCAGCGAACTCGACTTCGCCGTTGCTGGCGGTGTCCTTGCGTGCATTCGGGGGCTTCCTTGGCTCTGTTTGGGGCTTTGTTTCAGACCGCGCCGGGATGCTGTTTGGTGAACCTTCTTTGCTGGCCCAGGGCTCGCCTGTGCTTTTTGCTTTTTTTGCTTTTTTTTTTCTTTCTGGTGTTGTTGACTCCGCCAGACCGGTCTGGTTCGTGCATCGGCGGAGGGCTGTTGGTGGGAGGGGGGAACGCGGGCTGGTTTGGGTATATCCTCCGGATGCGCTCCCTCTTTTGCTCTCTTTTTCTTTTTTTTTCTTTCCGTTCTACATTTTAGAATCCCCCCTCCTTCGCCTTGGACCAACTGAAAGGAAGCCCAGCTTGGGTTGGGCGTCTTTTTTCCTAAACTACATATTCGCTGCTGTTGGCCCTTTTTTCTCTTTGTGGCTTGTTCGAATCCCTGGAGAAATTTTGGGGGCTTTGATACAAGCATCACGGCGTGAATTATTAAAAAGGGAAAAGAAAAAAAAAAAAAATATGAGAAACGGCCCAGAGCATCTTTTTATAGATATTTTTCTTTATTTTAAATAACTTTTGTGTCGCCTGGTCGACCTCAGATTATTCTTCCATGAACTCCAGAGCAGCTTTTTAACCAGACTCGGCCCGGTGTCTCGAGCTTCTACGAATTATTATTCCTGATTGATGACCTCCTTCTCCCATTCTGGCCTGGATAGCCGATGAATTCCTTTTCCTACACAATGAAGCGACCGACTAAATTGAGAGAATTGCGCCTGTCTCCCCATTCGACGTCCAACTCGGTCCTATCCCGGATGCCTTTGTTGTACAGTGGAGGTGCTGGCAGCCGAGGGACCTTACAGCAATGGACTGGGGGAGACCAGGTCCCAGGGCTGCTAATTCCTATAGGTAAGTTCGTTTTTGCGAGTGTTGCACAAAATAATCTACGGGTGCGAGCTTCCATGGAACTCGAATCAAGATGCGCGCCCTTGACCACATCTTACCCGCTCTGCCTTTCCAGGGGCAATTATTCGAGTTATACGGAACCTGTTCTGACTGAATCGCGTACAGCTTTCCTATCCTCCTTGCGCGCGAATCTCCAGATATGCGCCTCCGATCCAGATGATATCTATAGCCCTTCTTCACCCGTCTCCATGATTAGCGCACCACAAAAGGCCAAAGCAGCACCGCGCTCCGCTCGACACCCGCTTTCTATGGAAGTTCCTTCAGACCATGCAACCATCCCTCTGGTATCAGAGTCAGAGCACCAGCATGAAAAGGGCGACCAGAGCTATGAAATAGATTTATCATCGGCAGAACCCCCGATAACCATATCCCATGCAACGACAGAGGAAGACACCGCTGCAGCTCTGGAATTAATCGCGGACAGTGTCTCCCAGCAACGCCAGATGGCCGCGAAAGCCATTATCCTTCATCCGACGGTTCTAGCAACCTCGATTCTCGTTTTTTTAACCAGTGTGAAACTGTTATATACCGGATCGCTGAGCGATATGATTCTTATGATGACTGTTTGGGTGGGCTTCAGCGTCTTTGCCCTATGTTTAATTAAATATATGCTACGAGGATATCTCGACGTGATCGAACGGGTGGGGAATTGGCCGTGGCTGTCAGAAACGTCGGTTCACGGCGCTTCGCATCGCCGAGATGAGATTCTCGTCGCGAAAGAGAACGGAGAAGTGATCGCGGTACTGGTTCTGAGGATCGTGAAAGCGATGACTTCCCCCGATGTACCCGGCGCACGGCCACGGTCATCGCGACGGAAGAGTTCTGCCAGGTGGACGGGTATTATTCGCGCGTGGACGGTCAAACGGACGCATCGCCTGCGCGGCACCGGAACACGCCTCCTGACCGATGTGGTTGCCAACTGTCGGCTGCGGACGCTGGATGGACCGATTTTCGCCGATGACCAAGCCAACTCGGCGAAGCTTTTGCCCAGAATGTTTAACGCGGTGTTTGAAAAGCAAGAGAAATGGGCTCGAGCGTTTTTGGAGCAAATCATATTAGCGGAAAGGGGCCGTTGAGATCACACGACACAAGAAGACTTGGTAACGCCGCGGGCTATATCTGGGCTATTATTATTATCCTGTGAAGGAGGTTGTGTTTTGAGCGACAGCATTGGGAATTCATATCTACTGGCATCCAAGGACGATACTTGGTGCATGCAATATACCCTGTTTTCACAATACCCCAATTTTGATGTACTTTAGCAGTTTGTTTGTTTGTTGAGACTAGCTGAGGCATCAAATAAACCATTGTTCCATGCTTCGTGTCAGCCACGGCAAATGTGACTAGGGATGCCCGCTACTTTTCTGAAGCAGCCAACTCCGCATCTACCCTCTCTGTTTGTTATTCTGAAGCGTGTTTCAGGCTATGGGCGAGGGTTTAACATGTTCTAAATCCCTTCCCTTCCCTTTCTCTGAATAGGGCGAACAACCTGTATCAGGTAGGGGATTCATTCACGCAATTGGGGTATTCACTGCCCTGCGAGCAATCATCAGCGAGCATACGCAATCCATCTATGAGCCTGGCAAGTTGTGCATGCGCCGGCTATGCGTCAAGGCTAGTAGGTTACATAGCACTGCGCTTTTGGTGATGGCATGCCGCAGCTACATAACTGTAGGCGATGTGCTACTGGTTGATATGCACCATCTCCGCGTATGCACTCCTTGGCTAGCGATTATTCGGACGCAACATCGCACCTTGTCACTGGAAGAGCTGCTTGACCGGGAAGAGAATGAGGGGCAGGACCAACCATTCCCCTTGCACAGGCCTGTAAGCTGTTGGTCGCCTCTGGATCCCAGGGACAAGTGATACGATGATGCGCGGCGTGTAACTGTTTTGATGCGCAAAAAACAAGACAAACACGCCAAACAGGGCCGGGAACAGCTGATGTCATTGCCAAGCCTCGCCCATCGACAAGTCTATATCTTGACCTTCGCCGGTCTGCTTCGTGCAGAGAGAGAGACAGAGAGGGAGAAGGGCTCCTGTCCAGAGTCCCGTTCGCTTTTCCTCCGCTCAAGCATGGCATCTTCAAACCGCTACAGGCACTCCCGCTCATCGCGCCAGCCAGGCTGGCCCCCGGAGCTTTCCCGACTCGACCAGGATGTAGAAGAGATCCAGAGGGAATTCCCTCCAGGGTCGCAATATCAGCAGTGGGTCTACCCCGACGAAGACGCCATCTTTGAGCGGAGACAGATGCGAGCAAGTTCTCCGTTTCGCCATTATCCCAGCAGGCCTCATGACACGGGTCGTCGAGGCCACGATCGACCCGAGCCCTATCGTCGTAAGTGGTGCCGGTTCACCCGTTCATCAGGCCTTCTGGTTCGAAAGGGTCACACTACTTGTTGAGAGGTGAGACTAATTCTGTTTCAAAAAATAAAGGTCCCCGTCCGCACTCTTCGGCGCCCCGATCGTCTACGCCAAGACCACTCCGGAGACATCATGGAGACCAAGCTTTTGACTATCCCAGTCCAAGGCGGCATGTCGATGCTTGGGACGACGATGGCTATGATAGAAGCCATGATAGTAGCCGTTCTCGTCACGACAAGGCTCCCAGATCCGGGCAGAGGGGCAGCTTTGGCAAACTTGCGTCTGTAGGAGTGCTGGCTGCGGCCGGCAAAACGGCCTATGATTATTATAGATCTCGCTCGGGTGATCGAGACACGCGCTTGAGCCGCTCAAGCGATCGATTTCGCTCTCTGAGTAGAGGCAGAGCCACAAGCGTCTCAGGCTATAGCCGCAGGGATCCTTACCACATCTCAGACGATGAGGATCGCTATGATCGGTACGACTCCCTTCAAGACTACCCAGAGCGCCCCAGATCCCTCTCTCTCCCGGACTACGAATACCTCAATGAATCAGACGGTCGGCACTCAGGCTATTCCTCCGACTCCAACTCTTCTTCCGGCTCCAGCGCCGACGAGGCACTTACCCGCCGAAAACTACGCCGCAAGGAGCTCGTCACAGCCGGCCTTGCCACCGTAGCCACCATCCATGCCGGCCATAGCCTCTACGAGAGCCATGGAAAGCGCAAGGAGCGCCTTCGGAAGCTGAGCGAGGGTAAGATCAGCCCTGAAGAAGCGCGCAAGCAGCGCTTGGTGGGGAATCTGAAGGACGCGGCTAGTCTCTCACTGGCTGCGGTGGGAATCAAACAGACCATCGACGGGTGGAGAGAGGCCGCGAAGAATCATTCCGAGTATAACGGCTTCAACGAGAAATGTAAGCAGAGGGCGAGAGAGCGGGCGCGGAAACGTGCTTCATCAATGGATTCTGGGTGGTGATGATTTCTTTTTTCGGATATTATCCCCTAAATAGTGACCAGACTTGGGTTGATTTTCAAGGCAGATACCCTTTGCTACTTGCCAGCAGGCTCTGATTAGCGTGTTTAGCCATTCCTGTAATGATGTTATGATGATGAGATTATGATAATGAATCCTTATGACAATCTTAATGTATGATCGAGCGTGTTATACCTCTTTGAATACACTTGGCGAGTATATTATCTGGGTGTGTATGGTATATTTTTTTTGTATTTCAGGTATGCGATAAGTATGTAGCTGTATGTTTCTAATCTGGCCTTCAAAGTTATTCACCAGCGTTTTCTTCTGCGGTCCTTGGGCAATCACCAGGTTATCAAACACATCAATTCCACAAATAGATCGTTTAACAGAGCAGGACAAGAAAACAACTCAATAATACAAGATGCAACAAGTAAAAAGGACACCGAGATCAAAAACAAATCAACATAACACTCCTATCCATGGAGTAAGACTTCATATAGCTGACGAAAGAGCAACAACAGATCAGAGACGAAGCAAAACAAAAGCTATTCGCGAGTTGTTCCGAAGCCGTAGATAGGTGTACCGATCTGGAAAGAGCATGCATTTTGTCAGTAAGAAATAACATATAGAATTCAGCTGGGCCACCACGGCGCCAATTTTCGGAAGTAAACAAGAGAAACGCACGCGGTTAAGAACATAGATCACCTTGCCACAGAATATCAGTTAGTATTTCAGTCAAGCAATCTAGTGGATTAGATCCTTCGAGGTAGAAGGCAACTTACGTCGCGAGTTGTAACTGTCTATGAAAAGACCAGTGTGGTTAGCTGAAGTCTGACATATGTGACCTCGCAAGAAAGATCAAACAGTAGCCTACCTTTCTATCCTTATGATGGAAACTCCCCGATTCGAGAAGTATCACAAGTTGTCTAACTATCTAGAGAGAGTGTAAGCGAGGCTCAAATCTTGTTTTTTCTATAGGACGATTTAGCGTCGAGCAAACCCACCAGCCGAAGCCTATCGAGGACTACTTGACGAGTAGTGTCGTAAATCGCTTTCTGGATACGTTTCACGCCTCCGCGGCGTGCAAGACGGCTAGAAAGGTAGGAAGTCAGCGAATTAGGCTTGGTGCCCACCCACGACTAGCAAAGATAGGCCGTCAAAAACCAAATATATGGACATACCGGATGGCAGGCTTTGCTATCGTCACCATTTGCATCAATATCTTGAATAAACCGCGGCAACAGATACGGATGCACTTACTAATCCCCATGATATTGTCTCGTTCCAACTTCCGGCTAGATTCAAGATAGTTAATCGGGCTTTGCGCTTTTTCCATGGGAACGTAGCCGGGCTCCACAGCCTAGCCAGAGGTCAACTTACTGGCGTTTAGGCACGTAGCGTTCCTTCCCTGTAAAAGCGAGCTCTCGGTATCTAGCCTTCATGATGTGGTTGGCGTAAGTAGTGAGATATTGTACACAAGACGAAGGGTTCAAAGCAGGGAAACAACTCGTAAATGAGTGAAAAGATTTGGGGACAGATGAAATTGAATTGCGGTGGCAGGTGGTGATCTGTTGCTGGTCTCAGGTCCATGGTTGCTTCCCACTGAATAACACAAAACAAGAAGCTTATTAACCAACACTTCTATAGAGGATTAGAAGTGGAAGAAATTAAAGATCCTGGCTTGACAAAATTATGTATCATTTAAGTGTGTTAGGAGGTCCATTTGTCAGGAGTTCTCATAATCTCCACAGGATTAAAAGTGTTCTAATAATGGTCATAAGCCAGCAGATTGTTTCGTTGAGACAATGCCAAAAATACAACTCCAACGCCGAATCAACCAGTCAAACGAATATAACCGCGCTGGTGTTCCAAGTGCTTTAGGAGATGAATGTTGCCTCGGAATATAGAGTTCCTTCCTCAGCAAAATCAGTGTCACCGAGTCGCAGCTTGAGGCTCAATTTCTCCTTGGGTGAAAACTATGTAGTTCGTCAGTGTTTATCCCAAGGAAGGGCATGTGGAAATAAAGCCGAGATGCTCACTTGATAAATATACGGCTTCGTCCCTGCAACACTGCCGACGATCGACTTGATGATGGCCGGTACTTCTGCCATGACATCGACTCTATCAAGCCTCTGTCCCAGTGAACCCTCGAGTGTGGCATTGACTTCTTTACCGTCTTTTGTTTGGCCGGACCACGTATACTTGACGACCGTTGGTTCTGGCCATTCGTTATCGGAGTCTTGGGTAGTTTCCACGTGCGATGCCGTGTTTGAGGTTCCGGCGTGGATGATTTCTCCATCTTTCACGATGCCTCCGACATTAACGACAGTCGATCCATACGACGGCGGGGTGGTATACTCCATGACAAAGGCAGAAATCGTGGGGCTTTGGAAATTGGCAAAGTTCCATCTCGCGGCTAAATCGCAGACCAATTTAGCCGATACTCCAGAAATGGAAAGTAGTATATTATACCTAAATGATGAGGTTTCATTCCCTGTAAAGCATGTACAAAGAATCCTCTCCCAGCACAGTTTAGCTCTGCATCTGGGGTTATAATCGATCCTTCAACCTTGCATTGAGGCCAGAATGCGTGACGCATGCTGCCCCAAGGGTTTGCAGGGTCTGTCCCAAAATTCGAAGTCCCATCGTTGCCAACAACAAAGCCGGGAGTCAGGCGAGTGAAGGTGAGGTTGACAAGGCAGCTCTCATTAAGAGCAGATTTGATGGTATAAGCAGTACCATCTCCATTGAGGGTAAGTGCGATATTGTCACCACCAAATGAGAGCATATCCTCATCAAAGAGGTAGTTTTGGATGGGATCACTGAACCAATTGCTCGGCTTTTGCGGGTCTGCCCAGTAAATCTTGGTGTTAAACTGGCATGTTGTGTGCAGGCCACTGTTGAAAGAAGATAACTGTTCAGCACAAGCCTTGGGTATGGGTCCGGATGCTCCGCAAAGGGATCTCACGCGACATTACTGTAGATCACCTGGACCATGACCAAATCACCCTTCTCAGACACAACGTAAAATGTTTGAGTTTCCACGCAGGTGGATTGCATAGCCTTCCATTTCAAATCATCTTTTGTTAATTCTGTAAAAGGAGTTGCTTTGGTTTGCTCTGCAACAGATTGTATTGCTGTGGGCCCATAAATAGGCTCCTGGGTCCCGGCGACGCTGGCCAAACTAAGCACCACAAGATAGTTAGACGCCAAGTAACCACATGGTGATCTTCAGCACAAAGGTGTACATACGTTGATTTCAACCAGTTCATCGTGGCTTAATTCGAAGAATACGTTATCAATGCAGCGGTGAAACGGAATCGAGGGGTTGGGCAGCGAAGAGTTGGGTCGAGGGGAAGTTGCGAGAGATGATGTCGATTGGAAGCGGATCAACCCTGTTCCGCTCTTGCATGTTGTTTTTCATTGGCCCGTTAAGCGCCACCCCGACCCCAAGCGCCGTTGAACCTCACAAAAATCCGTGACTTTTGCAAGCTCAACAATCGAGACATTCGGAACACCTGTGGAATATAGTATTCGACGCCCCTCCACCTAGAACTCGCATAACCCGCGAATTGCCACACGACGCCGGCGGACTCTGGGTCTAATACATCGCAATGGCCGCACGAAAAATTGCTCCAAAGGATGTGATCGTCAAGCTGATCGTTGGTGCTGGCCAGGCCAGCCCGAGTCCTCCCGTTGGGCCTGCCCTTGGTAGCAAAGGTGTGAAGAGTATGGATTTTTGCAAGGTAACCTACCACTGCTGGCAATTCACTCCCTCGATCATTGGTTCTTGGCTAAAGGGCTGTTTGTTCATAGGAATTCAATGCTCGCACCGCACACATCAATCCCGGCGTGCCTATTCCTGCGCGGGTAACTGTGCGTCCCGATCGATCTTTCACCTTTGACCTGCGAAGTCCGACAACGTCGTGGCTGTTACTGCAGGCGGCAAGAATCGAAGAGAAAGGCGGCCGGTTACGAGGTGGTGGAAAACCAGGCCATGAGAGCATCGGCTCTGTATCGTTAAAACACATCTACGAAATCGCCAAGATTAAGCAGTCGGAGATCAGATTGTCTGGACTGAGTTTGGAAGGACTTTGCAAGAGTGTGATTGCGCAAGCAAAATCAATTGGCCTCGCTGTCGTCCGGTGACACCCCAAACAGAGCCGTTGAAGGTGGTAGTAAATGAATATTGCATTTCAATCAATTTTGCATGGCGTTTTCGAAAGAAGTGTGAGGATATCTCTTTTGGGTGTATTATATGGAATTGTATATTATCTGAAGTGAATGATTTTGTCATAAAACATGAAATGGAATGGTTGAAGTGAATGCTGTTCCTACCGCCCATCCCGCTTGTAAACCTCAGCCGGTTTATATCTGTCCATCCTTCCTTTGACGGCTTTCCAACAAGAACAAATTCGATGCAGCAATGTTCTAGAATCCAGCTTAGTCACCGAGATACCCGCAAGGGGCTATCTAATTGGCCAATTATTGTCCGCCGTAACTCAATTGTAAGATTACTGCCAATTAGCCGCACGTTGTACCCCTTTGTCCTGTTCCCGCATTTTCCTCGCTGTGACGAGTAGCCGCAGTACCTGCATCGATCTGACACCGCCTGTACGGCCGTATCGCCGTGGTCCATTATGTCATGGAGCGTGGGGATCACTTATAGTAATGGCGTAACTGCGAAGTGGCCATGGAATCCCGTGGTATTTGGGGACGTTTTTGTGGCTAAAATGGCTCTTCGAATTGAGGTATGGGGTTTCCATGCCAGGATTTTAGCGGATTGCAGGAGGAATGGAAGGTAATTTTTTAGGAAAATTCGCCAGGCCGCCTAGCGAGCCAACTGGAATATCCCTATGAGATGGTAATTCTGATAGAACCTGGGTCAGATGAGTGATCAAAATTGACAGGCAGTCATCAGTCAGCACAGTCTAGTTATGCGTGCCTTCCAAAGTAGGATGCGACGATGTTTGAGGAAGGTGCAATTCTCTAGCAAGGGAAAGAGCGACCGTTGAATGAATGACATCATCTGGAATTCTAGAATAGGCAGGAATTCACTTTTGTTCTTCTCGAGAAGGAATCATCTACATTGATAGCTCTCGCGTTGTTGATGGGCGGCTCTCGATCAGATGCCAATTTCATTGGGCAACGAATTTGCCCGAAGATCCTCTGCACTGGATTCCCCACTCCGCAGCGTCCCGCCGACTTCCATGTCATCGTATTAATCGCAATCTGATTCTCACAGCCACCGGAGAAATTTTCTCGCTGCGATCCGTTTGCGCTACACCTCCACCGTCCTCGACATTGACTCCCGTCTCGGCCTCCTCCAGGTAGCAAAATCTTACGGCAGTGGCAACCAAGACTGCAGTCTCCCTTGACCGGCACCTCTCTTCGTGATTCTTTTACTTCATAGCTGCTGCTGCTGCTCCTAGCCCAAACACAATAGATCGGGGATGTGTCAACGCGAAAAACGCCCTGGAACGCCTATCCTTCTACTCGAGTGCTATATTTTCTTCTAGACTCGAAGAACTGCGCTAGGTATTGTTTCACTAGAATCCTTTTCCATCCACTTTTATTCCAAGCACCTGGGATCGGATTTGAGATCATTGCACTGACTCCGTACACTCTTTAAAAGCAAGCATGTCGGCAAGCGCAGGCTCTCAGCATCCAAAGCCAGCCATGGCCACCTCCGAGAATTCGTCGCCCCAGCACGCAGGCCAACAAACCGTTCGTTTTGCTTCCAAGAAGGAAGAAATCGAGCCCTCCGGGGGTCTACATACATCAGCAATGTCCATCGACAAGTCACAAGCACCCGAAACAGATATGGAAGACCTCTCGATGAAATTACAAAAGTCAAGGCTACAGGAAACCAGAATGCGGAATTTCGCTTTCGAGCCTGTTTCCTTACCGCCAACGAGAGTATGTATATCTGAATGTTTCTTCTTTTGGGCGATTTTCGTTTACTTGGTATCTAAACTTATGCTAACATCCTACTCAGCTCCCTTCGAGGGACTCGAATACGCATAGTAATCGGGGTGGTCCGTCACCACCTCCCTCGGGGCCGCATTCTCCTATCCTAGGTGCCCAAGACTCGGAACGAATGAGGGAACGGATCCACCGAGGAATTGCGCAATATTCAGACATGACACCCCAGTCGTCATTGTCAAACGACGCATCAGGTAAAAGCTACACTTCTAGGTCGCCAGCCGGCAACGGTTCCAGGCCTTCTTCATCTTCAGGCCCAACATCAACAAGACCGTCCTCCATGTCGGATTTTCCAGCGCCCCCAAGAGAGTCCCGGCATAAGCCAAAATTTTTCCTTGGGCCGTCCGAAGACAGCCCGCCTTCAACCCCGAGATACGAAATCAGATCATCTGCCTCTTCTCTCGTGGGATCCGGCACTGCGACCCCGCTTGGAGATCGGAACGATCCTTATGCTAGGAGTCGAATGCCTCCTCCGCAAACCAATCTCTCCCAGTTAGATCAAAGATTTATTTTTAGCGGCCTCGACTCAAAGCGTCGGCCAAGCAAGGGTAATAACCAGTCTACCCAATTAACACCTGCCGTTGATAAATCGCATGATAAAAGGCTTTTTGGGAAAAAAGAACAACGTCACCTTGAGGGCCACAGGGAAGGACACAAACCTCATGGCTCAATGTCTGAGTTGAAGCGTTTTTTCCGTATGGGTGCGAAACAGAAACGTAGTGAGTCGCCTGCTTCTATACATAAGAAGCACTCTTCACGATCTTCGAGCAAGGTCGACCCATTCCGAGCTCATGGCCCTAGTGTTCCTTTTGCCGATGATCACGGGCTGCAATCCAAATATGGGAAACTTGGAAAGGTTCTCGGTTCTGGCGCCGGCGGCTCTGTCCGATTGTTAAAGCGAAATACGGATGGTGTCACGTTTGCTGTTAAGCAGTTCAGAGACCGCCATAAATGGGAGACGGAAAAGGACTATGCAAAGAAAGTAACAGCGGAATTTTGCATCGGCTCTACCCTGCACCATGGCAATGTCATAGAAACACTTGATATTCTTCATGAAAACGGCCGCTGGTATGAGGTCATGGAATACGCTCCCTATGACCTATTTGCTTGTGTAATGACCGGCAAAATGACGCGGGAAGAAATCACTTGCACCTTTCTCCAGATTGTTAATGGGGTAACATATCTTCACAGCATGGGGCTTGCACATCGGGATCTCAAGCTCGACAATGTGGTTGTCAACGAGCATGGGATCATGAAACTGATTGACTTTGGCAGCGCTGTTGTTTTCCGATACCCTTTTGAAAACAACATTGTATTAGCATCAGGTATGTGGTCCATGTTCATTCGATGCAATTGGTTTCCTCCAGCGCTTTTCACTGATTGTGCTTTTTAGGCGTTGTTGGGTCCGACCCATATTTGGCCCCAGAGGTTTACGAGGAACACAAAAGATATGATCCCCGCGCAACAGATATTTGGTCTCTAGCAATAATATTCTGTTGCATGTCTTTGCGCCGATTCCCATGGAAGCAACCTAAAGAGAGCGACAACTCATACAAGCTCTTCATCTCACCACCTTCCCCAGGGACCCCACTCCCTGATGGTTCTTCCAGAGAGAATCGACCACGGCCAAAATCAATAGCGGATGTTTCGTCTACAGCTCAAGATTCCCCGGCCGATAGCCGCCGTTCATCAGCGCCTCGATACCACCACCGGCATGGAAGCGGGCCATATCCCCATTCCGATCCCACGACACGAGACCACGAACCTCACGAAAGTCATCCTCCTAATCACACGGCCGCTCTATCCGAACAGCCGACGGCCGCCCTCAAAACCGCTAATCCACCATCGTCCCAGCAACCTCAACAACCGCAATCGCAAACCTCTGCCTCTAGTGCCGGCTCTGGACAGCGACAAGAAGTCATTAAAGGCCCCTGGCGATTACTCCGGCTTTTACCCCGAGAGTCCAGACATATCATAGGCCGCATGCTTAAAGTTAAGCCCCGTGAAAGAGCCACGTTGCAAGATATCCTCTCGGATGAATGGGTACGTTCTAGCGAAGTGTGTAGACAAGAAGAGTTGGGCCAGATCATCAATGCACCTAACCATACCCATGTTTTGGAGCCACCGTCTGGGGCTCCGCCACCGACAAGTGACCAAAACAACAAGTGATTATCATGATCCGTATTTGCACGGCGCCAGAAAGGCTGATGATTTTTCTTTTGCTGCATTCTCACTACTTCCCTGTTTCCTAATACTTTGCCTTCCCTTTCTTTAATTCACAATAAAACATTTAGACGCGGAATTGATCGCAAGGTCGCTGGCGTTCATGGAGAGGGAGGATTAGCGATTTGAGTTGTTTGCGGTACGCGGTTTAACTTATACCTCGAGCTCTTTGTTTTAGGTGGCTGTTTTTGGACAATTTCTGATGAAACTAAAGTGAATGGGACTTGCACTAAAATTTTTGAATGCGTTTGACTTATATATAAATTTGAAGGCACAAAACAAAAGCAAAGAAGTTACTAAAAAGGCTCAGCAATTCAATAGCTATTGATTGATATTTGATTACTATACTTATTACAGAATAAATTAGTGATAAGTATTCAAAACCCTGATCGTCTTAACTGTTAGGTCTAAATATCATAACATCTCACCATCATAAATGGCCAGCATATATTAATTGCGTGTCTAAATCAAACCATCCTCATATTAGTTGCTCATTTGAGGGAGCTCGTGAATGACTGGTTGCTGGCGTCGAGCCTCCGTCCTTATTCGCAGCAAGGTTGCTATTCCCTGCCGAGGCCGTACTGGCAGGGCGCTTCAGATCTGCACTAGTTTTGCTTTCACGTCCTTGGACATCTCCATCTGTTCCCGACGTGGTCGTGTTGTTGTTATTGGTAGACTTCTTTTCCTGACGAGGGGGGATTATGCGTTTGCCATTGGCCTTGTAGTAAAGGATCATATCGCCGCCCGCGCGCCAGATGTGTGTGCGCATTGTTAAAAGAGTCATTTCAGGAGGTATTAACTATAGGGGAAAAATTCTCAGAAGAGAGAAATGATTTTAGTATATGGGGCGAGATAACATACTGTATTTTGGCAGTATAGTTCTAGATACTCTTCTGGCTTCAGCTGGTTTTCATCTTTGCTGTCGGGCGAATACTCGGGGTCAATACGCTCTGCAACATAGGCAAGAATCTTCTTTCCGCGAAGCATACGATTGGCGCTCAAACGGGAGTTATTATTTGCATCCCTTGTTAAACCATTAGTCAGTTTCTTGTCTTTGTTGAGATCAGGGTGAAAAATTTGCGCAGAAGACTCTGTACAGGGCATGACAATAGAAAAATAGACAGAACAAGAATAGAAGTAGTAAGGGCCTTACGGATCAATCGCCTCAGGTAACAGGCCTTTGTAAGGCGTGACGGAAAAGGTGATTTTAACTATTTCAGTCTCCATTCGGTTCTGCATTAGAATTAGCATCGGATACCAAAATGCTCGGTTCGTGTCGATTACAACTGTCTACTAACCTCTAGAAGGAGTCGTCCTAGCCACGCTGGTGCGACCTTTTCTAGCTCATCGGCGTCTTGTCCAATAGTAGATACGGTCCCCCTATAGATATCAGCGGCAACTGCAATTCCGGGACCATCTTCTTGAATATTAATCGCCGTATTCGATGGAAGTGATATAGTTGGAGTTTCATTTTCAGGGCTCGGTATGATTCTTGACTCTGGCTTTTGTCCCGGCTCTTTTTCCAAATCCGTTTCGTACTTGGCTCTAAGACTCTCAATAACACCGTAAAATGTCTCATCGGGCACCTTATCTTTCTCCTTCTCCGAGGAGTTAACTGAGGCTTCCTCGGTCTTTTCCTCTGCTATTGGCTTTGTTTCTGTAGACGTGCGTCCTAGTTTTTTGGGGAACATTTGAAACTTTTTGCCAAATAAAGAGCCGGTGCGCTTTGTCTTCTCTTCTTTATCCGGCTCTGCCGAAAGTGCAGGAGATGAATCAGCGAGATTAGATTCTTCAGTCGCAGCCGGTGTTTTCGCGTTCAAAGCTGAAGAGTCCCCGGATTGGCGGTTTGGTTTGGACAAGAAGTAATCATCGATCCCGGGGCGATCGACCCTAGTCCCTGGATGCTGATCTGTTGATTGACTTGTAGGGCTTGAAAGGGAATTTTCCGGAGCAGATGTAACAAGTGGCGCAGGCGTTGCAATGCCAATAGACATCCCTGGGGTTAGGGCCGTCGAATGCAACTCATTGGTGGTCCGCGGTCCCTTTATAGGAGCACCAGGGAGAGCGGTTGGCTCGGAAGCATAGATTGCGATAGGCGGAATATCAATGGAACTAGGAGCGTCCGTCCGTTGTAGACGCATCGAATTGTGCAATTTGGCTACTAGTGACGCCAGATATTCGGAATCTCTCCGTTTTTCTTCTTCAATGAGGCCAGCAAATAGATTCCGAAGGACCCATTTTCCCAAATTGACTGAGATGACGGAATGTTAGACGCTGTAAAATATAGCTCTAAGAAAGAACACATACTTCTCTGATCATCTCTAAATTGGCTTATGTCCGTCAAGTCTGTTTCATCCGCGTACATTTCTCCATCAAAGCACCGGTGAGGTTCCAAAATGACTGATAACTTTCCTGTCCGGGTATGCAACGTGCACCAATTCGCGATTGACTTCACCGTGTTTAATTTTGCAGCGATGTCATCCAGGTGGCCTTTCCCAAACGACTTTACTGGAGTGCACTTTGAGAAGGTTAGCAATCCGTCCGAAAAACAACACTTGCTGTACTATTTACCTTGAGGAGATCCCATAATACGACTTCACCAGCTGTATCCTTAGTAAGAGCACGCACTCTATCGTTTAGCATCATATGCTTGATGAGACCATTCAAACCCTCAACGGTTTCCTTTGGTTGGCTCTGGGCGGGGGTATACACTCCCGGTTCGCCGCTTGGTGAGGTGTTAGATAGGACTAAAATCGACGAGGAAGGGGCCTTTAGCTTCTCCGTTTCTAGAGATTCGTTGTGTCGAGGAGCTACATTGCCTATGGGCCGGTGTGCCTGTTGAGACGAGGTCGTCAAGCCAATGTCTGTAGTATCGACATCGCTCCAACGATTGATGCTGGACTTGAGTGTAGCTGTCCAGATATGGTCATTGGCAGCGACAACTTTGAATACTCCTTCATTTTCTTGTAGAGCAGCAACACAGACGCCTTGATCGACATCGGCAGAGTATCTAGTGTCCGTCTTGGCCACTACGCCAGCCCTATCACTCGAGTAAAATACAGAGAGCTGAGGGTGGTCTGAATACAGCGACCAGACGCTCTCGTTATGCATCGTCAGAGTATGCATGCATCTCCCTGCTGTGATCGACCATACTTTGATAGTTTGATCAGAGGACGCCGTAATGATAGTATTTGCATCCTCGTTGATCAAAATACCCCGAACGTTGTCAGTATGCCCAACAAAAGTAGTCACCAGGTTTCCAGAATTGGAGTCCCAGACGCGAACTGCGCTATCAGGCCCTCCACTAGCTAAGATCGACTTCTTGGAGGCTAGAGCGTACACCGAACCCTTTTGTGTCCTGCCATTTCCAGAAACGTCAATCTTTAACTTCTCTCCACCGCCGTTCAGATCCCATACGTAGATTTTATGATCCAACCCACCCGATGCAACCCAGTCAGCATGGTGTCGGGGAGAAGCCAGGCATTTGACGTAGTCGCTATGTCTACCGAGGGATACGGGTATCTTCAAGTCTTCCGAGTCTTGGCGCCATAACCTGACCGTGCTGTCTGACGACCCGGATACCAGTGCAGAGTTGTTTCGAGCCAGGAGAATATCATTGATCCAATGGGTATGGGCTTGGACCTGGCGTCGGAAAGTAGTTGGTTGCACGGTATCGGTGCCGGAGCTTGAGGGCGGGCCGGAGGGGTCATCGGAAGAAGCCAAGGAGAGATCCGGCGAAGGGATTCGCGAACGGGAGTTGACGTGCAAGTCCCAGCTGCATATCACACCGTCACGACCACCTGAGTATCTGGAGGGCCATTAGCCAAGGATGTAATCTTTCGCCGGGTTGTCGCGGCAATAAGGAGGGATCGGCGGCAGGGACAAACGCACAAGATGGACCGTTCAGAGTCAACAGCGAGGCCATTAACGCCGAGACGATGCCCACCCGGGCCATCAGGTATTGGCAGCTCTGTGCGAAGGGCCAAATCATTAATAGGAGGTTCGCAGCAAGCTGTGTGTGTCCGGGGGATCACGTACCATAGCTGACGCGCTGAAGAGATTTCCTCGCCATCCAGATGAATGTGCGGGGATCATTCAATCAATATGGAGCGAGTCAACTGACAGCCAATAAATTGCTTCGAGATGCAGGTGAAGCGTTCTCTGTGGCGTCGAATTGATGGCAAGACGCCATGAGCTGCTGCCTGGGCTGCGTCCCGTTGGATGCCCGGTGAGACTGAACGTTCTGGAGTCGCAGTGGGGAACAACCTTATTTAAGCATAGATTGGCTCTGGGGTATTTTACCATACGCATCCCATACGCGGATGCGACGCAAACAACCACTGTCTGACGTCACAAAGGTGTGTAATTACGCATCCGGAACACGCCGTTCCATAACACAGCCGACCACCCATGCATCAACCAGTCAATGAGGATGGAGTATGTATATATGTACTATATTGGATGCTGCAGTGGGTAGCTCTGGGTACAGCATATGAGTTGTGTCCTTCTCGAGCAACTTTGCAAACGACTCTCCAGCACAAATAGAGGCGAGGAGGTTTTATGTCAGAAGAACCCTATTGATTCCGAAGGCATTACGGAGTATGTTCCAATCGAATTCGATAGTAAGCTAAAAGGTCTTTCAGACATAACAAATCAAAAGCATATCGTTCCTGGGTATTTTCCTTCAAGACGAAATTGATAACCTCCGCCCGTGGCTCCTTAATAGTGTGTGCCAGCTCAAACCGTCGACTTCTAGATTGTATATCTGAAATCGGGATCCCCGTCAATGATCTTCTCGCCCCGGTCAGCTTTCCTGTTTGCTGCTCTGAAGCACAGCGTAAGTACGCTGGTGCAGATCATGATGAGACAGGCAGCCCTGTATAATTATTGATCAGCCTAACGTTCACTCAAAGAAAAGCCCACAGGAAAGGAATAACGGAACGTACACGATACAAGCCACCATACCAGGCATATAATCTGGCCGATCTTGGGTTCGGAACACAAGACTTCCCGCGATTCCACCGATACCTCCAAAACCAGTCAATGTCGCTGAGCAGAAAGCACGTTTCCACTGGCCACGAATGTTGTTCGCCTGGGATAAGCATTAGTGACCGCATTTCGCTTTCTAGATGCAGGAACACTGATGGTACACACCTGATAAGCCATGATTGCAGGCACGTTTGCATTAGCGCCGGCGACAGCAATGAATACGCCAAAGTATCGGACCGCGTTGTTAGAATGAAATCCCATGATAGGTAAGCCGATAATTAGAATTATACAATTCGCGATGATGACAGGGGCTCTAGTTCGGAAGCGATCGCTGATCCATGACATCACAAACATCAGGATTGCGGAGAAGGCGTAAGGAGGAGCAATGAGACATTGAGAAGCAGCAAGGCTGAACCCTAGATTGTCTTTTAAAATGATAGGTAGGAAGACTATTCTTGTCAGCGCTGCGAGTGCAAGGGTCGTAAGATACGAATTCAATGATACTCACAGGCGAACGCATACGTGACGGTGGTCAGGCAACTGGATCACGTTAGATGTGCACGACAAGCCAGGTCTCGGGGGTTTAAGATCTCTTACAAAAACATAAAAGCAAACACCCAAATTTCAAGATCTGCGGCCGGCTTCAAGAAGCGTGCAAGGGAAAATTCCTCGGCCTCCACGTCACGTCTATCCTCTTCCAGGCGCTCGATAACATATTGGCATTCGTGAGGCTTGAGGAAGCGAAATGACGGCTTGTCTCGTTCCTGGTCGGGGAACCGGATGATGAATGCATATGCAAAGATTGCAATCGCGCATGTTATCTGGTATACCATGAGTGACGGAATGCGGTGCATGAATATCAGTAAGAACTTACAACGCCCTCCATAATAAATATCCTGAGAAATGTTAGTTAGAAAGCAGAGGTCGAACGAATTTAGGTTAGCGTACCATCTCCAACCGCGAATATTTTGAACACCCTCCATTTGCATCAAGCCATATGCAAGAATGCCGGACAACGCCGAAGCAAGACTACCAATCAAGTAGAATACGGAATAACGCCGTGCAACCTCGACTGGTATAAGTTAGCATTAAAGGAAGGGCAGAAAGAGACCCAGGGGGATGACTTACACCGGGTATACCAGGTTGACAACAGGTAAACACAGCCAGGGAAGTAGCCAGCTTCGAGGATGCCAAGCACAAGTCGCAAGCCCACCATTGTTGTCCAGTCCTTAGAGAAACCGAGTCCAATGACCAGGCATCCCCAAAGGAAACATATACCGGGTAAGAATATGCGAGGGCCAATCTTGCGGCAGATCACTGTCATGGGAGATTGAAAGACAACGTATGTGATAAAAAAGCATAGCGTGATGAGACTGTACCGATATCCCTGCAAAAGGTCGAGGTCTTTTCTCATTCCTGCAATAGCAGCATTTGAGACATTCTTTCGATCCATCAGGGATATGCCGTACATGAAGCCCAGAGCCGGGATCAAGCGCAAGTCGATTCGACGTCGTAAGGCGGAAGCTTGCTTTGGGGTGAAGCTCCCATTGCTCTCAGTGTCGACTTTCGTGCCATCTTCGATGTGAAGCGGCGACAGCTTTTCGTCCGTTGAATTGGTTGTAGCGGCCATTGTTCCTCGAAAAGCTCCCTCTGGCTGGTTTTCGAGAAGAGAAGTCAGATCCGTTGGTCAAAGCGGAGGATGATTTCTATCAAACGAAGCAGGCAGGTGAGTAGCTTATGTACAGCATCCACCCTCTCAGCGAGCAAGACCTAGAACCCGGTCGGCAATCGCAATGACCCAGTGGAATCATGTTCGAAATACGAGAAAAGGGGACCCTCGTAATGTGCCCAGAAACAAGATGCATTGGATAGAGCCAGAGTGCATCGTCTGTGGATTCAGACGACGCAGAATCAATGGGTTGTGAGATCAGGATTCTCCGCGTTCAGACGGTCAGGTCACGGCAGTTGCAAGCTCCGGCGCCTCTCCGATCCCCTTCCAAGACTTAGCGTGCGCTTGGCACCATCGGCCGCTGCGACCGGGACTGTCCTAGGGCGGAAGACGCGGGGTAAAATGCGGAGGAGCGCTCTCTGTGTGTCCCGGGCCGCGGGCCTCTTCGCGGAATTATCGCCTGTTGCGCTGGTTGCCGATGCCGACAAGGGACTTCGAGACCCGGCCGTTGACGCCTTTAGCTTTCTCTCCGAAATTGGACTGCCCGTCTCGATCTTTACAGCCGACCGTTTCAAGGCAGCAAACACCAGAGCCACGTCCCATGATGGCGTCGAGAGAGTTGCTAGCTCAGATCTCGAGATGTCCAGCCAACGGGCGCACCGAACTTTGAAGTTCTGCTCAACCCTATCTCAGGGTCCGGGGTATTATGGAGAAAAAGCAGTGACAGCAATGTTTATTCATGGCCTCTCCACTTCGAAGCCGCCGTTTCCCTTGACGCTGGATATATCGCAACACACTCGACAGGATAAGCCACTTGAGAAATGAGCATTCATTCACTCATTGAGCTCATTCTTGACGTCGATAGCACATCGGGCTACCTGCATCCATCGGAGTGAGACCGATAGCGCACATCCACGTAGCCCTTTGGAGTTTAAAGCTTCGACGATGCCCAGCATGCTTTCAAGTTTCTCTCCATATCCCCAGAATGTAGGACATCCTCCGACAATTGGAGACTCCATGTGGCAAGGTTCAACCTTGGTATCCACAGCTTGTAGTCAACTAATTGCTCTCTCGGGACTCGATGAAGGCAGAAGGTGAACAGGCCACAAAAGGGCCAAAGAGTTAGCGTGAAGTATGTGTATGGAAGGCAAAAGCGTTGAGTGGATTGCCTCTTTGATTGTTTCTCATAGCGACTCCATATAGAACGAGTTTAACTCCCTCCTCTGGATGAATGGGGTTGTCTTTGAAGATGCAGATTCATCAGCTGGGTGAAATGTTGATCCGCCCCGAAGATCTAAGTACCAACCTTTCTGAGTAGATATCAACTTCCTCTGTACGCCTTCAATGCTAGGATTATGATAGCAAGTGACTTCAGCTGCAGCCTGAGTTCTCTTAGTGCATCCCGCCAAACCAAAGCGCAAGTAGCACACTAGCCTGGCAAGATAGCACTGACTTATGCGTGTTCTCCTGGGCTAGCTGGCTGGCTCCTACTACGCGCCCACCAAAGCAAAAGTCCAGCCGCTAAAGCAAGGGAAAGCCAGTAGTAACGGAACAAAACTTATGTAGTCATGTAGTTTTGCAAATATCCAGTCCTAAAAGCTGGGGAATGGGCCCCATCCGGTCGCTTTGCTCCGAAACACCATCAGCAGGACGCTTCTCTTCGTATCAAGACCACCTAAGCGATGCAAGATTTGACCCCTCATCCCGCAATGGATCGGGATTCCCGCGGGACAACATGGTAAATACATTGTTGGGCGAAGGAGGGAATGCCTGAGAAGTCATTCACCCGCGGAATCCAGTGGACGCTTGAACAGGATTCACTCGACTACCGTGTCTGCCGCCAACAAACTAAAAGGTGGAAAGCACATATGTGAAGTGTCTCTACCATCTATTATGCAAATTGTATTGTACATACATACAGAGTCCAGAATTGAACATGACCAGATCATGTACCCAGCCGATGTCTAGCCTCTCACAAGTCCGCTTCAGCGCATTCTTTTTGGAGTTTGCTACCTTCAAGCAAGTTCCATGCTCGCTGATAACTCCCGAGGAATACTGCACCTCCGATTCCAATCCAGGCGACTCGGGGTCCAATTCCCCTCCAAAACGCGCCGAACCCTTCGTCCCTCCAAATACCTCGCACAACATCTCTCACCCGAATCTTGCCTCCGCCATCGCTGTCTCCACCTCTTCTGGCCAACATGACTCTTGTTTTCACTACATCAAGCGGTGTGGTCAACCCAGCGGATATCGCGCCGGCAATGCTACCAAAGAACGCACTCGAAGTCGCGGAAACGGGAGCTGAGGGGTTGGATTGACGCCTCCATAAAGCATACGTCTCTTTCATCCTTTCCCACATTGTAAACTGTAGGATCGTGAATGGAATTTCGCGTGAGATGGTAATTGCCGTCCCTCTGTATAACTCGCGGAGAACCAATGTCCAGCTGCCCCTTCCTCCGCCTGGCAAGTTGGCGTGACGTAGAGAGAGGATATCTTTCAGAGCTAGTAACGTGGATCCTCCAAATAAACCAGCCTGAGCTCGTTGCTTGATCACTTCGGTGGGAACTCTAACCGCACAAGCAGCCACCTCTCCCAGGGATGATGCAAGTGAATGCGTAAGAACTGCGCGTTGCCATGACGGTGGTGTATTTTCGGTAGATTGATGTGAAGGGAGGAGAAGTCGTTTCACTCCATCGTAAACCACAAAAAAGCTTGCGGCGGATGGGGCGGAGCCAAGGAGGACAGACGGCAATCCAGCATATATACCTCGAATTGAGTGGCGAAGCAGTGGAAGGCCAGATTTTGTCGATGGGACTGAATTAGTATTACCCTGGCGCCTTCGAGCTTGCTGGAGTCTGGTTTTGATAGTATCTAGAGGGAAGAGGGAAACGTCAACAGTGAGACCGGCGACTGCTCCGGCCTATAATCCGACAGGTTAGCGCCTACAACAAAATAAAATGAGGGATCGAAGTTATTGTGATGCAGCATTCGAGGCATACCAGGAGGGATCTCGTCCAGAGAGAGGGGACGAGTGCCTGTGACGCATCCTCTCGAGGATGGTCAACCGCCTCCATTGGCGGCAACGAGTGGATGCTAGGTAGCGCTCTTAATCTTCAAACGCATGCTGTTCAGAACCGGAATCAATACCCAATAGCTCAATTCATGGCGAGCTCCGTTTCCTATCGTTTCCCGTTTTGTCCTTCTGGGGTTCGGAGTTGAAGAAATTTAAGTTGACAAAAGCTTCCAACGTCATCGGCAGACCGACCTCAAGTTGCATATGCGCCTCCAGCCGGGGAACAATCCAATGCTCAACACATTGTAAGGATACAAAGTTCTCCGCATTTATGCTAGAACCACATCTTGTCTACTCCGTATAATCTTTACAGAAACGTTTAATTCTCCCACACGGAGAGGGAATTTGCTGGACTTGGCCGAATCTACCCCTGATTACATAACCAAATTGGCGAGCTTACTAATCCAAAACCAAGCATCACGTGCAATATTCCGCCGCAGCGATCCTATTGGCCGGAACCTCTGATGCAACTTTTCGGTGGAAAAGGGGACGATATATCTTTCTGTCTGAGGGAGATACTGCTTTTGCCTCGGAAGCCAGAATGCCCTTGATTTTATGGCCAGTTATTACTCTAGCTATGACGTCAGGCTCTTCGAATAATGGCCTCCGTCATCCCTACAAGTGAATTCTATCAAGCTCTCAACGGGATCTGGAGGCGCTGGGCAGGGCATCAAAGGAAGGATGGGTTTCCCAGTAGAGTTGGTATGATCTACTCGGCTCTTCCTTTTTACTTACGATCTAACGTTCTCTCTTTAGCGCTTGCTGTTAGCGGCGGGCCGGATTCCATGGCCTTGGCCCATCTGTGCAGGAAGTTGACAGTAGAAGGATACATACCAGATTTAAAAGTGATAGCATTAATAGTCGATCATAAGTCTCGGAAGGGAAGCGCTGACGAAGCACTCAGAGTTGCAGGATGGATCCAGGAAATGGGTAAGCGGAACTACTTCAAGTTCTGGGATGGGAGTATACACGCCGTGAAATGCTGCTAATCAAAGTGTCCCAGGACTTACGCCTGAAATTCTTACTCTGAAGTGGCCTGCAGAAGCAAAAGATCCCTCAAAGCTATCAAATTTTGAGACTCTGGCCAGGAAGCTTCGATATCAAGCTCTTGGGACCGCCTGCACGTCAGCCAATATCCAAACATTGTTACTGGGGCACCATAGGGATGATAACATCGAAACCGGCTTACTTCGTTTATCCCAAGGCCACAGACGATTTGGACTTGCGGGTTTCGACTGTATCTCGCCCATCCCCGAATGCCACGGGTTATGGGGTGTATCGCATAGCGGTGATATTTCCAGCTTGGAGACCATCCTCACTAGTCGAACTCCAGAGTCTAAAGCGAAACCGTCAAACTTAGCCGAACACCTGGATATCACAGGAGTTTCTCCCCAGCTTAACATTGCGCACTTTACAGCGTCTGGTGGTGTTTACTTGCTCCGTCCATTCCGTGCATTTCCAAAAGCACGATTAGAAGCTACTTGCCGTAATGCTATGGTCCCGTTCGTTGTGGATCCGACCAATGCGGATCATACACTTACCGTCCGAAATACGGTCCGTAAATTGCTAGCATCTGATGACTTGCCTCGGGCGCTACAAAGCCCTCCAATTCTAGCTCTGATGGACAGGACTCAAAGAATCAAAGAACGCCTGCAGGAGCTGGTTGACGGTTTGGTGAAGCTAATCAAAGTTGTTAATTTTGACTTTCGAACCGGAACATTACTTCTCAGGCTACCCTCTGCTAAGGATCTCAAGGGTCTAGAAAGCGCTTATAATGATGATAGTCGCGGCTATCCATACGTTGATTCCCTGGAGGTACGGTTAAAAGCCTTACGAGCATTAATCGAGTTGGTAGCCGCCGGCTCAAACGTGCAGATTTCGCAGGACGGCCTTCTCAGGGCTGCTCAGATGATATGGCCGGAGTCACCCGAGGATACATCGTCTCCAGATGTATTCACACTCGGTGGCGTTCAGTTTCAGCCGCAACAACGTAAAGAGCCATGGGGAAAGGGGTCCTATCTGTATAATTTTAAGCGTCGACGCCAGGCTGCCCGTACACCCTCCTTTAATATACCCGACCAGGGTTTTACGGATGAGACTGTAACAGATAATGAAGCCAATACTACGGATACAAATATTTGGCTACTTTCACGAGAGTCGTTCCGCCGGTCTTTACCTATAACTACTACGGATTTTGGAATACTTCTTCCAGACCACATTTCCCAGCTGTCAGCAGACAAAACAAAGAGCGAGTGGACAGAATGGAAACTCTGGGATGGTCGATATTGGGTCCGGCTTCGGGCCACCAGACAAATGAAACCAATAAACCTCAGAAAGGGTGCTACTCCCAGGACTCGCATCTACAGCTTGGGCGACACCATCCCAATCAAAATGAGACCCTTGACCCATGATGACATTACCAGACTTCGGCGAGCAGAACTTAAAAACCGATATTATAGACGCCAGTATTCATGGAAGTTGACAGACCAGGATCTACGCCACAGCCCATGGGGCAACGGCGCCAAATTCCCATGGGAAAGAAAGGCGTTTGATATCCTTCTGGCATGTTTTGCCCCAGGAGATATTCGAACAACGATTCCAGCCCTACAACATTCGGATTATAAATCAGCAAAACCAGAAACGATATGCCATCCCCCTGAAACAAGCGCAACAATCAGCAAAAAAGAGGTGGCCAAAACAATCGCCCACTTCCCAAACAGCAATGAAGTCGACGGAACAAAAGAAGACGAGGAGAAATACGGCAACGGACAGTACGAAGAAGATGATTACTACGATATCAACGATACAGAGGAGCTTGTTGGCATTCCAACTTTCAACCGCCGCACAAGCAAAAAGATATGGGTTCGCTTGCCACCAGAAACCGCCCAAGGACTCTTGAAAGCGGCAACACCATCGAACACAATAAACGTGATTGCACATGGTAACGAGGAAAAAGATTCTGAAGTTGAGTTTATTTGCCCTTGGATCATCGAATGGGAAATCTTATACAAGCACGTCGATCCAATGATGATTCGAAACCTAAGTTGGGAATAGAAACGAACCCGTTACCTGAAGAGAGCTGCTGAACCAAGCACGGAGACACGGTAGCTTTGGAAAGGAAGCCTAAGCTTTGGCAAGCATCAACCGGTGCCTGTTGAATAGCCGGTAATACTACCTCAATGAATCGAATAAAAAATTAATATAATCATTTATCCGAAAGCCTGACACCCCACCCCTTCCAGCTGCATATCAATGCCAACGTTGTAGAAAAGGGCATACATCACAAGTGATACAGAGCAGTTAATACCGGCATACCAACCAGGCCCCAGAACATCAAAATCTGTGAATCCTTGCCCAAAGAAGCTAATGGAAAAGTTGCAAACAATAGTCAACAGGCTTATGGTATCATCCACACAAATCCGCCATGCGATAAACGCCAGTTCATATGTATGTACCCAATAACACAAACAACCACATATTGTCATTATCAATCCCCATCGTCATCCCTCGCTTCCCGATTCTAGTCGGTAACGACTTGTTGGGCTTTCAACCCGCCAATCTCTCTTTTTAACCGGAGATTTTCTTTTTTAATCCTAGCAACTTCATCAAGCGTTTGTCTCAGCTGTTCCCTGAGCGCCTCTTCTCCAGCTCCATGCCGGAAGTCTTTCGTGACTCTGCTGAGCTCATCATTGAATCGTTGGTATAAAGCTTCATTTTCAGCGCTGGCTTCACGGTACAACTCATCGAGCCTCTTAGCGCGTCTCTCGCTGACAACAAGAGAATTTTCGATATCTTTTTCTAGTAATGCGGTCCTTGAATTGAGATCTGACGTCACCATGGCCACCTTGTCTGACAGACCCCGAACTCGAGCAATAAGTGCTGTTGACGGGCTTGATGTCGGCGAGTGTACGGATCTTGATGTTCCATTAGACGACGTCGGACGTCCTTTGGTTGGGGAAGCTCTCGAATTGGATATTTCATGCCCAATAGACGCAAGCTCTGCCTGTAGCGTAGATTCAGCTGCAGCAACCGCCCTTTTTTCGTTTTGGACCCGTTCCCGAAGCTATTCGAAAGTTAGAAAAGTCCTAATGAAAAAGAGAATCTCCGATATAACTAACCTTTTGGGGATTTTGCATTTTCAATTTCTGAACTTTGGGGGCAGGCGCGTTCGACAATGGTATTCGTGACGCTTCAGACCCATTTGGTGGTAATGCCCGTTCTTTGTGGCCGGTATTCGGGCGATAGCTAAGTGGCCGGATTTCACTTCGTTTTTTAGGACTCGTCGATACATTGGTCTTCCTATTAACAGGCTTGTCACCAAGCGCAGTCCTAGGGGATGGAGGAGTATTTTCTTTTTTGTTCACCGGAGCGTGTCGCACTGGAGACGTAGTACGCGGAGGGGAATGTAACCGAATAGGTGACCTAAGTCTTGTGCGGTTTCTTTGGCTGGATGATGCTGACGGGGTAGCTAGGGATTCGGATTCTGTGTGATAACTAGTTGGAGTCACAGGGGAGGCGGCTCTCTTTGTCTCCTTAGGTGAATGAAATATGGGCGTCAGCTCTCCTGCAGATACCGGTCTCAAATCCGAGAGTGAACTTCTACGTTTCTTTCTAGGAGAAACGGGCTTTTCGACACGGTCTTCGCCAATCGAACTAAGTGTTGGAGCATTGCTATGAGCACTCCCAGGACGATATAAATCATGATCACTGGAGAAGAAAGTTGGCATGAACGGACGATCTCGTGAACCCGGACGCAGAAGACTGTGTAATCTAGTATCCATATCTGTTGATTTAGCTCGCATGAGATTGCCTTTGGTTAATGTCGAAGCAGGCGATTCGGTGTCGGTAGCAGGCCCAGATCCACCCTTTGACTTGCTAAGAGTACGAATGATCGAGCTAACCTTGCTTTCGCTTTCCGTTTTACTGCGCTCGCGGTGCAGCCCAAACCCGAACCTCTTACGGAACGAGGAATTATTCGAGTTGATGGACCCATGGTTGACTGACTGAGATCGATCTCGTCGGTTCGCTGGGTCATTAATTAAAGTACCTTCCATCGGAATTGTGCAAGGTGCATTCTCATCAAATAACCTCTCGAAGTCTTCAACAAGACGGTCTAAAAGAGAGATATACTCCCTCGGGTCTCCTTCTTCAGTTAAGATTTCTGAGAACACTTCAGTCAGCGCACCCCTATCGCCGTCGTTTCCCGAAGCATCAAGCAGCTCGGCTAATAATTTGACAAGCCCAGTGAGAGCCCGTCGTGTCTGAGGACTCATTTCGGCCAAGAATCTCCGGAAAAAATCTTCAAAATCTCCCGGAAACATAGCGTCGAATTTGGTTTGAATGAGTTTAAGAGACTGGGCTGGAATAATGGGGCCAATCTTTTCCTTCCAAGCGTTAGCCATGAAGGTTTCAAATGCCACCATAAGCACGTCTACTGGGGCTTCTGCAGCTGCTTGAAGTTTCCCGGCATCCTCTCGAAGAACGTTGTAAAGTTCATTGACAGCTGCTTGATCGGCACGGTCTCTTGCCCTTAAGACGCGACCTACAATATTGCCACTTCTTGAGCGTATGGCAATGGTATATGCAGAAAAGGTTTTTTCCAACTGCTCCAATTGGCCGGCCGTTTCATCGGCGATATTGATTCCGCCGTTAACAACCTTTGGCTGCTTCAACGGCGAAGGAGTTGGAACCAATGCCTTTTGCGGACTATCTGGTTCTGTAAGAGCAAAGGAAGGGGGTGTTGGGTTTATCTGGGCCGGCGGAAGCAAGCCTCTTAAAGGTAGCTGCAATTCCTTTGTTTGGCCATTTCCCCAGAAACTCGATAGAAGCTTTGATGGTGACCTTGGCCGGAGAGATTTAGACACTTTGGCGGAGGCTAGAATCTGTTCAGCAATGATACGAAGGATGTTGAAATTTGCATTGAGAATTGTGTCCGTGAGGAAAGGGTTCTCAGGCTGGGTTAACGGTCGAAGAAGGGTATGAACTGTGATAGTTAGCCTCATCCGTCTAAATTCATCTTCCATATACTTACATCGCTTTGAGAGGACCGAAACAAAGTCTTGCGGTGCGAACAGGTCCATGAACGAAACTCCCACAACAGAACTTAGCTCCATTTTGTATTTGCCATTACCAGCAACCGCCATCGAAATGTTCACTTCGTTAACAGAATTTCCTGCAAATTTCGAGAGACCAGGGCTCGGAGGATCAAAAGACAACTTTACTGTCGATGACGATGTTGACGGAAGAGCTTCATCCGGGCCCTTCTCGAAAACAGATATCAGAATCCCTAGATTTCCTTGTGCCCCATCAGGATGATGAAGAGACCATTTTCCGCGTTCGCGATATTTCTCTGGGAATCTGCCTTCAATCCTTCCTTTAGTGATCTCTTCGATTAACTTGTACGCCTTTCCCTCATAGCTTGACGTCAATTCAAGCGCTTGTAGCACTAACTCCGCCCGAGAACGCTCGTTTCGCAAGAAATTTTCAGCCGGGATAAGGAACATGACGCTAGCACACTTGGATTGAGTGCAGCGAACATCAACCGCACGGTTTGCTTGCATGAATTTTAATTCCGGAACCGAAGATGCTGCATTTGATCCAAACCCCGACTGTGGTTTATCCAGCTCTGCATATAGCCCACGGGCAGTCAATTTACTCTCCGGAGTTTTCGATACAAGGATGAGGTAGTCGGTGTAAACAAGCATAATACCGGCTTCACCTCGGGTACCTTGAAACCCAGCGCGATAAGGGGGCAGGAGAGTGTAGAAGTCGGCGGCAGTAATCAGCCTTCCTGACGGCGAAACTGTGGCCGGCCATTCTACCACCAGATTTTGCAGCCGTTTTAAGCTTTGTCCACTTTCACCGGATGACTCTAAAGAACAAATATTTGTTATGATATCCCGTGCATTCAACAGTGGCTTTACAGCAGGATGTACAACTGGGAGTGCGCTTGTCATCGCATCAATGAGAAGACTGTATCGTGGCAAACGCTGAACGGGTTCCATGAGCAATGAGCGCATCCGTTGCTCCCCTGAGTCATACACTCTCTTAGAAAAGGATGAATTCTGGTCATGCAAAAACGAGTTTAGCACTTTCGTAAATCCAGTGTGGGCATTCATGTATTCCCCGTATGGCTGAGAGAATTTTGGAAACCATTCCTGAAGACAGCGTGCAAAGGCGATAATACCCATCGAGTCCTTTCTTTTGCCGTTTGCGTCCCTGGCCAAGGCTGCAGAGTCAAGCACGGTGTCCTTCGTTATGTCTCCAAGAGCATCCTTCTCCGTGTCTTCGAGTATTTGGCGAATAGCATTCAAGAACCCAAGGTTGACATCAAGGATCTCGTTGAGACAAGTTGGGAAGAGCTTCATTAACTCCGTCTCATCTGGACTGTTGCTAGAGGCGGCTTTGTCCCGGGCTTTCTGCCGGAATTCATGTGCAATATTATGAACCAAGTCGTACATCTTCCCAACAAATCTCTCTTCTGTATCCACAACTTCGCACATGGAAAGGCGCAAATTCTCCTTCTGCGACGACGTAAAGGTCCTTGATTTACTCATATTCGTGGACTGCGACGGCGCACGTTTTAACTTCGACGTTGGTAAAAAGATCGGGTCCCCCAATGCCTCAATCAAAGGCGCATATTTCCCAAACCGGTCGCAAAATTTCTGGCCCACCTCTGCATCCGAGCCTAGATCCCGCGAGGAGCGGGCGTCCGTATCGACAGTACCCGGCGGCAGAACAAAATCGATGTCAATGCACGGAACGATCCGATCCCCAAACGCATCCCTCAAGTCCGACACAACAAGTGCAGAGCCCTCCACCTTTGTCATCTTATTTGCCAAATCCGCTGCGTGCACCTCGTCAAACAATTTTGGTAGCCGCGCGCCTTGTTTCCCCGCGCGGGCCAAAGCGGTCAGCGCATCCTTCACCAGTTCCGGCAACTCGCAAAAATATTTGTATAGACAAACGGCTAGGCCGCGATATACCTCATCTCCTTGTTTCTCGCGGGGTAGGTGGTTGACTGCGGCGTAAAGCGGGGCGGCGGGGGATATTGTAATTCGGGGATAGCTGTGTACACCTCCGGGGGTGATGATGTGTGCCTGGATGCGCGAGCTGCTCAGCGTCGAATTGGCGGTGGTGACAGGTCCATGGAAGATGAAGACTGAGGATAGATACGGGTCGACGGCGTGGTAGAGCGCAAGCTGCTCCAGCGGGAGCCCCGCGAGGGAACCGGAAACGGAAGTCATGGCAGCGAAATGGTGGGAAGGAGCGGATCGGCCGTTCTCAGGTCGCTAACGAATCGGGAAGGAAAACAAAGCGGCCTCCCTTCCTTCCTGCGGCTCTCTCGCGCCTGTCGTTTTCGGGATTCGGGAGATCCGATGTTGGCAGGAAACAATGAAACAAAGGGCGCCTTCCCCAAGTTTCGATCCAAGCGCGCCGACAAAAAGGTAAAAGGAGAAAGAGCTCTTCAGACAATGACGATTGCTCCTTCTCTTTTGTCGTCAAATCATGCCGCCAGTGGTAGTGGCGATCGACTCCTGCCCAACCAATGCGGCAACTGGGGGCCCAACTCGTCGCCCAGTCAGGATCGCGGGCGCTCGCTAACAATCTAGATCGTGGGAGATTGTCGCCAGTTCAGCAATCGGGCATCACGGTCGATCGATCCAATCAGGACCGGCTAACTAGCGATTCGTTTAAACCAAGCAAGCAACACTATCAACAAACAGAAAGCCGGGAATGAAGAGCAAGCGCCCCAAGATGTTCCCCCAGGCGCTTATTTTAGTAAACTTGGAACGCGGAGGGCGACCCAGCTGGCCTCAGCTGCGCTAACTAGCTAATTTCGCTTGATCTGCTTCTCGGTGCCGATGTGCGCGGTGTGATTGGACGCGTGCGGTGGAACTACACGTGTTCCCTGCCAAACAAAGTCCCAGCTGGGAAATCGATAAACAAACCGAATCTGGAGAATCCCCCGATCGCCTGCAACTTGCCGCACAATCAAGATCGATCTGCCGGCGATGCTGACAGCTCCGTATGACGGTTATGAATAACTACAACATAGAAAGATGTTCCATCCTAGGAAAGCCAGTAACGTGCTGGCAGTTGATTTCCGTTGAGCCGATGGTTGCGAGCTTGCCACGATATAATTAGCAATGCCGTCCATTGTCCGAAACCTCCTGTGTGAAGTAACTGGTGATGGAGCTTTAGTTATACAGATATCCCGGCTCACTATTTCAATACTTCCACAGGAGGGGAAATTGCGATTCGCAATAACTATCTGCCACAATCTAGCAATGATGAATATGTACACTTCTAGCAGCAGCTCGCCATTTTTAAAATTCACTCAAGTTGGCTGTGGGGGAATTTTGTTAGGAAATTCGATATCATTCAGATAATATGCTTAAGCAGCAAACCAGCAGATGCGTGCGGTACTGTCAGGAGCGGCGAACTTGTTCATCCGACTCGGTCGAAAACGCTGACAACAAGGAAAGAAAGAAAGTAAAGGCAGAGCACCAGATAGAATATCGTTTCAAATAAAGTAGCTATCAACATCAGAATGGAAGTTGAACCGAAGTATTCGCCGTGGACGCCGGAACGCAAGTTCGACAAGATATCCATGTCTTGGCGATCCTTTCAAAGGTAACCTAAAGCTCGCTAAAGTGGCAAGATGGGGTTGGTCGATGACGTCATAATAGCGGATGCATCTACCAGCCCTACAACAAAGCAACAAGCCGTTAGCACGATGAAGGACGAGTGTACTTAGGTGGGCTATTACCTTCTCCTTCAATTTGGCGTGGTAGGACGCATCACGATCCCGCCGCGTTATGTGACTATCTCGTGAACTGGAAGTTGAGAAAATGCTGCCCTCTCTCTTCTGAAAGCGTGAGGGAGGCACTTTGGAAGCATCTGAGACCAGGTAGTTAGTGCTGCATCCAAGTAGAACCATCTTATGGGCAAAATATCAAGGTCTCAAGGGATAGGTGATCGTGACTACATACCCCATTCTTTGCTCATGCGCCTATCTCTAACGGGAGGAGACGATGCGCCCGGTAGAGATTCGGAGCGGCGAGATTCACCTTGAAAATGAGATTCATCGATAACACCGGAGTCGGCTGAAGGAGAGCGTCCAGTAAAAGGGTTTCTTAGCAGAGGCGATCCATCCGCTTGCATGGTTGACTGTTGTTGGCCTTCCATTTGTTGTGTTCCCACTGGTAAAGTATTTTCCATTAGCAAGTGTGCTGAGATGTTAAGATTTTAAAAGTGATATGTTAGGATAGCTGTCAGAAACGAAATCTTGAACTCAAGAGGAAGGGTAGGATTCAATATTTAAAGGAATGCAAGTTTCACACTTACTCCTTTCACCCCCAGTAGGGTTCACAGCATGTGTAGTTGCAGACATGATGTCAAAGGCGGTTCAGTATGAGGGCCAGTGACCGTTTATCAAACTCGAACGAACTATCAAAACCAGGATAAAGACTCAGGTGATCTCGAAGTGCTTGTTTCACTGAGTATCAGGGATAGCAATGATGACGGAGTAAAGGTCGATCACTTGCATGTATGTGAAATCGATCAATGGAAAGAAGGTCGGGCGGGAACTGGCTTTATACTGGTGCGGCAGAGAAGCACTCTGAATGCTGGATAGCTCTCAGCCACAGTCGGAGGGGGCAAGAACTCATCCCTCTAATCTACGGAAATCGCTTAGGTTGATTCGTAAGTCAAGTTACGGACGGCTTCACGCAGAATTGACCTGATGTGGATGCGAGTAAGTTACCCCCTTGTCCACTATATCCAAAAAGTGAAGAGGCGATTGGCCTTCGGTCGTCTGGATTGGCTTGACGACGGGCGTAAAGTCATGGATGGACCATGTATAGAGCCTAGTTTTATGGAATCTGGCCCATGCTTTTTTCTGGGTCCCTTCACGGACTGTTTAGTTGACAGTGGGCGAATCCGAACCTTTGCCATGCAGGATTATGTCAAGTTCGTTGCCCAACGAAAGTTTCCGTCAATCCTTGGCCCCTAAGTGGACATGACGAGTTCATTGTACCGCTTTTGTACAAGCAAAGTCACAGCACAGGTGATCAGTGATCCGTCAGACGCGTCAACAGTGTAGCGAATGGGAGCGCATTTAGTAAAACCAAGGTTGACGCTTTGTCTCGATATGTGCATTTAGGTTCTGGAGGTGGGTAACATGAAGCTCCTCGCTTTCCTATCTTAAAGGCCAGGGGGTGGGAGATCTGTGGTGTGACATGGCGAGCTAGGCAGCTGGTTCACTGTTGGCCGAAGCTCATTCGTAAATTCAAGGCTAGTCAGGTCTGAACCGCTGGACGATGCAGAATTGGAGTGCACGAGCTGACTGGGTAAATCTGCTTGAGGGCAATGCGCACACGACACAAGCTGAACCCCAGGATGCGGGTGTCGTGCGACGCAGCATCCAGATAAGAGGCGACGTAGGGCTCATACAGAGCTGTCCGCCGGCTTGAAGTCTCAATTCCCTTGGCGTTGAGGCCAAAACGCCAAGGATTACCCTTGAGCCGGAAAGATATGTTACACCGTTGACACCGCGTCTGTAAGGAGACGAAGAGAAAACCGGCTTGGAACATCTGGCATCGCCGTATCGCCATGGATTTGCGGGTGGATGGAGGGTGAAGGATTATGACGAAACGATACAATACTGGACGGCGGGGGTGGCGTTGTTGTTTCGTGGGGTAATTGATTACGACTGCATGGATTATTATTCTTCCGCTGCATTACGCCAAGTTCTGCCAAGGCTCCAGCCACGGTTACTCCGCTCCATCCAATAGCTTTCCCCCATTTTTGCGGGGGCGTCACTCGCCTCCTCAGCCTGCTTAACTAATCATCCCATCCTTGCTTCGTCAACGTCCGCTATCCTCAACCCCCGGATTCGTTTGATAAAGGCCGTAGAAGAGGCCCATGAACTGCAAATCAATGAACAGTCAAGCATCGCGGCTTCAGTCATAGGTCGCTAATAAGCACGCAAGGTGGCAAGCTCCGCTTCTATCTCAGATGACCGGGTCCAGCCAATCGAAAATACCTCTTAGCCCAATTCAACGCACATCTTGCTCACAGCGTCAACAGCAGATGATCAAGCTTCGTCTCTCAATTTAGGGTTTGACACGGAATCCATGGAACTGCTTTGCACAGCCGCACCGTTTTAAAGTTGCATACATCACATGCAGCTTGCATGGTTCCCCGCAAGTATCTAGAAGTACCTGCAACTTCGGCGCCCTTCGCAGAAAGCCCGATATTGTACTGACGGATAAATCCAGCTGTCAGCAATCGGATTCCGAGAAGAGCGGATGATTCAATTGTCTTGGAAACAACAGGAATGTCCTAGGATTTTCAGCGACGTTGAAGCTTCGCCGTCATCCAAAGTTGCTTGTTTTTCGGACTAAGAAGTCAAAGGAAAGAACGAGGATGCAAGTCTACCAGTGACTCAGCATCAAAGAGGCATTTTTGAAGGCCATGATCGAAGCTGTGTCCCCACTCACCAACGAGTTGAACGCCGACTATCTGTTAAATTCCTCCCGTAGGCGGCTTTGACACATTCGATGCTGCAGCCGCACTCCGTTATTATTACCCCGTAGGACACGTAATTGAGATTCACACTGGATATGCTGGCTTTACATGGTGTTGTCAACTGAGACTATGATATCGTGTCCTCTCGCATCGCATGGACTTCCCAAAACTCGTCGATAATACTCCTCAAAAACTGTTCCTGAGGCAGAAGGCAGGACCCAACTGGATGCACCGGAAATCTGACCTCGAGCTGATTAGCGGATTCGTTTCCCTTGTGTATTCATGCAATGCTAAAGTCAATTAAACCGGCCCAATCCTTCGGTAGCCAAGGCGATCAGTACATAAAACATGTCAAGAAAAATGATGGCTGCGCTCTTATTTTGTTGCTTGCTTCGATCCTGCTTCACAACTATTTAGCGTTTCGCGAGGCATTTTCTTTTATTGAATCTAGGCAGGAAGAGGGTCAACATCGTCCTTTGGAGTCAGCTGCGTATCTCCTATCCAACCCATCTCTGAGCCACGACTGGGTTCAACGGGTGACACATGGCATTGTGTGGAATATCAGACTCGTAGTACACAAAGCATGAATACTACTCCACAGAGGGGAGGGATTCCTGACATCTTCGGTGTGGACAAGCATGCTCTACCACACTCAACCCCACTATAAGCTAACTAACCCATCCCAGGACGAGCCCGACGCAAAACGGCGTTAAGCCCGTATGCAATATTTGGTATCAAGTCGGGAAGGGCGATACGTGCGATACCAATCTTGATATATTCAAGGGCATTTCGCGCGTCCAGCTTATCACATGGGATCAATGAGTCGGGGGGCATTCACTTTGCAGCGCCTGCCATTGTTTTTATTTTTTTGCAGCATGGTATGACGCTGAGATATAACATGTAGTTATAGATTGCTTGGGCCGACGTGCAGGGGTTTGAAAAAGGACTATTATGTCCGTGTTGGCGTTCAAGGTATATATTTAAAAATATCTCCTCACAGCTGCTTCAAGTTCTAGTCATCATCCTGCAGCACCGTCAGCCTGTGCTGGTCATTTAATATAACCAGGGACACCCGTTCAATCAACTCAATATCAAGTCCAACTCCAACCGCTACCACGCCGCGCCGACGCCTTCAGCCAGGTACAAAGAGCGACTGCAAAGAGTATTACCAGATAGAGAAAGGCGATGCTGGCGATCGTATCATCGCGAAAAAAGGGATTTCCAAACAGGATATTTACAGGGTGTCAGCTTGCCATGTAAGAACTTGCAGATCGGCTGTTTGAGGATTGGAGAAAATAAATCAAATGTTGCTCGGATCGCACTCATCCTGAATTGCTCCCCAATGGATAACGCGTTCATGAGACGATGTGCAAGGCGAAAGAATTCGGACAAATTCTCGGGCCGGAAGGGGAACGAAAATGGATCAAACGACTCCATATGACTTCCAAGTCTTCACGTTACAATTCTGTCTTAGCAATGAGACGCCACTGAACGAAGGGACATGCGTCGCCAGTTGCAAATATCTAAGCAAGAATACAGAGTACATATCATCTGGTCTGTTTATACTTCACCCCCCTTGCGCAACATCTTTTCTTCTCAATTTGCCAAAGGCCTATTGAGATGCCGTTGATATTCTTGCTATCCGCAAGGAATGAGCTATATGTATGTACATATAGCTTTCAGAACTATGGAGAAAGTATTGGCCCTACAACGTCTTATATCTTGTTGTTCTTTATTTCTGAATAATGAGCTAGAAGAGGGTGTATTGAAGATTGGAAGAGAACTATTTAAGATTCTTGATAACTGGATTGCCCCAGCTATCCGAAATTATTCTCATTGTTTCACGTAAAAAAAAGCTAACCATATTTGCCTAAACTTCCTTCTCGCCCCTATTTCCATCCGGCATCCTCGTTAGCGAGCCTGATTGAAATGCATATGTCTACGGTTCTGAAGTGATTTCACCACTTACTTCAGGTTGTTAATTCGGGGCAGAAGACGCCTGGCGGTGGCGGCTTTGATTGGGGCCATAATGTTGAGTGCGCAGGATGGATATCGCAGGCGCCACAACATTCCCTTCTTGAGTGTTAGGCATGGCGGGGTGGGTTTCGGGGACCATAGGTGTAGCGAGCGCAGCATTGAACGCCCGAATTGCATTTGCTATTGCAATGGCGATATCTTCAAAGTTGGGAGGGGCGGGAGAGGGGGCATATCGCCAGGTAGCACTGTTTAAGGTCAGCATTAGAGGATGTGCATGGCGGGAATGAAGAACTTACATCAACAGGCCGCATCCCTCAGCAACTGGGCGCAATAACCAAAACGCAGCAACCATTATGATTACCCACCGAGTGCCATTGTCTAAGCCAATTGATTTGAGGCTTTCTACCGCTTTTATGAATGCGGTGGTATTGTCCATTTTTATGGCTCGTTAAGGATGAAAAGTGAGATGAGAGACAAGAAGAGGATAGAAGAGAGTGGAGAGAGGAGAGAAAAACAGGGCGCGACGTGGTTGTGTGCTCTCCAGATCATCTCATTGAGTAAGCAAAGGTCGACGGGAAGCTCCTCCTGCTAACAATGTGGCCTTGACTAGGATTGCAAAATCAAATGTGTGATGGGCCTTCAGTCGGGAGCCTCTAAGGCCGTCTAAGGGTTCCCTCAGTCCATCCATCCCGTTGGCGACAAGGACAAAAGCACCTCCCGTTGGAAGGAATCCTCTGCGGCCGGCTGTAGTGTTGCGAAAATCGTGAGTTGGGTTGACGTGCTGGTCACCATTGGGCTACGCACGCCTCCGGGATGCTTAATATTTTGAAAACCATGCAGAGTACCCGCTAGTCCAATAAATCTACAGGCATCCTGCCTGCCATACAGAATCCTAATCAAGAACCGTCCTACAGCTTTTCGGGTATCTATAGACCCCAGGAGACAATTCGACATCACTGTCAAATCCCCGGGCCTTAATACAACAACCGCATTGCTTCGTGCAGTGAGACCAAAAGGGCTTCCAGTTCGCATAGACATCCCTCTGCTTCAGGCAGCATCCACACCCCCGTGAACAGCAACCACCGTACGATTTGCAGTTATTTACCCTCTCCGGCTGTGACATGAATTTCACAGGGTTCTCTTCCAGAAACCTTTGTCGCCGGCATACAGTCATCTGGTATTCTCTGACTCGTGCACCTTTGGGTTTGCGGATACGAAGCTCGTGCTGCTCTTGACCAACGTTCCAGAGCTCCTTGTTGTTCCAGATCAATGACTCTCCTTGGCCGGCCAACACAGATGCTACCAAGTCTTTGTGTTCTTCGGTGCAAAGTAAATCTAGGGCTTGCTGTTTGATGCATGCCTTTGCTTGCATAGCCTCATAATGCTGCAGAGTGGTGTCCTTCATAGCGTCGATCCATCGGTTTTGGGCTTCGAGGCTTCGCTTTGATTCAAAGAATCCTTTTACTTTCCGCGTCATGCTTGCAACCCAATGCATCCGCAGGAGGTCGAACACTGGCTCGAGGTAGAATAAGCTGAGTATAAGCAACATGGGGATAACGGGAATGAGGGGGGAGCTGATAGCCATTATATTCAAGTTGGATGTTTCCAAGATAGGGAACATAATTGCAGGTGCGAACGTACCAAGGGAGTGGGTGGTTGCCCACTCTTAAATATTTATGTTTGAGCTGAGTTGTTGGGTCTTGATGGTGTCAATTTTGAGTCATTCCACTCTGGCGAGTTGGTGCCTATCGGATTGTTAACTTAGTTATTCATAAGTGCTGCCTTTGCTGCGGTCATGATATCATCATGCGACAGAATACCCGTTCCTTGGATGTAGTTAAATGATATTGGAGACGCTTACTCTCGAGGAATCCTAGAACATTCATTGTTAGAACAGCTAGCGTTTTGATATGGGTGTAGAAGTCGTCTGTCGTCACAAAATCTGATGATGCATAGCAGGTATAGCGAATATTGTAGCTGAGAGTTGATATGTTGATTTTTGGCAGTAGTTAGTTAACTAAAGTCAAGCTCCTTTGACAATAAGCACGGCGAATTTTCTGTGATGGCCGCAGCCATCTATTCAACAAGGAGCATTGCATTTTGACAAGTCTATCTTAGCTATCGGATATCAAACCACATTTGTAACCCGTCTATTGCAAATCTTTCCCATTCCCAGCCTCAAGGTAACAAGACGCGATCCAACTATAGGTTAAGAAATTGAATTTATTCCACATCGTCCTCCTCTACCGACGCTCGAGGAGACTTCTCTTTTGTTTTCTCGCCGCTCGAGCCCTCCGCTGGATGATGAGGTAGGTCCTGTTGGGGAGGTGGTGGGACAAACTGGCCCTCTGGAGTGGGAGGGAATATTTCCTTGAACAAATCAGGAAGAAATCGATCAAGCCTTTTCTGTGTCTCGACCCAGATCTTCTCTTTAGATTCATCCACGCTAGGGGGTACCAAGTACCCGCCATCTGCCATCACAAGGAGAATATTCTTTAGACTCTCGGGAACCGCTTCCTGTGATTTCAAAGTCAGATCAACCAGACAATCTCAAATGCCAACATGGTAAAACAAAGAGTAAATACGTACGAGACTGTCTCCTTGCCCACTGTTCATCATTCGGTCTAGAATATCAAGAATGTTTAACCACAGGTCAAGCATTCCTTCCCACTCTGAAAGCAACACAAGATAATGAAGGAATATCTTGCACACGAGTGTCGCCGCCTGAACCCTGGTTTCACTCATGCCGGTTGGGTCCGACTGATAGACTTCTGGTTTAAGGAGACGCAAAATCAAGGGGAATAGGACTTCGCCGAAGATTGCCACCCATTCCTTGTGGTCGGTAGATGCAAGTTCGGGGGAGAGCAACGATCGCTGCAGGGCAGAAATTGCTTGGTGCCTTATGTCACGACAAGGATTAAGACATTGCGTGGTCAAGGCGTTGAAAATGGGAGACCAGTATGCGGCCCATGCTAGGGCTTGTGTCAGCTCACAAATCAGTAATGTTAAGCAAACAGATCTGTTGTTACCTTCGTTTCGCTCAAGATGTGACTGGCTTATGAGCGCTGGTATTCGTGCTGTCATCTGGTAGATGATCCCTACAGCTTTAGTTCCCCGAATTACAAGTGGGTTATCCCTACTCCAAAGTAAATCAGTATGACGAAGGAATTCATACTGAATGCGGTACACATACTGTGGTTTGCTAGGCTTCTTTACCGATCGAGTCCTTCTTACTGAAGGCTCATGCCGCAATTCTTGAATAGCTACGATGCTGCCCGCATTTGCGAAGTCATTCGCAATCCCGACTGCAGCTTCGTAGTTATCCGCATTAATCACTGGAGGATCGGACTCAACAATATTTCGCAAAAGGTCGAAAATCATAGCGCCTCCATCTTGATGTTGATGTAATCTTTGGATGATGGACCAGAAATCTGGATACTTTGTGATTTCCTTCCACAGTTGAGTTTCGTTCCCGATGCTCGTAAGACCAGCAATGATCGGTACTGCAGAATTTTCAAGGATATCCTGTTCAAAGCTTGAAATAGAATGGAGAACGACCGGAGGTCTCATAAAGGAATGATCCTGCGAGCCAATTAGCTTGAAGGGCCGGTTGCAAACCCAAGAACGTGGAGACATACATAGCTACGACGCAAAAGGACTAAAAGGTAATATATCACACGCGAGAGCATCAGCGGATGTATGTTTTTAGCATCTCGAATGATATTCTGTAAAGTTCTCGTCAGGGGTTTCTCCGAGATGTTGTATTGTATCATCATCTCGCAACACGAGGAGGGGTGCTAATTCAAGCACGTAAACCGTGCCTGCATTATAGGTAGATTTCGAAGTAGATTTTTTATTGCTAGCTATCCTCGTCGAATGGGATCGTTCAGGTTTTACAGTAATAACGGCGGGGCTCGTGTCAGGAAGTTTGGCAAGGAGGGCATTGACAAGATAGGTCATTGAGGAAATAGGAACGGATCTGCGAGACATCATTAGCGGTGTAAGAATCTTTCGTTTGGGAACATTCGTCACCTTATATTTTCAAGCAATTCAGAAATGCCGCATGCATTAATGCAGTCAATAGTGCAAAGAGTATTCTCGATCTCTTCATCAGATGGCTCCGGGGGATCATCGGCAGCGTAACTCGAAAGATATGATGTAAACGCAGAGAGTAACCCAGCCTCGTTGCTCCGACCATCACGATCAACAACTTGGGACGGTGGCTGCAAGGGAATCGGCGGAATATCGAGGCCTGAGTCTCGAATGTCCAGTTGAGGGATAAGAGAGTTTATGAACAGGTGATGAAGGATCCTAACGACATATTCCCACCCATTTCGGATGGCTGCTTCGCTTCCTGAGAGCAAACGAAACAAAACAATTGTCGCAAGCTGGGCTTTGAAATCTCTTCCTAGCTTGACAGCAACTTCACTGACCATAACCGCTTTCTTTCCTATTTGAACCTCTGTGTTGAGAGTGGTATTAGGGGTCGTCTCGGAAGCTAGGGTGCTGATGGAACTGAGACAAAATATTATGCGATCAAGGGCTTCGGTTAAACCGTATTTCGTAGCAATTTTCGCGCATTGGTCGAAGCCAATAACGACTCTTGAGAACACAACGTCATCAGACGCGGACATAAACACATAAGAAAGCGTGGCCACCACAGGTTTCCAAGTTGCTTCAAACATGTCGGCATCCAATACATTGGAGTCGCATGGTATCATGTCACCTGCAGTAGATGCTTTTATCAAGAGTTCTTTCCAAGCGTACTCAAATGCATGTTTATTTTCATGCTCGTCAGGTAGAATGATTTCATCCTGCTGAATTGAACGATAGATCCCTTCTAGATATTCGATGGGGAAGTCATTGCCGGCATTGACTCCTTTCAAATTTTTAGTAAAGCCTTCAAAAGTCATTCGGTTTTGAGGTTTCACATTAGGGTTATAAAGGTCGGTGTTGAGCATTATAGCGGCATAGGTTAAGATGAAAAGAGAATCCGCATCAGCAGCTTCTTTAGGTTTTGCTCCTGCAAGATACTTCTCCGCGAAAACGGTGACAATCCTCTGGATCAGAGGAGATTCACCCGGAAGCCGAAAAGAGCCCAAAACGTCCCGAAGAGCATCCACGATGCCGACGCCCGCAAAATCGAAGAGGTCCATGAATGCTTCAAGGATCTGCTCATTTTTCCGGTTGGAGATGTATTCTCCAAGAACTTTCTTCGAAATACGGCTTGTACCCTTGAGAAATTTGGCTATTAATTTGGGGTCTTCGATATCTTCAATAATCCCTTTAGAAGCTAGAAACGCAATGCCTGCTTTAGGATCTTCATTGAACTTTGTGGCACCCTGAATTATTATCTTTTTGCGTTGTCGCTGCTCTCTTAATCGCGAAAGATCAAAAGGACCGTCATGCTTCGGCTCATCATCTAGCCTATCGGCGATAAATTGGATGTATCCTAGCAGAGCATCAAGACAAAGAGGTGGAACGTTAGTGGTACTCCATGCCGCAGAATCTGGGAAGGCATTCCGAGATAATAGTCCAACCATGTCCTCGCAAAGATCGGCTCTATCAACTTCACAGTCGTAGTTGACAAACAGCTCTGCCATAAAGTTCGGGATTCTGGCCAACACCCCTATGCTTTCCACCATCGCTTCTCGAGCTTCGGGTTTTCGAGAACCGCCTTCCATCCCGAGCTTTTGTCGATCTTTCACTGGAACAGGAGTTGTTCTTCCACTACCTGCTTGCGAGGCGGATGGTTTAACTAGCTTCGGAGCTTGCGGCACGCCCACGTAGAGTGCAGGGTCGATGCCCGGCTCTCGGGGTATTTCAACTCGAGGGTGGAGGCATGCCACTAAATATGACAGGAAAAGCTCCTGTTGTAATTTCAAGACATGTCGACAAGTAGATAATAGGGTCCCTGCCACTCTGAGAGAGCCGCTCAAAATAGCCATATTATCCGATTTGACCAATTGGAATAGATATCGACACAAGTCATCTCGCGCAAGTTGCGCAAGGCTAGGATGCCTTGCGATGGAAGGGCCTGCTACTTCTAGAGCCACGTCAATAATTCTTAAGGACATGACCCTCATCGAATCAGTATGTTGTGGATTATGCGGGTCGAGTAAATCAATCAGTACACGAAAGAGTTCCCGAATCGAGGGCAAGCCATAAGGCCTGGCTTCAGGAGTACATGAACTCCTCGGGTTGAACAGTTCCATCTCCATTAAC